CCAGGAGTGACTGGAAGCGGTGTGAAATGGATGGAATTCAGGATCGGGATAGTAGGATGGAGATGTCAGATTTACGTTAAGACGTGATGAATGTCAGTGTTGCGGATTCAGAGGTCTACGAAAATGTTTGGTTCAGTGTTCTGATGCCATGGTTGAGGTATCCCAATCTGGTTATCTTTGGCTGAACCCCAATTTTCCACGAACCCGTCACCGTTGCCTTGAGTATCCTTAAAGGAGCCAACGTATCTTAATATCCGTAAGAGTACGATGCCATTCACAGTTACACAGGGGTTTGCTCATGTTTGACCATTAACCCGCGATCTCTTTATCATTCTCCCCAAGAAGCCCAGTACAAGCATCCTCATCATTTAGTTCATCTGGCTGTATGAACATTGCCATCCAGAACGAGGGCGGGTTCACATATACAGGACCCACGAAACCCATCGTATCTCGATAAGGCGCGTCGTCTGGGCCACGAAAAGGCCCCTCGTCGCGTTTTGGAAGCCACGAGCACCGGGTTCTTGCGAAATGGTCATCACGCTCCTCCACGAACAGAGGGCGATCGTAGTACTGGACGTAATCAGCATCGATGTTGGACACTCGTGAGATCCGGTATTCAAAATCTCCAAAAGCCATGGGAGGCACGCATACAGGTCCTGATCTGTCTGCCCTATCAGACATCTTTACGGTGTCGGCTTGTTTGGCGCTTTTGCCGCGTCTGCCTTTCTTCGCTGCCGGTGGAAGTTTGACAACAACCTTCTCCACCGCTACTCTAGTGAAGAGAGCCTTCTCGCTTGCGATCTGGCATGGCGTACTATTTCACACGATGATCAGTTAGATCCTGAATGACTTGGCTGTTGTATCTGTGGAAGGATCGCCTAGGGTATTGGGTACACGTTGGATAGAGTCGTCCGTGACAGATAACACGCGGTCGTCCCATTCAAGTGCATCTCGAACTGACCGTTGGGCACCTGTGAGTGAGGCGTAGCTTTCAACTTCTTCATTTGACGTAGCCTGCTTGAGAACGCCAACTTGGCGTACAACTTGGAACCGGGTCTCAGCAAGGAGAAATGACTCCGCGGAGCGTTCGACTGGTAGCAGCGGCATGGCTGAGAATAAGCAGGAAAGAGTAAGCTGCTCGAAATGGAAGCTCAGAAGAATTTTGTGCTGATACTGGCAAGTGAGAAGGGAAGGGAGTAACCAGGGAGACGCAAAGACTGTTAAGGTGATTCTCTCTAAAGCTGTTCCACTTTCACCTCACTGTTAGCGGAAATTGCGCGCTATTATGATATCACTGGTTTGTTCGACAATTGTTTGCTCATTTGGCTTATATCTACCCAGTATTTGCCCTTGGGTTAGAAAGCTGTTCTGCCAGTCTTGACAGTCTTAAGCACTCCTTCATCCGCCAAACGTTCGATCATGTTATACAGCATGAAGTCGCATCCCCGTTTCACCACGAGATTGATCGTTACAGGAACCATCTCCTCATGGAAAGTAATATTACTCTGATACGGCACTTGGCCGATGGGCACAGTGAAATCCGCACAGCCAAATATGGGACAGATATTTGCGCCTGTGATCTTAGCAGTCTTGGGGAGGACGGCAAGGTACGACGCGTCTGGCGACTCGTTCAGCTCACGCTCGCGGAAAGACGGAAGACCGCCCGTGCCAATATCGTATAGCATGATTGACTCCGAGCACGATTCTGGAGTGCTGTACTGTAACTCTTTCTCATACCACTCCACGCCTCTGTTCTTGGTGACTAAGGCGGCATCGTATGCAACCTGGTTTGTCCTGGTCTCGTTGAACGCTTTCCAGCCAGGACGGCGAGCTGGATCAATGGGTGGGAACCGGCCATCAAACAAAGCACCCCAAGCGGTGATTAGAGGTTTGCCTATAACCTCCCAGGCGGACCAGGTGTTTATCACACCAGTTGCAGCGCTGAGTGTGGTGAAGTTGCTAGCGATAGGATCCGAGAAGTTTTGTACAGTTGCTGTAAAGTTGAGCTCTTTTACAGTCATGTTGAAGATTCGGGACATGCTCGCGATGAACTCCTGTAGGATGGGCTCCGCCGCCGAGTTGTTGAGTGGCAGATAATCTACGGGGTAGAGAATCGTCTTTGGAAATGCGTCGGTGTCAGGCACTTCCAATGGCGAGAGACCCGTGATAGAAGAATCCTGGTACAAGTCCGGAGAATACCATGCTTTAGAAAACTTGATCCATTTGTACGGATCTCTGGAGAAAACACCTGCAGTGTCAGTAGCACCACCTAGAGGTAAAACACGTTCGAGTGACATGAGGCCTTGACTCGGACGTTGTCTATCACTAGTAAGCAAATAGAAAGGAGGGACGTATGGATCTTGAAGCATACCCATAAGTACCGGAAACAGCAGCTGGGCGTCTCATAGATGAGCCAGTATCGCTTCCAATAGCGTAGTCAAGCCAGTCATATGCAGCAACAGAGCAGCCACCTCCAGATGAAGAAGCAGAGCATGTCAGCCATCCATCACCACGAGGGTTGAACGGATAATGCTCGTCCTGCCACTCCCAAGGATTAGCGCCCGAAGCGAATTGGGCCAACTTCTGCTTGCCCACTACGATCCCCCCAAGGTCCAAAATCTTCTGCACCGAAGGGGCAGTGCCGTTGGAGACTGGTGTGATGTAGGCCCATGCTTGGCTACCACCAGATGTTTGCAGGCCTTTGACATCGTAGAGATCCTTGATCGCGACACGCTCCCCTGCAAGCGGTCTCTCGTCTCCCCAGGAGTAGACGCGAGACGGAACCCTACACAAAGTCAGGTACGCATCAAGACAATTGAGACGAGTGGATGAAACTCACGGGATCATGGGGTCCCAAAATTTGGGAAGAAATGTTCCGAGTGGATTGTGGTTGTCTTCACCATCATTCGCATCGTAGGCTCCGAAAAGGAAAGTTCTATAGGTATCTGGATACAGCCGATACACAGTGCTGAAACTTACTGTTCCAGATTCCACATGCGCAAGGTATGGACCGATGGGAACCTCAGCAGGCGATTCGAGAGCAATAGTGGTGAAGCTTCCTTCCACAGATACGGTGGAATCCGCAAATACGAATGTGGTATTTAGAGACGTAAGATACTCTACAGCCGTAGCATCCAATGAGGTTTTTACGGCTGAAGAGATGTATAAACCATCGAGAAAATCATGGTTGAAAACATCGTCGGCAGAAAGGTACGAGTCGATCACGCTCGTTAAAGTATCTTTTGTGATGCTCGATGCATTCGTCTTGATGACTGTAATTGGAATTGCCGAGGTTACTGTTTGGCAATCGGCGGCGATCACAGCCTTTGGGTATTTTGTATTGGCTAGATATGCTATTTCACCGAGTTGAAAGATAGCATCACCATATGGATTATCAAGAACAAAAGTATAAGGATTCCTCTTGACAATTGGAGCCGCTTGGGCAGACAAAGATGCAAGCGCAAGACTCAACCAGAACCACATCCTCGCCATGTTTACGACCGAGATTCCTGGCTGATCCAAGGAATCCCATTGCGCCTTTTATATCCATCTTTTCAGCCTAGCATTGCGGAGACGATAGCAACTCAAAGATAACGACCATGCTTTCCTTCCAGGGTGGCCTTACGATGGTTTAGAACTGTGACATAGTCGATCGATGCCGTCTCCATAAGCTATGCAAGCCAAGGAGCGAAGACCGGGATGTCGCGGTGGTGCTTATCAGGTACGGCAGGTATCGTTGTCATCGTTTTCGCTGCCGTTACCAATCATTCACTGACATCTCCGCCTTCCACTAATGATACCGTTAGGGGACATTGGGTAGCGGATTGGGGTTTGGCATAAATACGATCCCTCACAACGCCTCGTGAATGCCATGGTCCCTCTTCCGGCTTAGCGTGCATTCTACGTCGACTATTGATTGATAACGTTCAACTGCAAAACAAGACTGGTCCCTATGCGAAGTCCTAGATAGGTAAATCGGTTAACATCTTCCTATGAAAGCCTATAACTTTCGCGAGTAAGAGATGCTCTGGGTCAGGGGTCTGAGTCAATTGTAACTCGCCTAGCTGATTGCAATGACAATGTGTCGTCACCACAGTCAACACAGTTCAGCGGCAACTAATATGGCTACTACTGTTCAATTAGTTCCATGGAAAGAATTTCTGGTCGCTCATCTGCTCAGCTCCATCGGCTATTCGTCCTATACTGAAAGAGATGATCGCCGCCCTCATCTCGCATTCGAATAGCAATCTTCCTTGACGGCTGATGGTCTCTTATCATCAATTAGACAAAGAGCTCTGTACTCCGTCTTCGCAGGTCCTCGTGGAAAATGGCCGAGGATTGTATGTGGACAGGCAAGCTTTATGTAATTGATCTCAAGGTGAAGACCAGGCATGGGGTAAAATCCTAAGCGAATCTAGGAGCGTTGTATTGTCGTAAGATTCAATAGCCCTTAGAATTGGAACTTGACCGTTGTGGTGGAATTGTATGTATACTGCGATTCAGTGCGACTGGATGTGTGCTAACATCAGGCCTCAGGTGTCGAGAATAACCAGCTTCGATTGCTGTTATCGTACGAAAGAGCCCAGGGAAACAATGTCGATCATACGGGAGCGGACCCAGACTGACGGCTGCATATATGGACATTGTGCCACTTCAATCAACACTGCGTGGAATTTTGTCGGACAGCCGGCTGACAGGGGTCATGGATATTGAGAGGCTCAATGTCAACTTAACAATTTATATTGTACCGCGAATCCCATCAACCCCGGCACTCCCACAATGTAGAGTACGCATCGCCCGTTACACAGTTAATAACATCTTATCCAGGCCCGCTTGGAGACTGGCTGACATTGGTCGAAGTCTTTGGGACAATGTACTATACCGGTGGGACAATGCTTCCCAGAGGCTAGGCTTTGGCATTGCCATAATCGAAGACTTACATTTCTCAGCAGTACCGGCAAATGAGCACAGTGCTCGTGCTCCACGCAGTCAATAGATGATAAAATACCCAGGATCGCGCTGGTTCTCGAGAGGGGAGGGTTGAATTCCTTATCCATCCATAACGCCGTTGCCGTTGCTGTGTACACCGAAACATCCCTCATTATCACGATGCAGTGGACTTCACTCGCCGCACTGGCGCTCGTCGCCCCCAGCCATGCACTGATTCGATTCGGATGCTCTCAACTTGTAGTGGACCGACTGGACCCTCTGGTCAACCCGGGCTCCAACCCATCCCCACATCTTCACCAGATCCTCGGCGGTGTACGTAGAATGTAGATCAAGGAATTCGAGAGTCCTTTCTAACAGCACCAGAACTCCTTCCAACCTAGCATGAAACCAGTCGAACATGACCTTGCTAAACTGTCGACGTGCACATCTTGCCAACCGTCCGAGGTAGGTAATCACGGGCAATCGTACCAACCATCTATTTCTATATCGGATTCATTCTGACGATGAATACACACAGGACTTCTCCAACTACTGGACCGCAGCTCTCTACTTCCGCTCCCGAAACGGCACCTTCAAGCGCGTACCCCAGAAGGGCAACGCCGGCTTCGAGGGCCAAAACGGCGGCATGACCGTCTACTACATGCAGAACCAACTGGCCGACTACCAGCAAAAGGCCAAAGTGCAGTCCTTCAAGCCGGGCTTCCGCATGCTGATCGGAGACCCTGCCGCAGACACGAAGGCCAAAGCCGACAAGTTCCCCCAGCTCACGTACACCTGCCTCCAGGACATGAGCACGCGGTTCCCAGAGACGAAGAACTTCCCCACGAAGCCCTGCCCCGCGGGTATCATGGTCAACCTTAGATTCCCTACCTGCTGGGATGGCGTCAACCTCGACTCGCCGGATCACATCTCGCACATGGCTTATCCTGCCAGCGGGAACTTCGAGTCGCAGGGTCCTTGCCCCGCGAGCCATCCCGTACGGATGCCTCAAGTCATGTAAGTAGCCCGCCTTCTATGCTTCAGACCAAACAGAAACGAGAAAGAGGAACACAAGAAGGGAGAGCAAGACTATTCACCATCCAACAAAGCAATCTAACACGGGCCCCTTAGGTACGAAGTAATCTTCGAGACGAAAGACTTCAACGCAAAGGCGGACTGGCCCACCGACAACACCCAACCCTTCGTGTGGTCCTTTGGCGACGGCACGGGCTACGGCAACCACGGCGACTACGTCTTCGGGTGGAAGGACGACTCGCTGCAGAAGATCATGGACGAGGCCTGCTACGTCAACTGCAAGAGCATGAAGACGCAGTCCATGGACGCCATGAACGCATGCGCCATCAAGAACGTCGTCGACGAGGACATCGGCGACAAGGACTGGATCGCGGAGATTCCAGGCGCGCCGCCTATGAAGCTTCAGGCTGCTGATGGGTCGGTTTAAGACGGTGATGGGGGATCTGACGTTGAAGGGAGATGGGACTTAGAAAGTTAGGAAGGCTGGTGTGAGTGTGGTAATTGCCTGTTTGGTAGCTTTAGACAGCAATGGAACAACTCTGAATTTTGTTCTGATTCTTATCAATTTGTACGCGGATGCGAGCATTTTCCTACCAGTCCAATGATGCCTTCGATAAATCTATTACTAGATGCAAAGTCTGTAGTTCCTTCCTACAGTCTCACAGCCGTTCTGGTGACCCAACCTATTCAAATTTACATTTACATCTACACCTACATTCAAAGAAAAAAGTAACCATCTCAAAACAATCATCGCCTCCCTCCAAATGACAAGTTATCCCCAGCATACCAACCCATCTCCCACGCTAGGAACCTCCCGCAAATATCACAGCCCAAGTGGCAATCAAAAGTAGACAGTGGCATTGTGGTGTGTGGGGAGGGTGTCGAGAAGGAATCCCACTCCTCTGCGCTTAATTCCCTTTGTGGGGCCTCTGTCCCACCTGCAAGCTGAGACGCACATGTCAGTAAGTGCGTCGAGATATATGAAATGCATCGAATACTTCTGGATGGGCTGTGGATCTCGCGGGTTCATATGCGGTGCCTTGGTAGCGAGCGACTATTTGTTTGGTTGAGGGTAGGGGGAGAAGTTGGGTGCGGTGGGGTGCGGTGGGCTTTCAAGGACTGCGAGGTTCTGTTTGTGAGTGTGCGTTTGTGGATTGAGGTGTCTTCGTGTGTTAACGTGCGAAGTTTTGCCATTCAATTCCAAAGGTCATGAACGAAAAGGTTGTTTGGATTGCTGCTTAAAATTATTATATTTCGATAGATTTGTTGCCGCGACACTCGAAGGCACTTCGGCTGGATCCGTTATGTAGTATATGCAGAGTAGAAAGCAACATATAGTGAGTGCAGCCACTGAACGTGAGCTGGTGGGTATCAATCAGACCGTCTCGATATACCTCTTCACCTCCCAGTCAGTGACAGCCTCATCCCACAGCCTGATTTCATGCTGTCTGGTGCCGCCGAAGTGATCGACGAACTCATCGCCAAATACTTCTCTGGCGACACTGTCCTTGGCCATGAATCGATCGGTAGCTTCCTTTAGACTCTTTGCCAGCCGCTGACCCTTGTCGGCCTCGCCGCCGACATCTTCACCCTTTCCTAGTGGAGGGATAGATATCTCCAGCTTCTTCTCGATACCCCTCCAGCCCAGCGCGAGAATCGCTGCAAGTACGAAATGAGGGTTCGTGTCGGCGCCAGGGACTCGAACTTCGAATCTCGTGGCCTTTGCTGATGACGTCGGCGGGCTGATCAACCTGATACTGGCTGCTCTGTGTTCAAGGCCCCAGCTTACGGTGACTGGCGCCCAAAAGTTCTCTACGAGTCTCTTGTAGCTGTTAACATTTGGCGCAAGAATAGGCATGATGTCAGGAAGACCGTCGATCAAACCAGCGAGGAAGTGTCGCCCGAGATCGGACAGCCATCGAACGTCCTGCCATTTGTGATCTTTGTCCTCGGTCTCGCGATAGAAGAGATTCTTGCCCGACGGGTCGACAATGGAGACATGCATGTGTCCAGAGTTACCGGGGAGGCCTTCGCGTGGCTTCGCCATGAAGCATGGAGTTATACCGAACTTCGAGCCAAGCGATTTCACGACGAGCTTGAAGAGCGAGGCCTTGTCTGCCATTTCGGTGATTTCGCCGAACTCGAGGGCCTGGTACATGTTAGAACTTTCCCTTCTGTACGGGCTATGAACTTTCATACCGCTTCGAACACTCCTGGACCACTCTCCGTATGCCATCCTTCAATGCCACAGTTGAACTTTGCGCATGTATCGAAGATGCCATAGTAGTATTCCTGGTTGTGAACCGGCCTAGTGATGCTGTAACCAAACATTCCTTCCGTCAGACTCGGTAACGCGTTCACGGGGTTATCGCGGAGGAAAGCGGCCGTAGAGGACGAATTGCGCTCGGTTCCATCGTGGGATTGCGGTGCTCGAAACTGGTAGAACTCGTACTCCGCTAATTGGCACAAATGTAATGATTAGCGGACAGGCCTGCTGTGATCTCAGAGAGGGGCAAGAGTGCGGCACAGGAACGGACGCGAACAAGCTTACCTCCAGCCATGGCTCCATATCCATTCTCCTTGAGCTTGTCGACTGCGCGCTTCAACAGACTCCGCGGACACGCGCTCAAGCTAGATTTGGTGTCTGGGTCATGGAAGTGGATCAGAAAGAAGGGCACATTGTTCTCCCAAGGTATGCGACGGAAGGTGCTCAGGTCTGGTACCGCGATCAAGTCGCGATAACCATTCTCCTTGTTGCTAATCGAAAGCTCGCGGAAGTAGGTCTGGTCATGCATGTCCCAACCGAAGATAACACTACAAAATCCAAAGCCCTCCTGCGCAATGCTCAGGAACTTCTTCTTCGCCATGAGCTTTCCACGGAGAACGCCATCGACGTCAATGCCTGCGACCTTAACAGCATTATCGTCCTTGAGTAGTTCAGGTAGGGACTCGGCGGTTATGGAGGAGGGATTCGGGGAGTGGGACATGATGAGATTACTGGAAGGAGTAGGTCTGCGGTTCAGAGGAAGGTGAGGAGTAGAAGAGGATAGGGACGAGGGTATACTGCAAGCAGATCTGAAGATCAAGCATGCGCCTACGAGGAAGTAGCAGCAGCAGTAGTACAAGTAAATTGAAGAGAAAGCAGGTTATGCGTAGATACTGTCGGATGGGGGATTGTTGCCAGTATCGTTCCTTCCGTTTGGACGATGGTTGGTTGGTCGATTAAGCTCGGACCAATGAGGGGCAGTGACGTCCTCAAGGTGCAGCAGTCCAGGCCAGCCGAGGCGACATCATAGCATCAACTTGGTGTTCTGTATCTAGATATATACCTAGGTAACTACCTATATATGTCTCTTCTACAAATAACTTAGGTAAAACGTATATGAAGACTATGTAAACACCAAGACGCCAATATCATTGATTATGTCTTGATACGAGATACATCTATTGCACAGTCGATCCTCCACGTCCCATGTCTAAAGCCGCGCATGGCCGACGCCCTCGTCACTCGTTGCCCTGCATCTATCTGTATGAGACGAGTAGATAACGCGCCTTGTTACAGCTAAGCTATCTACCTAGGCAAGCTACAGCTACAGCTACAGCTACAGACATCGTGCATCTACAATGTCCACGGAGAAGGGACACATGAGACGAAAGAAGATGAAGGATCATTGAGTTACACCGCATCTTCTACGGATAACCTTCCTTGTAGCAATCATGCAATCCCCCATCGTGTGAACACGTCTTCGGACCGCCGGTCTCCGTCCTTATCTATGAATCTTGCCGATTATCGGTGTATAGAACCGCGACTTGCCCTCAAGCTATTGTTTGCTCTGCTGGAATAATTAACCTAATTGACTCCTTTCGACTCCTTCAATAACCAACGTCCCATCCTACCATACCTTCGTTCGGTGTTTGCAGTCCGAAGCACCACCACGCAACTCCGACACGTCAAACAACCACTCACGATAGTTACTCGTACGCCCAAGAGGTAAGTGGAGACCCTGAAAAGATCAAAGAGCTGGCGCCCCCTTACTGGTCTCGGACACACTCGCCCGTTGCTATGACGCTTCTGGTAGTAAATATTAGTCATAGGAAATTCACGACTTTGGAGGGGCTGTTCCCTAATTATATCAAATGCATCCTGCTGACCTCAAGACAGATACTCTAGATAACACCAATTCCTACCGTTAACATCACTTCAATCAAGATGGGTCGTCTGGAAGGCAAGAACGCTCTCGTCACCGGAGCAGCTGGGTATGTCCGCCGCATCCTTCCGCCTTTCCGTTTCTATGCGCGTTTGTTTCGATATCAAACGAATTTTGATCGCCATTGCGCATTCGCCTCATAGTCCTGTACCTGCACTATTCATCGCATCGATTGCTCTTCGTTTGTATCTCGAACGACTACTCTCCTCTCGATCTCGCGTGGCTAGAGTCTGAATGTTTCAACCTACAGCTCTTGCAATGCACTCAATCACAATCACATGACTCATATTGTTCCATACACCACTAACTCGATGATAGTGGCATTGGCTTGGAGACTGTCATTCTCTTTGCTCGCGAGGGCGCTAACGTCCTGCTCTGCGATATTTCCGGTCCAGCACTCGAGAAAGCTGTAGCAAGAGTGAAGGAAGTAGTGCCAGAGGCCAAGAAGGTGGAGAGCAAAATCGCCGACGTATCAAAAGAAGCAGATGTTGCTGCAGCAGTCGAGCACCTCGACGCTTGGGGCGGTATTGATGTCATCTTCAACAATGCTGGAATAATGCACGCCGACGATGACGATGCTGTCAACACCCCCGAGAAGATCTGGGATCTGACTCAGGCCATTAACGTCAAGGGTGTGTGGTTCGGTAGCAAACATGCTGTCCTTAGCTTCAGGAGACATGGTAAGAAGAAGGCTTCCGTCATCAACACTGCCAGTGTGGTGGCTTTGGTTGGAAGCGCTGCACCCCAATTGGCCTACACGGCTAGCAAGGGAGCTGTCCTTGCCCTGACGAGAGAATTGGCCATGGTGCATGCAAGAGAGGGATTCAGGTTCAACGCGCTTTGCCCGGCTCCTTTGAAGTGAGTATCCCCGTCATCCACATGATTTGTTCCCAATTTTGACTCTTCCAGCACGCCTCTCCTCCAGGACTGGCTCGGCGACGATGCCGCAAAGCGCCAACGCCGCGAGATTCACTTCCCCAGCGGTCGTTTTGGTGAGGCTATCGAGCAGGCCCAGGCTGTCCTCTTCCTTGCCAGCGACGAGAGCAGCTTCGTTAATGGCACCGACTTTGTTGTCGATGGTGGCATGACCAAGGCCTACGTGACTGCCGAGGGACCGGCTACAGAGGCCCCGAAGGGAAATGCTCGTTAAATGCATCGGGCGAGCATACTTGGGCGATCATGAAAAATCGCTAGCCATACCCAGTGGAATCACATAGATCTTCGAGACTGTATCTCTGGTCTCCTATACGATAGTTGTCATGTCCGTAACTTCTCTGAATGAAGGAATGATATTTAATGAAGAATAAAAATATTTGAAACCAAATCTATTGTGTATATGCAATTCTTGAGCTCATTGAAGCTTCTACACTGTATGCGGGCTGAAGTTATTGCTAGGGGATGGTCCCAAATAGGGAAAGTCGAGATGGACCCTGGAAGCTTAGACCATGCGACTGTTGTATTGTCCAAAATATGCCATCGATCAGACGACACCAGCGATTGCATTCTCTGTACAACATGGAACGGTTGCAGGAGCTGGATCTAGCCCAGATATTCGTTGCTTATGGCGTTGGCGTTGTCACACTCCTAGTTCTCTATTACCTGGTGAAGAGTGACCCGGAGAAGGCCGTACCATATAATGTCACGGCTCCAGAGCAAGTGAAATCTGGATGGAAAGGCGAAATTCTTAAGGAGCCCTCCTTGAAGGTTCGACGTCATCTTATAAACTCCAATTGAGCTCTAGCTGATGTTGATATAGGTATCCGGATCGTCTCTGGTGCAATGCTACTGTCCCGCGACCGGCGAATCCCTCGGACGCGTGAACCCCTCGACAACCGACGGAATCGATCGCGCGATTGCGAAGGCGAAGGAAGCACAAGTTCAATGGGCGAAGACAACATTTGCAGAGAGGCGTAAGGTCCTCAAGACCATGCTGAAGTAATATGAACCTGCGACATGAGCAGTACAAGAGTAGTAACCCAGTTTTCTAGATTCGTGTTGGAGAACCAGGAGACGATCGCTCGCGTCGCCTGTCTGGACTCGGGCAAGACGATGGTGGATGCTAGTTTGGGAGAGATACTTGTCACCGCTGAGAAGCTGAAGTGGACAATTGATCATGGAGAGGATTCGCTGAAGCCCGAAAGCAGGCCCACGAATTTTCTCATGATGTACAAGAAGAATGAAGTCATCTGGCAACCCCTGGGTGTCGTTGCTGCACTCGTAAGCTGGAAGTAAGTCAACCTTTCCATGGCATATTCATAAGGATTCAATCTGACTGTCACAGTTATCCCGTAAGCTCCCCCTGACTCCACCAATTTTTGAAAACATCTTCTCAGACAATTGATATCAGTTTCACAACCTTGTTTCGCCCATCATAGCGTCGATCTTCGCCGGCAACGCCATCATCGTAAAGGGCTCCGAAGCCACTGCTTGGTCGAGTGCGTACTTCACCTCTATCGTGACATCCGCCCTGGTAGCTTGTGGCCATTCGCCCGATATCGTCCAGTCCGTAGTCTGCTGGCCCAACGTCGCCGAACACCTCACATCGCACCCTGACATCGCACACATAACCTTCATCGGTTCCAGACCCGTAGCCCACCACGTATGCGCCTCCGCCGCAAAGAGCCTCACGCCCGTCTGCGTCGAATTGGGCGGCAAGGACCCGGCCATCGTCTTCGACGACCTCAGCAACAGCGAGTTCCACCGCGTAGCCAGCATCCTCATGCGCGGAACCTTCCAATCCGCCGGCCAGAACTGCATCGGCATCGAGCGCGTCATCGCCCTCCCTAACATCTACGACCGCCTCGTCGCGCAAATCGAACCCCTCGTATCCTCCCTCCGCCCGGGCTCCATCCTCCACGCCTCCCCCTCAACCCCCATCGACGTCGGTGCCTCCATCTCCCCCGCTTCCTTCAACAACCTCGAATCCCTCATCCAGGACGCCGTGTCCCACGGCGCGCGCCTCCTCGCCGGCGGCAAACGCTATACGCACCCTGAGTTCCCACAAGGCCACTACTTCACTCCGACACTCATCGTCGACGTGACGCCGGACATGAAGATCGCGCAGACCGAGCTCTTTGCCCCCGTCTTCCTCATGATGCGCGCAACCTCCGTCACGCACGCCATCGCTCTCGCCAACTCCACCCCCTTCGCGCTCGGCGCCTCCGTCTACGGCGCCCACAAGCCCTCCCTCGAGCGCGTCGTCCGCGAGGTCCAAGCAGGCATGGTCGCCGTGAACGACTTCGCAGTCACCTACATGGTGCAGCTGCCCTTCGGCGGCGTCAAGGGTAGCGGATACGGCCGCTTCGCGGGCAAGGAGGGCCTCCGTGGCGTGTGCAACCAGAAGGCCGTCACGCGCGACAGGTGGCCTGGCGTCAAGACGAGCATCCCGGGACCCATGGACCTGCCGCTCGCAAGGAACGGCGAGGGAGCTGGGCAGAGGGCGTGGAAGATGGCTATGGGTGTTGTTTGGGTGGGCTATGGCGATTGGGTGGGGAAGGTTAGGGGCATCAAGGGGTTGATCGGGTTGTAGATGTAATCGTTCGCGCTGAGCTGGTCGGTGTTTCTATCGACCAGCCTTCTTGCGTTGTATATTTAAAGATTTCCTTTTAATCATTTCAAATTTGACACAATGGTATCGATTAGATGCTGTTGCTGCCCTTGTTGCTGTAGCATATCGCGGGTGTGTAGATGGATGTGGGTACCCGGTGTTGGGGCTGCCCTATGAGTCCCCTCGTCTATAGAAAAGATGTTGTAATAATGATGACAGACTGTGGTAGGATAAAGTAAAATATTCTATCGTTCACGCTTTTGCTAAATAAAAACAAGAGGTATGTTTATGGTACATTACGCCAGAGAAACAAGAACCCATCAAGCTTTTGCCGCTCGAAAGCATTTCCCCAAAAAAGGAAAAGGTAAGGACGTCCAAGATGGAGAAAATCCATAGCCATGCAATGTTGATGCCATACGGAGAAACTTGTACAAAGAAGTGGGCCGAGTGAGGGAGCTTTGCTGAGTTGCACAGCAGCGCGTTAACTCAACCCTACCCTGTGAGCTTATCCGTCCATCGACTTAATCCTTTGCCGCCTGGACGTACGCCCGCTTTGCGCTCAGAGCCAGCGTACTTTTGCTCCTCCTTCTCCCAGGTCTCGCGCTCCTGTCGCCGTCTCGCCGACCAGGCGGTTGCGAATTTCCACGCTTCGGTGTCTGCCATGCTCCATTGTTCTACCATCTGAATGATTTCCCGCATGCGGCGGTCTTTGCTCTTGAGCGCGTCTCGAGCCTTGATCAGCCGCTTTTCTTCGTTCGCTATGGCTTCGTCGTCTGGCTTTTTGGCTTCGTTTAATGGTGTGGGTTGTGCTGGACGCGGGAAGGTTTTCACACCCGGCACGTCCTTTAGGTGCCCAACGCCCCTAGCTTCCGCGGCTTCCTGAGGTAGATTGAATCCAAAGATCCAGTCCAGATCGATCTGAGTCTCGCGCTCGGCAGTGAGCCAGAGGGAATTGGAGGCGTTGTGCGGGGCGGCTACTGCTTCTTTGAAATGCACGACACGCTCTTCGCTCGAGTGGGTTTCGCCGACTGATTCGACGGTTGTTGCAGTCAGCCACTGGTCGCGCTCCCCATTCCGGCGCAAGAAATTTCCGTCTAAGTCATCGCGGTTGTATCGAAGTAGATTCATGGTGTAGGGATGCGGAACGGTGCCAATGGTGAAAAGAGTAGACGTATTCTTGTACGCAGGGTACAGTGCAGGGCCTTTCGCTTTCTCTGGATCGCATGGCTTGCACTTCGGTCTATTTGGTGGACAGGACTCAGGCATCGGTGAGGTGGGACATTGTGTGAGGTTCCTGGCAATATCAATGGCTTCATACATGAGCGCTGAGCTATGTTCCGGTAGGGGTTTGAGAACAGCCACGCCTTCTGAAAAAATGTCCTGGAAGGTTAGATGCAGGTGGGAGTTGATCAGCGTTGCCAGCATGGTTAGCCCCTCCACTTGAGTTGTGGCATTCAACTTATCAGCGACTACTCCGTATGTTTTGGCAATCGTATCAATAGAATAGTATGCAATTCCGTCGGCCTTTGGCTCCACAGCGATTTCTTTCTGCGACAGAAGGTTGACAAATGGTCCGCCCGGTTTCTTCCCCAATTCGGTGATCTTATCCTTGGTAGCCGTTGTGTTTTTGAAAAGGTCGTGGTTGACCAACTTCTTAATAACATCGTTGACTGCGCCTCCCTCGCCGAAGAATATGCCATGCTGTAGTGTGTCAACTCGCGATAAAAGAGGGTATTCCTTTCTGCGCAGGAAGCTCAGCATGGGGTTGTCGTAGTGGGCCATGGGAAGTGCTAGCCAGTTAGCAAGAATGCCGCCTTCCATATGGCCCCAGGCGAGCCACTTCATGAACTCCAACTCCACCTTCGAATCGAGCTTCATGCGCTGTACCAGATCGTATAGAGGATGCTTCTCGGATTCGTCGCGGGACAAGACTTGAGGCTTGAAACCCTGTGCCCACCAGGCTCTGCGCCATGCCAATATCAATCGACTCTCTGCTACCGAAACTTCCTTGCCCTGCTTGCCCCTCACGTCGTAGAATGTATAGATCGGTGGACGCTCCTTCAGAGGTGGAAGAACTGCGATATCCTCGTCATGGGTAACGGACGAGGAGAAAGGGTTCCGCCATTTGAAGTCGGGTAGCCATTGGAGGGGACGATACTGGCTATCAGTAGTACTGTTCGCAGACGGAGGTGGCTTATGGGCGGCGGGACCGAATGGGTTTGGTACAGGTCCAATGGGAACCTTGGGTAGATCTTCGAGCTTCGGGACACTGGGCAAGTGAGGATTCTTGACTGCTTCTGCGACTTCTTCGTAGAGCTCAGCCGAAGGAGTGGGGCCAGAAACTCCCAAGTATACAGCGACAATTAGGACAAAGCCTAAGAGAAATTGGAAGCGCCGTGGGGGCATCTGCAACCGAACAGGCCGTCCAAAACATGTGTGTTGCGTGGGCATCGTGACAGGGATGAAAGGGCGTAGGGAAATGCAAGAGAATTCCTATGATGGCATGAGTGAGGCTGCGAGGCTGACGATGCCTAGCGGGAGGTATAGTCGTTATATAATGGGAGATTGGGATTCTGTTGTTGCAGGTAGTAGGCAGGTTCTCCCTTATCGACACCGCCCCTTAGACAGGGCAGAAGGGGGCCTAAAGCGGAGGTAATGGAGAAGGTGAACAACCAAACAACGAATCAATAACCAAATGAATGGATCTGGTGAGTGTGAGCGTAGGATGTGCTGTTTTTGACTTCTAGACCGAGAGGAAGGTAAATAATGGCTAGCTGCAATAGCGTAGGTATACGCGTATATGTATCAAGGTATGAGGTAGGCACGAGTGGCACGCACGGCACGGAGGTACGTACGCCCAGCCCCAACCGTTTAGTTAATAGTAGAAGTACCAGTCCAGTGTGCCAGTCTACTACTACGAGGTAGATAGGGCTGAAGACATCGGCTTCGGTGAAACAACCACTCCGAAGCCTTCCCCAGGCCACCAGCCACATCTAAAACACTAGCCACAAGTGCCACACTTGCTAATTGAGGGGCAGGGAAAAAAGGCCGATGTCGCATGAGTCAATCGCTAACAAGAGGCTCCCATGTCCATACCTACGTCCATGTTTTATTATATCATTCCAAAAAAAGATAAAACTTATGCGTCACACCTCTATACCTTTTCACTTTTTGTCTTCCTACTGCTTTTTCCACTACAACTCAATTGTTGAACTGCCACAAGCTTACACAATCTTTTCCAGTGGATAACCTTGATCCAATCTCGAAATTGATCTGAGCTCAAGGACCACACTTGCGTAACCTTCATTTTCCTCGTTCCAGTCGCATGCCCCGCTACATCTCCAACAATCCACACCTCCATCAAGCCATTGACAGCAACAATGAGCTCAAGTCCTAATTCAAATTTGCCCGATCCGACTGCAGACCTCTCCTGGTCGGATTTCAAGGGCCCAATCCACGAGATCTTCGCTGCGAATGCGCGAAGACACCCCGATCGACCATGCGTCGTCGAGACAGCTACAACCAAGGCGGCTGAGAGGCGCTTCACCTACAAACACATCTTTGAGGCCACATCGGTTTTATCCCATCACTTTGTGCAGCAAGGTATCCAGCGCGGAGATGTAGTCATGATTTTCGCCCACCGAGGCGTTGATCTGGTCGTTGCTATCATGGCCGTACTAGCTGCAGGTGCTACATTCAGCGTCCTAGATCCACTGTACTGTGAATTGAGTCAATTGCAATCGAATCTCTCTAACATCATCGCAGATACCCCCCGGACCGCCAATGCATCTACCTCGAAGTCTCCAAGCCTCGGGCCCTCGTGGTCATCGATAAAGCAACCAAAGAGGCCGGCCCGATCTCCGAGCAGGTCCGTACTTATATCGCGGAGAACCTGGATTTGAAGACAGAAGTGCCAGGGTTGCGATTGAACGATGATGGTACACTTGTGGGAGGCCTTGTGGGCGACAGAGATGTGCTCGATGAGCAGCAGAAGTTGAAATCGGAACTCCCCGGCGTCCTGGTAGGACCAGACTCAACGCCCACACTTTCATTTACATCAGGATCCGAAGGAAAACCCAAGGGTGTAAAGGGCCGACACTTCTCATTGACACACTACTTCCCCTGGATGGCGGAGACGTTCAATTTGTCGGATCAGGATAAATTCACCATGTTGTCTGGAATCGCCCACGATCCTATCCAAAGAGATATCTTCACACCTCTTTTCCTTGGTGCTCAGCTACTGGTTCCCAGCAAGGAAGATATCCAACACGAGCTTCTTGCGGTCTGGATGCGAAGACATGGTGCTACTGTAACCCACTTGACTCCCGCCATGGGTCAAATCCTGGTCGGTGGAGCTTCTGCGGAGTTCCCAAGCTTGCACCATTCATTCTTCGTTGGCGATCTGCTCATCAAACGGGACTGCAGGCGATTGCAAAACCTTGCACCCAACGTACGAATTGTGAACATGTACGGAACAACTGAAACCCAAAGAGCTGTGAGCTATTACGAAGTGCCAAGTCGTAACGAGGCGCCTGAGTTCCTTGATTCTCTTGGAGAAGTTATCCCAGCTGGCCGCGGAATGACAAATGTTCAACTCCTTGTTGTTGATCGAGAAGACAAGAACAAGATCTGTGAGGTCGGAAAGAGTGGTGAAATCTATGTTCGAGCTGGTGGTCTCGCAGAGGAGTACCTTGGTCTCCCTGATCTTACCGCTACCAAGTTCGTTAACAACTGGTTCGTAGACCCGGCCAAATGGGTAGAAGAGGACAAGAAGCGAGTAGAGAGCCAGGGAGCGGCCGAGCCGTGGAGGGAGTTCTGGAGAGGTCCCCGAGACAGATTGTACCGATCAGGAGATCTTGGTCATTATGGACCTGACGGAAATGTCCACTGTACAGGACGAGTGGACAACCAGGTCAAGATCCGCGGATTCCGTATTGAGCTTGGCGAGATCGATTCCCATTTGGCTGCTCATCCGCTGGTACGCGAGAATGTAACACTTCTCAAGCGTGACGCGTATGAAGAGCCTACACTGGTCAGCTATGTAAGTGACTCCATATTTTGCCAACCCTTGACCTAGATGTGCAAGACTCGACACATCGAATCAATGCTAATAGTGTGGCCAGATCGTTCCTGAAATGAAGCGCTGGTACCAATGGCTTGAAGAGCGCGGAGCAAAGGATGATTCTCAAGACACGAGTCTAGTGGGCCTTCTCAAGCGATTCAAATATCTTCGAGATGACGTTAGAGAGCACCTCAAGAAGAAGCTCCCGGCTTATGCCGTGCCATCTGTGATTGTTCCTTTGCAGCGATTCCCTCTCAATCCCAATGGGTAAGCACGATTCAAGGACAATAAACTTATAAGTCGGTCCTAATTCATCACAGAAAGATCGATCGTCCGGCTTTGCCATTCCCCGAGCCGCAGCAGCTGGCAGCGGCAGGAGCTAGACGTCCTTCGCAGCTTGGAAAGGCCTTGACTGAAACCGAGAAGAAAGTTGCCGAAATATGGGCAGAGCTCCTTGGAGATCGAGGCGTGACTGCAGAAAGCATTAGCGGAACCGATTCTTTCTTCGACCTTGGAGGTCACTCCATCATCGCCCAACAGCTGGTACGTTTCAGAGATGAATTCGAATGATTTAAATTGCCTAACACTATGACTAGTTCTTCAAGATTCGCAAGCACTTTAAAGACATTGGCCTGCCAATGTCAACCATTTTCCAATTCCCCACCCTTCGAGGATTCAGCGCAAACATTGACCAGAGTTTGGACCCCATCGGTCTTCGCTTGGACACCGGTGAAGCGATCGAAGACGAACCAGAAGACGAAGATTACAGTGCCGACGCACGCGATCTCTGCAAGGAACTGAGTAATTTCAAGACGAGGGGTCCTTTGGCTCCAGGAGAGGAGATCCACACTTTCCTTACAGGTGGTACTGGCTTTTTAGGTGCATACATCTTGCGGGATCTCCTACCCAGGGGCAAGGTCACTGTCCTCGTTCGCGCAAAAGACGCCGATGGAGCCTTGTCACGTATTCGAGATACATGCCAGGCTTACGGCATTTGGGACGATGCTTGGACTTCCAAGATCCAGGCCGTTGTTGGAGATCTCGAGAAGCCTAACTTCGGACTGTCCCCAGACACCTGGAATTCGTTGGCCGACTCCGTCGATGTAGTCATTCACAATGGCGCTTTGGTCCACTGGGTGCTTCCTTACTCCAGACTCCGAGCTCCCAATGTTCTCAGCACAGTCACCGCTTTGTCGCTTTGCTCTGCGGGCAAGGCCAAGAATTTCGGTCTCGTCAGCTCCACATCTGTCCTCGATTCCGATCACTACGTGAAGAAGGGCCTCGTCCAGGAGTCTGATGACCTCGAAGGCTCGCGCAAGGGTCTCGGCACCGGTTACGGCCAGTCCAAATGGGCAGCCGAATACCTCACCCGTCAAGCCGGCCTCAAAGGTCTCTCTGGCACCGTGATCCGACCCGGATACGTCACCGGTGATCCCACAACCGGCACGACGAACACCGACGACTTCCTCGTCCGTATCCTCAAGGGCAGCATCCAGCTACGCTCCCGCCCCGACATCTCCAACACCATCAACATGGTCCCCGTCACACACGTCGCTCGCGTCGTCGTCGCTGCCTCCTTCTCGCCTCCCGTATCCCCCATCGGAGTCGCGCAAATCACCTCCCACCCGCGCATCACGATCAACGACTTCCTAGGCGCCCTGGAAACCTACGGATACCAGGTCCCCCAGGTCGACTACAGCGAGTGGAAGAAGTCAATGGAGGCTTACGTGGCCGGCGCCGCGCCATTCGAAGACGCAACAGAGGACCATGCACTGCTGCCCCTCTACCATTTCGTCACTGGAGATCTTCCTGCCGACACCAAGGCCCCCGAGCTCGACGATGTGAACGCCGCCAGCGCCCTCAAGAAAGATGAGGCGTGGACCGGTCAGGACTGGAGCGCGGGTGGAAAGGTTACTGTCGAGACGGTCGGTGTCTACCTGTCCTACTTGATCGAGCTTGGCTTCATGCCTAAGCCTCAGGGCGCGGGGCCGTCGGCTCTTCCACAATTGAACCTTAGTGCGCAGATCAGAGAGGGCATGCAGAGGGTTGGTGGCAGGAGAGGTGTGGCCTAGACTACTTACTGATGACGTACTGAGAGTTTTGGGAAGAGAAAAAGAGTTCTTGGTCACTCTTGACATATTTATGTACGCCTATATCATGCACGGTAAAAAAAGAAAGAGGCAAAACGAAACCCACAAAAGACGACTTATAAAACGGTAGATAGTATATATATGAATCAAAAGACTTCATTATTTTTTTAAAAAAAATAACCCCGTCTACGTACTACTGACTCAAGTGAACATATATGTACATAATATCCTTGATATGCGCGCTGAATCGACGACGACAACAACACTACTCAAAATAAAACCATACCTCACTATTTGGAAGAACCCCCCTTCTTCACAGCTTTCTCCTTATTCCTCTCTGCTACGTCCCTGATGATCTTTTCCGCCTCCTTCGTCACGTCCGTCCCGATGCGCCAGCTCTTCAACGTCACGCCGTTGTCTTTCAGTATCTGTTCCGCGCGTGCCCATCTCTGGTACCAGAGGGCTTCCCGCTTATTCATGCCTTGTTCGGCGTATCCATATCCATCGGCTGTGCCTTGGTTGCCATTGCGGCCGTTGAGCCCAAGTGTTGAGGACGTGTTGGTGCGTTGTGGATATTGGGATCCGCCGGAAGCAGTGGTCGAGTAGGAGTTTGCGCGCGCCATGTTGGCATTAGGATTATTCGAGGTGTGGACTAGATGGGAGGGAAGTGCAGGCGCGGCTTGCCAGGCAGAAGTGGCCTTGGAGCCGACGTACGAGGCTGCTGCGCTTGGGTAGGCGGTTACACCTCGCCGGGGTGGAGGGGGCGGGGGTGCCTTCTTCGTGCCGCCGGCACTGCCCTCAGGTTTGGAATCTGCGTGGGTATCTTTGGAGCTCGAAGACGGAAGGTAAGATGACGCAGCAGGGAGTTGGTTGTACGCTGAGACGAGTTTGTCCCGAGCCATGCCGGCGTAGGTTTGTTGCGATTGTGCTGTTGGTTTGGGTCCTGGCTGCGGCCGCAACGGGGAACCTTGGGGCCTCGATGATGTTGATTGCTGAACAGTAGAAGAAGAATTGCGAGGCTTGGGTGGCAATGGGGGCTTTCCAGAGGCGGGCAATGATGGGGCGTATGAATCCCCAGACATGCTGCGGAGGGAGGTGGGTTTCTTCGGCGGCGGAGGAGCAGCTTTGCTGCCTGCAGAAGAGATGGCTGGTGCCGATTTATTGTTTGTCTCGGTCTTGGTGTCTGTATTTACTCGGCGCAGGGCAGGCCCAGTTGGTGTTTCGCGATCTGGAGACAAATCTATGAGGTTCGGCGTTGACTCTGATGCAGCTTGCGACGATTTTCGTGCTGGTAATTTTGGCCGCATGTCGGGATGGTCATCATCGATTTCTGGGAATAAAGACTTCGAGCGTTTCTTGTTGTCTTCTTCCAAGTCTCGTAAGGAGGCTTCAATTGCAGCTCTGAGATGGGGGTCATCGTCTTCGACGTTGTTGGCAGCTGATGCAGATCTATGAGCAGCATCATTCCCTTCTTGAGAAGACGGCATACACCCACCAGGTCCAGGTCCTACGGATGTGTCAAAAAATCCTCCACCTTCAGTTGTCGTGACGTCCCGGATGAAGACCGCAACTACACGCCCGGGGTTTTCTAAAACAAAATCTGTGTAGACCTCCAGATCTGCCTCACCGCTATCACCGATCAGGATGAAACTCCTTTCTGGGAAATCTCTAGCGATTTTGTCAAGAGTGCTCTTTTTGCGCTCAGCGACGGGCTCGAAGATTCCTTGCAGCATACCACTATACTGTTTCAAATGGAAAGAGCCGGGTGGTAGACCCGCCATCTCAAAGTACTTCGAGATGACCGGGAAAAGTTGCCAGGGAGAATTGGAAACATAATGGAACTTGACGCCCATCTCAAACATCCTAGTATACCACTCCCGAACACCTTCTATGGTCAGATCTCCCAATTCTCTGATGAAGGCGTTGCGGAAGATCTCGCGGGCACCACTGCTGATGGCCGAATGTTTGATTGTGTCATCAATATCACTGATAACACTAACTCCGTAGGGATCGGTGACAATTATTTCTTCGGTGGCAGACAGTTTGTCTGATGCGAGAATACGCACATGCGTCGGTACAAAGTCCAGGGCAGCACAGATGCTGAAATGACCTGATGGATTCGTGTATATCGTCCGCTGTTTGGAGATTTTCTCATTGTAGAAGAAAACACTGATTGGGGTATTTGCCATTGGGATAGCGAGGAAGTGGCGAAGCCTTGCCATCAAGCGGGCATTTGCCTCTGCAAGCTCTGCAGAGGACATATCTGCAGGCTGATTCCATGATGCGCGTTTCTCTATTGCTTTAATGTTTTCGTCCCGGTTTGCAAGGCTGGGCTGTAGATTACCTCGCGAGTCTATCGAGCGTATGCTATCTCGGCTCTGTGCCCGATACAGCTTCGTGTTGTCGTCATCGACCGCAGGCTTTTCGCTGTATGCACCTTTCTCTGCGGCCTTAGCCTCTCTCTCACCCCTTTTCAAGATCTCCTCTGCCTCTTTTGCTGTTAGAAGCTCTTCACGCTGAGCCTGTCGAATTTGTGTCCGGTCTCTGTGGTTCAATTGACCTGGACTAGGCTCTCTACTCTGGTTCGGGCTTACTGATGAGCTCGCGGGAGTTGAACCGGCGGGTGGTGCTTGTATGCCTACGAGCTGCCGTGCCAAACCAATGAAGAGTCGTTGTTTTCTAGACATTTGACCCTTGTGTGGCGAATATATCCAGCCTCGTACATCAACGTCAACGACGGCATTGTCATCCTCATAGTTGTCCCATTGCTGCTTCCAGAACTCTGCGTCTCCTGCACCAGTAGAGTCTCGAACATCGCGACCTTCGCCTTCGACCTCTTGAATAGTACCCGGTTCTGCTTCTGGCTATAGGATTGTTAGGAATAATTACAGTCAAGCGCATCAAGAAAAACCGACCTTCCGCTTCACATGCTTCCGCGCATAGCTCGGAAACAGAACCATCTCCTCTTCCCCACTCCTTACTACGGCCGCGTCAGGGAAACTGCCGGGTGTATCATCCTCATATTCATAAGCGCCCTGATTCTTGCTCCAGCCAGACGCATACTGTTGCTGATACGTCTGCCTAAGCTCGTTCGCAGCCTTCAGGTACCCAGCAAGCTTCTTCCTTCTAGCACCTGGCTCTCGTGGTGCATAATTCCCTTCTTGATAACTCATCTCTGTGTTCGCGGATGTGGTTGATCCGGTTGCCTTCATCGACTTCTGCCTTCGCAGCCCAGCTTCATTTTCGAGCCAGCTCGAGTTAGATCGTAGCAGGTTCCTCGTGTGACCACGTAATCTCTGTATGATACCCGGCTTACGCTTGAGTTTGATCGCCTGCCTGTAAAGAATGTATCTATATATGCGTGACTGTGTCCGTTGTCGAAGAGATCGAAGAGTTTCGTGCCGAAACTTGGAGAGATGTGCGCGGGCACGCTGACGAGTGTGCGGGAATAGGAAGCGGAAGAAGGAGGAGGAGGCGTGGGAGGTGGGCTTTCGGCGAAAAGGAGGAGGGGGCATTCAGCTCATATATCTTCCTGCTTGCGGGTAAGGTCCGCGTATTAAACTTTTCCAGTGTGCAGAGTGACTTGCATCATGGTTTTCTTGAATGGCAAAGCTAGGAATTGCACTCCCCAGGTACAGCTAGACGTCATGCTGATCTCGCGGGTAGCACGGACCATTTCCCGAATTGGCTATGTACCCAAGGGACCCATATTGTACATCGTGCAGATGTATTTGATGTGTACAGGTTACCCAATGGAAATTGAATCACTCGTAGTTCTAAGATCAAAGATTCAATGCATCTGAAACTTTCCTTGCAGTCGATCTCAAATTCTTCTTCATTAAAAATTAACTCGCGCAAATATAATATTTCAAGTCTACTGCGCAATGGCACTTAAAGCGCTCCTGACAGATGGCACCTGTGCGCTCAAGACTTGAACGATTTCGTCCCAAACTTGTGATGCAATCTTCCGGTTTTCGTCTCCAGCTACACTTGGACCGATGGGTTGAAGTTCGTCATGCTGCCAGAATCGTCCATGAGCACTTTCTCCCAGTACTGTTCCGCTGACAATGCTTCTTGCCCCTTGCTCCGCTGTACGCTGCAAGAGTATACCGAATAACCAGGTGGCAAATCTTGCTCCAGGAAACTTGTAATCGCGTGGCAGATTTGTCGCCACCATTCCGGGGCATATTGAAGTTATTATGACCTCGGCGGACGAAACTTGTGCCGCAAGTGTGTTCGTCGCGTACATTAAGAATAACTTGGAAATAGAATACTGATGGTTTGCCTTGAACTGTTCTGGTATGTTGTAAGTTCGCAGGTAGGACGAATTTTCGATCGCATCTGTTTGAATCTTTGCTCGTTGATGAAGTCCTGAATTGGTGAATTCGAGAACTGGGATATGATTGCTGATCTGTCTCGTTGCTTTTAGCTTAGGCAGGAGCAGTATGCCTAAAAGAGCAGTCGAAAGTGTATTGACCTGCAGGTCCTCCTCGAATCCATGTCGCGACTGTCGGAAAGAAGCATTGTAGATCGCAGCGTTCAGAATTGCAATATCCAGGCGCTCTAGTGCATTCGCACGCTCTGCAAAAGATTGAATGCTCTCATAGGATGTCAAGTCAAGCTCCCAGACTTCGAGCTGGTTTTTCGAACCTGTTCTGGCCTCGATACTGGCCTTCACTCTGGCGCCCTTATCCAAATCTCGGGCAGCCATAATGACTTTGGCTGCGCCTAACAAGGCGAACTTAGCAACTGCTTCGAGACCAATCCCGGAAGTTGAACCAGTGACAATGATGCAGCGCCCTGCAAATGATTCGGTAGTATCTCTAAGAGGAATCCACTTGTGTTTTAGAATGCGGAAGAGTGAAGCCATTCTGCCTGACGATCCGATAAACGTTGTGTCTGTTTTGATAAGGGATATGGGTGGAAATTGGTTGTATAGATGATGATGCTATTCACGAATTGGCGAAATTTCGAACTGAGTCGGTCGCGAAATGAAGAAGACAAATGATTGTTTGTGGTAGATTAATGATTAGAATTTATAGGCACAAAGAATGGCGTATTTTTGTCCGGTAGGGATCAAGTTCGCATTCTGCCATCTACGAATAGGGATGAGATGAAGTGCGCATTTCGTCCGAGACAAGCGTATTCGCCGACAGCAGATCCAAAGACCCCTAAAATGTTTCGATGGTTGCCTTATCGATTCGAAAATACCGCGATGCGCGCTTCTGGAGCTTAAGAGAGATCCAGCTTAGGGGAGAGCAATGCCTACGGACCTGTAGTATGTACATGATGTAACAACGGGCTAGTCGAAGTCGGACATCGGACAAACAATTTACCGTGTTCTCGTCGTTGTCCCGTAGTTACCCCGAGCGCATCTTCGACGACGTCAAATGTCAACGAGGGGTCAATCAGACAGCGTCTATATGGCCATGATATCACCGATCCTACCGATTTACCGACACTGCTAACAATCCAATCTCCTCCATTCCTGCCATTCGCGACCGATACAGTACTTTCACGATGAGCTACCCCCCTCCTAACCAACACCATGGCCACCCCACGGGAGCTCCGCCGAACATGGCCGCCAACTTTAATGCCATGCTACAGCGCTCGATTCAGGAGCCAGCTCCTCAGGATATTATTTCTGAAGTTCCTGGCAGCCAGCCGGCAAGCATTGGTAGGGACAATTTTCAACCTCATTTGGAATGGACACTAAGTATGTACCATCAGGCTACGGAGGTGTTTATAGCTCTACCCCACCAACACAGTTCGCTGCTCCGACTCTAGGAAGAGGAAGAACTCCCCAGCCACAGCAAATACTACCAACAGAACTACCACCCCAGGCTTTCCTCACGTCAGCGATGCTACTAGATATGGTCGATAGTGCGTAGGAATCATACTCTAGCGATTTAAGGGCAAGTAGCGTTAATGCGGACAATAGAAAAGGTTGACGTACTTCTCCGTGACGAGAAGGAATATATTGGCATATTGCGCTCATACGATCAATTTGGTAGGCCAATATCTCGTCCACCCTTTCTTATTGAAACTTACAATACCAGCAAACCTTGTTCTTACCGAATGTTCCGAACGTATATCTGCACGAAATCCCGAAGCTTCAAGCGAAGACTTGAGCATTGCGAAATGGCTAGTATGCGATGTGAAGCTGCCAGGAGTCATGACGATAAGAGGCGAGAACGTTACGATATGTGCTACAGTCGATCTTGACCGCGAGGATACCCCGAGGAATGTCAAATTCGCGCCTGAGAACGAGATCCGATCGCTTGCTGCAGAACAAAAATCACAAAGAAAAACAAGAGATGATCGTAGATTCAAAGCTTTGAAGGCCGCCGGCATTGAGCCAGGTTTCGGCATGCAAGCATAGACAGTCGATAATACTTTGTTTATTATCAGAGTTTGAGTGACTACATGGGCGCTCAAGGCGGGATCTGGTCTATCAAATAGAGGCGCTCCGGCTCATTGTTCTTCCAGGAGATACCAGGACGGGCAAGTCCATCAATGTTATGTGGGGAGGAATATGGTATGCAGTGATGCCATTGAACGCACATTACTGTGGTCTAAGCAACGAGGCGCTTGCAATTGTGGGGCGTCTAATTTCGAATCGAGATGGAGATCAGGACGATTCGCATGGGAATGTCACGGAAATGCAGTGCAGATAAAAGGGATTTTCAAGATTTGGACGGCTGGCCTCGTACACCTCCAATTGGATTTCTCCGCACGCAATTATCGAAAAGAAGGAAACATATCTATTATATCGTATACCTCAAATGTGGACAAAATTCCACTTCCAAAATAGGATGAATGAATTCCCATCCACCATTTACTTCAATTTCTCTTCGTCTCGGAATCGTGCACTGCTTACCAAAGCCTACTTCAGGTGGGATCTGACTCATGAGGGTTTATACTTCTTGAGCAGCATATGGCAATGTGATTTTCTATCATGATCTAAAACTCCATTACCCCCAAAGGGTACAATCTCGTGCATCCGCCATGTCAGAACTCACACGAGGGAATCTCCACTCTTTTGAACTCTAGATTTCCTGGTCTGAAAACGAAAAAGAAGGCGAAGAAGGATACAAGGTGGTGATTGGCCCTCTTTGCAGCAAGCTCCGCCATTATTGGTGATTGTCAGAGCTCATATTTGATAGTCTTAGATGTTGAATTGCCACTAGCATGCGTAAAGCTATGGGAAAGTCTCATTTATTTTAACCTTCCCGTGCCCTTCATGAGCAAGTGACTACACACACCAGCATATTGAGGAAAAAGCTTTTTGCTTCTGTAATTTTGAATGGGTTCCACCAAAAGTCCGCTTTCCGTGATCTTGTGCAGGCACATACAGTCTGACCGGTAACGGTGTCGGTGTAGATAGAATAAAATAGGCGAAATGTGTCCGATACATGGATGGTCCGGAAATTTCAAGGACTGGTGCATCTCATGTTCCACAAAATGGATCAGATTGCCAAGGAACAGTTGTAGATCCCAGACATTGGCGAGAGAAAATAGTGAATCATTTCATGTAGTTTTCTACTAAAGGCCAGATCACCACCACACTTCGCCTTTGGCTGAACGATCGTTATATCTGGAATCAAGCTTTCCTGTTTGACGTGGCTACAATATCAACAACTTAAATCAACATCGACGTCGATCGTATGTGTTTTGGATGCCCCCGTCATTGCGCCCATCGCCCTTTTGACCCGAAGATGCATTGTACACGGCCTGGCCTTGACTTCCGGCTGAAGAACAAGAATTCAGGCTTGCCGTCGAATCGGTGTTATTTTCCATCAGTGCGAGTTGGCGGATGGGCGGTCTCGGGGGGGATTGAGGCGAAAGGGCGACAACTGAATCGAGAAGGTAAGTAACTAAGAAAATACTGAGGTAATTACTTGTTTGGCGGCATCTACTATGGCACCACTCCACCTAAACACCCTAACGTGTTCTTCAAAATCCACCAATGCCAATTGCTTCTAACATCATGCCATGTTTTAACATGATGGTCTAGAGATGGTCTAAGTATCCACAAGTTGTTCTATCATCAACCACCCTAAATTCTCGGGTTTCGTGGGTACGGTGGTTATGTGAGTCTATGGCACTCCACATGCCTGATCACTGTCCAACGCAAATAGAGCAGCACGCTTCGCCGGCGTCCGGGTTTGACCTCTTGTTCGCAATCTATTCGGAGGGGGGGGGGGGGGGGGGGGGGGGGGGGGGGGGGGGGGGTTGTGGATAGCTTCTGATGCGAGGTGATGTGCTGAGTATTCTCTGGACGTGTTTGTTGATAACTGATGTATGTCATCAGCAAGGGAGATATTCATCTACTTTGGGTAATAAGAAGAGCAGGATTCAATCAATTCGATAATGGACAGTGCTTGCCCGCCGCGCATCGTATGGTCCAGCCGTTCGAACGAAGAGTTGCAAAGTACAGAACATCATGACTTGCAGTCTGAACAAGGTGAGTTCGGGAAGGAGACGTTGCGGCTCGTCCCGTCCACTTTACTGGGATCCATGGTTGAGGCAGCAGGAGCTAAGGACCTAGCTTCTTCCGTACTGGAGAGAGTCAACTTCCAACCTCACCTCAAGACCTGGCACCCTTCTAGGTATCTTCCATCATCATTCTCCCTTCAATGTCCTGTGATTGGCGGCTCGCCATTGTCGATGTGGGACAGCCCGCACATGGCGGCGTTGTCGAGGTAGTACAATAGAATCGTGAGTGCTTGACTGTCGACTGCAAGGCTTGCCGACGCATACTTGAAAGAGTGCTCCTGCGAGGGCGAATGAGAACGAGGTACACAACTTGAGCTGCAGGAAAAACGATGATGGCACCCTTCTATCCTCCGAATACATCCAATGATGGACAGGAAAACAAGCGCCGACATGCAGAACGGCCGCCTTTTGGGAGCAAGCCACAATGCCAAGATGAACGTCTAACAACTCAATTGTCAAGATTGCGAAACGCGCGAGCCGTTGGTTGGAGTCCACGAGTTATCTCATTAAGAGCTGGAGTGCCCTGAAAATGATCTGGATACATGCCAGATTTCATGATTGCTTTCTTGCTGTCTCCCTACTCGTACATCATCATCATCCTCATCCTCATCCTCACCCCACCTCCAACATTCCAAGTCCATCTCGACGTGCTCCTATTTCAGCGCTTTTCGCGGAAAGGGTTTTACCCCTCTCAACGAATGGGCCAGTGGCTCTGCCCAATCCTGCTTTCCAGCTTGAGCAGATCGCCACAAAAAGGTTGTCTCAATGGCTTCTTCATTACAGGGCATAGTGTCCGTTCCTGGCGTATGAGGTTGTCCTCCGGGGTGCCAGAGCTCTGGGTCCTGCTCATGCACGATCTGTGCAACTCGGTACTGCGTTGAGCTGCGGTGGCTCTATTTCTTCTGAAACAAAAAATGTTCAATGGCAAAAGACCTCCCAAGTAAGTTCGTTCTTTCAATCTGCGATTCTATACATCTCTTATCGGATCGTATGCGCGGCTACTGCTTGGCGATAAGTCCGGGGACTGCGGTGTTGACGACTGTTGCTGCAGGTTGGCTTCCGGCTGGGTATCGAGGTGGGTTTGTGACCCGGTATTTGATGGTGACATCCCTCCCACCTTTGCACCTATGATCCCTTCGGCTAAATTTCGATAAAATTAGCTCCCTATACATGCATATACATATGCTAACCGTCCGGGGTATATATGTAGAACTGGTGCGCCCAACATACGGTATTTGCGCTGTATGTCTCTCAGCAATTGCGACATTCTCCATTTCAGTATTATCATCTCGACAGCGGGAATGCCCTCCGATACAAGCCGTGCATTTATTCGCCTTAGCATCATTTCTTTTTCGTTCGCCGGTATTAGGATCCATCTTGTCCAGTCCGGATGCGCCTCTGAGAGTTGTTTGGCTTCGTCTTTGGTAATGAACTATGTCCGGTCAGAGAACACCCAAATATACGCTTATACACTTACGTAAAATCTATCCCATTGTTCTTTGTAGTGACCGGCGGCGGCTCGAGCCTCATTAACGGTTGCGTTAATTCGGATACTCATCTTCTCAATCAATGAGCGAAAACAAGAGCGTCTGCGGAAAAGTTGACCGCTTAGGCTCTGGATTCCAGAGAAGCGAGAGGTTTTAGGGCACAGCGGTCCCCCCCGCTTCCGCCTAGCCTTGGCATTGATTTGTTTTTAGAGGCTGAGGTGAGTGACACTGACGCTCTGCCCGGGCCAGGAGGAATCGGAATCGGCGGTGGCTGAAAGATGCTTGTGCGTCATGGCGGGTCGGCCGTTATTGGTAGCAGATTGTCAAGGTGAGCACGGGATCTATATGCTTTAGTGCTATTTCATCTTTGTTTCCAGTCCTCAAAAGTAATTCCTGTGGCAATATCGAAAACGTGGGAAGCAATTCATCAAATCGATACAGCTACCGGACTGACTCCTTCCGTGGTGCTACCGTTCCAGTGACCCTATCGCGGGTATCGAATCGTTCCAAGAGAATGGTTAGCCTTCGTTTGGCTGTGGGCATCCAGGGCAGGAGTCCTTTGAGACTCCCAGCAATGTCAATCAATTCTATGTGTAGCTCGAGAGCCCAGTTTTCGCACGAATGGCACCCTTTTTGATTCGTGCCGAAACCTCGCTCACGGGGACTTATTGTTTAGCTCAATGTAGTCAAGGCGCGACTAAGGAGTAATACGGCATTGCCATGCCATATGACCTAAGACGTTTCGCAGTCTCTTGGGAACCATCGAACCGGTAACTATTACCTGGAAATGAGCATCATCACTAGGACACCATCCCGCGCCCGGGCTTGTAGATCATCCGTCTCACGACGTTTCTTCCACTCGTACCGAGAACCCGACCGACCTAGGTGCCGTCTTCTGGAGGCGGCCCGACCGCTCAGTCTTGTCACGGCCTAGCATCGTTAAAGTGACCATACCTGGCAAGAACCACGCCACCACTAGACAATTGGGGACTGTAGATTCAGGCTCAGAGATCAATCGGATAGTGTGTTCCATCACTCGACACACCCTCTGCACATCCAAAGTGACCATGGATCTAGGTCTCAACGAATCCATCATCACGTTGGATAATTTCCAGAAGGATACCCCTTGCTTACGAATGATACTCTTCTCAGGAACAGGAACAACGCCACTCAGCAATGTGGTCCTTCAGCTGCCTTCGTACCCTAGACGGTTTGACCGGTGATCCTAGTATTGATTCTACACAGTATGATAAGGAGGGACCATGGCTTTAGTCTGTTGTTGTAACGGAAATTGGGGAGGGTTCTTAGCCAATAATTTACAGCTCCAAGAAGCTGGTGCGTTCTCTATACTGCTGCACACGGAAACCAGACAGAAACGTTTACTGTCTTTCCCTGCTATGCAACACTGTCCCATATAGTATACGGGTTCGTGCAGCAAGTTCGATCTACCAGATGGAGGATGTGTAGGCCGAGAACGATGGCGTTCATCTTGGTTCCACCAGAGAGAAGCCTCATAGATGCGTTGCTCAGGCTTGCTGTGGCGCGGACCGATCCGGTATTCTCAAGTTTACCCCCAAATCCCACTACGTCCGGAAGCAAACGTCATGTTCAAGCAGGATTGCACACTGCTAACTCGATATTGCTCATGAACTAACAGTGCTGATGACTTTATCGGTCGTGGAAATTTCGTTGTGATACGCGAAGTCCACCTTAGTTCTACACTTAGAGCAAGCGTATTGAGAAGGTAACACGAACCAAACTCCTCGTGCTTCAGGCAATTGATCAGGTGCTCTGACAAACAAACTTCAACTATCGAAAACGATTCGCACTTAGATATTCGTTTTGGTTGTATTCCAAACTTATGCAGAGCAAGCTCAATATGGGAAGTGCTTATGTGTCGTCCCAATAGTCATCTGGGGCATACCCTGCCCCGATATATAAGGGGAGAGAAGGATGGTCTATGCGTTGGAATACGCCACAGCCCAGGCGCTCTATCCATTTCCCGAGAGGGAAGTTTGTGCAGGGATGGATAATAGGGGAACACGGTAACACACGGATTTCAACTACCTAGTGGGCCTGCAGCATGCGACGCATAATCTTCGAACTTCTTTTGTGCGACCTTCGTGGCGTGGAAAACTGGGAAGATGGAATCCGCGCGGGAGAGCGCGCGCGACAGCCATCGGATTGAAAGAAACGGGATTCAGGGGTTTTGCGAGGGGCTTCGAGAAAAGTCGCGTTCTTCTGTTGGTGGAGATTGGACTTCGGGTCATGTACTCGTAGGTTCACGTCCTAGATCTCTTCTCTAGCTTTGGGTTACATCTTTACTATCAGCCTTGAGGCCCAATTTGTTCGTCGTAGCATTGCCTTACAATTCTGCTACTTTCACATGCCCGCCCTCTGAGATTGTCTCGCGCGTGCACAGAGCTCTGTCTGAACGCATATTTGCCCATGTCGTCGTAATGGCCCTACTCCCCGACCTTAACTTACATTAGCACACCTCAGGTCCGCTTTATCCACCTATACGAGGGATATGTGGGCAAGCATCAGAGATTTGGCAAAATGGGCCCTGACTGCGCCGGATCGATCTATACAATGTGATCATGGGAGAGGGGACTTCTCCGCATCACATCGTGACAGAACAGTGGCCACATGGTATTGAATCCTGAGTGCAAGAGAACCGAATGGATCATTGCTGCTTTGCAGGATTTCTGCGCTGCCTCTCACGCATAAAGAGATTTTGTGTTGGGACGCGATCCCCACTGCTGTTTTATTCCGATAGATGGAGCTGTTTCCGAGAAGTTCTCAGACTTTCAATAAATTATATACAGAGAAGAGAGTGGTTGGTGACGACTACGAGAGTGACATTGCACATCAGGTGCATACCTGGCTGTTCTCGAATTTTGGAACTCCTCCTCCACGGGATCAACCGCGTAGAAGAGAAAGATACATTAGGTGTGTGCTAACTATAAACAGCATGGCTGATGAATTCTTCTATGTGACCAACAAAAGGAAAAAGTGAAAAAAAAGAAAAGTGCCAAGTATATGCTGGAGGGGGTATCTGATGCTTGTACCGAGTGTTCTAGACAAAAGAAATGCAAAAGAAGGAAAGAAGAGCTTCCTCCTAGAACCAGCCTTTAGTGCTCTGATAACTTCCCGCCTCTTAGGAAGACTCTTTTTGTGCCTCCAAATTTGCCGAGATCACCGAATTCATGCTGCTTACGCGCTCCTGACCTGCTGTCCGACCTGCTACCAGCTGCCTCCCGTGGTGCTTGCGGTTGCTGTTGCTGTTGCTGCCCAGATGTCTCCTCTGATCGAGCCATGTTGGGTATGTTGTTGCCACTGACGGTCCTGGCCTGCTTCATCATTCCCTCGATCCAGTCCAATTTTTCCCCACTGAGATCCAACTTTTTCGCCTTGGGACCGGCGAGGCCAACTTCGTTGCCAGTCCAAGAATGCCGTGAAGATCCTGTGGATGGTGCAGACGCCTCCCCAATTCCCCCACCAGGTGTCGTGTTCAGATTTGGCATTGGAGGTGGCGCATCGTCCTTTGAAATTCCCTGACCGATGATCTTCTTGGGCGTTGTGCTTGGGCTATCCACATGAGAGCCTCGGCTCATCGCTCGACCTTTGCTCATTGCACTCTCGGGCCGGGGTGACTCTGTAGGGCGGACCTCGAGACCAAGAATCTCGAATTTGCCTTCGCTCACAGTTCGTCGCCCATGGTGCTCCGCATACTGTCGTAAGTATTCACCCAAGTCGGCCCAGCCGCCACCGACGCGTACCATAACACGCTCACCATTCTCTCCGACACGACGGATGAACAATTTAACAGGGTGTTCTTTTCCGGGCTGAGTAAGATGATATAGCTTGATGTCGTTGTCGTTTCGGAGTGCTGATGCTGACCTGCGGCCTGAATATGTTGAATCAGAGTCTGCCTTCGCAGGCGACAAAGTAAGCTCTGGAGATTTCAATCCGTTGATCGAGCGCGCTGTACGTAGCAAGCCTTTACTGCCTCTGCTTCTCAAAGGCCTGCGTGTGGACTTCACCTCTGGTGCGTTAGCACCTGGACCAGAAGTAAGACGAATGTGAGCAGGAATGGTAGTCAAAATGTCGGATATCTTTTGTTCGAGATCCTCGGTGCTATTAGAAGCAAGCTGCTTTGAGAATTGTGTTGGAGGCCATGGCGCACTTTCGGTTTTTGGACTGACACTGGCGTTGATACTAGAGTCTTTTGTGCTATTGAGTGGCCTCCTCTTACTCATGGCTGCATTCAATTCTGGTTTTGGATTTCGAATTTTGCGGGTGGTTGTTTTGCGTACGGAAGGTGAATCAAGTATTACGCTTGCTGGACTTGACGAGAATGAGATGTCTGAGGAGATGGAATCGACGCTACCACGCCGGAGCCTTGGAGTCTGGGGTCGATCTGAATGGGACTCAGATTCCGTGTCTTCCTTTATGGGAGCCATCGAGAGTGAGTCAGAGAAACTCAGTGATAATGGGTCCTGCGGATTGGATTCGATTGAGGGAGATTCAACAAATGATTCGTCAAGTTCATTATGGATCACAGTGTCTCCATCCTCGAAGTCGAATTCATCATCCGATGGAAGTGGCTCCTCCGAAGCGATGGTGCTCTGTTGCGACTTCTCAGGGCTGGACAGAGGCTCGTCACGATCTGGCTCAGGACTGGTACGGACAATAGCAATGGATCCGAATCCAGAAGTCTTGCGTTCGTTGATATGCACAGAACCTGACACCCTGGGTCTGAGGATCGGTGGCGGGCTATTACGTGCGGTGGATACATCAGGCTGATTGGCCGGATTATGGACCTTTGATAAAGTCTTTTCGAAAAGATCTGCTCCGTTCTGGCGCGGTACTCTCTGCAATTCGAACTCGATCACTCGCTTTCGTGATTCGTGTGTCCAATTTCCAAATCCAGACTCAGTAGCCTCGAAAGAGTCAATCCACCTTTCAGGTAAGCAATCTTCACGCCCCTCTAGTGTGTCTAGCATCCCGTCAAGGCGTTGACCTAGATTGGCGATCTTCTGTCGTAAGACCACTGATATGGTGTCAACAGCCTCCTTCCACTTCTCCAGAGCAGCATCTGAAGAATCACTTGGTGGGTCAAGAGCGTCCCATGCTAATTGCATAGCCTTTTGCGAAGTTTTGAGGTCGTCGAGATACCGAGGAGCTTCACGAAGAATCGATACACGCGCGGTCCAGGTATTTAATCGTTCTTTAAGTCGGAAGTGATCGGGAAGTGCGGAGAGAAGTGTTTGTGTTATGAGAAACGAAAAATCGTCCAAAGGTTTATAATTCTGACGCGAAGATTCGAATCCGGCAGAAGAAGGTCGCGACCGGTTGGGTCCGTGAATATCCAAGACATGCTCCTTGAGTTCCTCGATATCCAATGTGAGCAGGTCGTCACCAATCTCGTCTAAGCGGGCTTCGTGGGCTTTGACTTCGACCGACAATAGCGAGCCCCAGTATTCGAGGGGACCAATCTTTTCAAGGGCTTCGGTGTCCTTTACATGCTCCTTAATGCGCAACTCTAAGCTTCTCCTCCGTGATTCACGAAATTCCTCGGATGGTTGATCGAAGTTCCCAGACCATCCCCATTGTTCGATTTCCTGGCACCAGCTTTTTAGCCTTTGAGCGGCTTTTGCCACCCTGGCACCCAAATCCCGTTCCGCAGCAGTGAGATTATCTATACAAGCAAAAATCTTGTATTCGTCGCGGGTGACATCGTGTGGCATGGGTCGCTCTGTGAATGCGCGGAGGGTGGCCGTCGGAGAGAGATCGCGGAGATGAGATTCTTCCGACGATCCTAGTGCTCTACCTCGTCGGCCTCCTGGTGACATTATGGGTGATGGGGCACGTCGAGGAGATATCGGAGGAAGGAAGTGCGGTGGGCTCGATAACGAAGACATGGCTAAGGTGGTGGTGTTGGGAAATCATGTAGATGGATGGAAAGAGTGGCGGAGGTCCGGGGAAGCACGAGAGCGTGGTGTCTCTATTTATGTTTGCTTTGTTGTTGTTTTTGTTGTTGCTGTTGCTGCTGCTGCTGCTGCTGCTGCTGCTGCTGTCTTGGTTAGTAGTTAGTATGGCATCACGGCTGAGCCCTTCGGTGAGACAACAGAATAGCTTTGACGTGTCTGAAGTGATGGATGGATGTAACTGACAACATTGTATGAATTAAATGAATGGATGGTCCGGCCGCTCTGCTTGGCCGCAACCGCGGAACGGGAAATGCGACTAGTGCCTAAACGGGTATGGATGCAGATCATCCGCCTAAACGCAAAGCGGACAGTCAGTCAACTCACTCATACACTGTTTGTACCCATTCTCATTACACAAACACAGTACAGAATACGCCTTTGAGTAATCCCTCAAGCCGAAATATGTCATAGTTCGAATACTAATTCGAAGCTACCTTGCCGTGTCTTGGAACCGGATCGCTGTTTTGCTTCTATAAGCCGAGTTCTTTTCTACTTCAACAAGATCCTACGTCCTACCCATTGTGCTATTGGGATAGTTGACCATTTGATTAAGAATAATCTTCAAAGCCTCGTCCCTGGGCGCAGAATGAATAGACAAAATCCTACCCCGAATGTTTTACACATCAAAGTATCAATAGGTAACCTTCCGATGGATTGTATTCCTCAACATCGGCTACTTTGCTAAGCGATGGTTACCTGGAATGGTTCCTTGCCGAAACAATACTTTACCCCTCTGCACATCACCGTCATCGTCCTCTGCCAAGTACCTCTCCCATCGTTTCCCCGCCTGCTATCTGTTGCGACCTTCCAGATACAGCTATAGACTGCTGGTATCCGTAAGAATGGTCAATTCTTGGTTCCAAGCTTCCCAAGCTCTCCACGCTTATGGTGTCACGAAGCGTTGCGGATGGGTCGTGTTCCAGGATGTTCGGCGCAATTGGGCCTGTCGTTGACGTTATCCTTCTGTGCTTTCGTCCGCAGTCCTGCTTGACTTGATACATTTGGTACTTAAGGACATGTACCCTCGTATATTCACATTTTCTCTGTCTTGCTATCGGGTCTACTACTGGTTGCGATAATGAAGGCAGCTATTCTTATACTCGCCGCAATTGGCGCTCAAGCGTGCCAGAGAGAGCGATCTTTTAAAAATCATCTCCACACCCATGTCAAGCGACAAGCCAGCAATATTACATTCCCACCCGTTCTAGATGACAATGAGCGAATTCTTCTAGACTCATTCGACAATACCTCCATTGCAGAATGGTCGTATTACTATAGTGTGTGACCCTGTGTTGAATACAACTACGCCGCATGTGTCTAACTAAAGTCAGCCCATGGTGACCATGTTGCCGGTCGAAATAAGACGATGGCCCAATGGACCGCAGACAAGTGGGCAGAAGGGGGCTTCACATCGAGGTTGGACGAGTATTATGTATATCTCAACTATCCTGTCTCGAACTCTCTAGTTCTCACGTATCCCAATGGAACCACTCTTTCCGCCTCCCTGGAAGAGGCAGTCCTTGAGGAGGACGAAACTACTGGCTACCCAAACCGCATCCCGACATTCCACGGATATTCTGCTAGCGGCAATGTATCTGCTGAATTCGTCTACGTTGGGCGAGGACAGCAAGTAGATTTCGATCGCTTGATAGCCTTGGGCGTAGAATTAGAAGGCAAGATCGCGGTAGCAAAATATGGTGGACCATTCCGAGGATTAAAAGTGAAGAACGCGCAAGAGCATGGAATGATTGGTGCTGTCATCTTCAGTGATCCTGTTGATGATGGTAATGTCACTGAGGCAAAGGGTGTTGCAGCTTATCCGAACGGGCCCGCCAGGAATCCCACCTCAGTCCAGAGAGGAAGTGTACAGTTTCTAAGCATATATCCCGGTGACCCTACCACACCTGGATATACCTCCAAGGAGGATTCTTTACGAGCAGACAAAAGTAACAGTGTCCCCCGCATTCCTTCCATTCCAATCTCCTGGCTCGACGCGCAGCCTATTCTCCAGTCACTGAATGATTTTGGCGACAACGGAACAGAAGTGAACCGCACGGGATGGGTCGGTGCTATTCCTGGAGTTTCATATAGCACTGGACAAGGCTCAACGGCCACCTTGTCATTGACTAATGTCATGGAGGATGCGTATACACCCATCTGGGATGCCATTGGAATCATCAACGGCACGAGCCAGGACGAGGTGATCATTGTTGGCAACCACCGTGATGCATGGATAGTTGGCGGAGGTAAGACTACTAGATCCTTACAATGATTCCAGACTGACATTCAAAAGCTGCTGATCCCAACTCTGGTTCTGCCGTGTTGATTGAATTATCCAAGGCCTTCGGAAAGCTGTTAGAGACTGGCTGGCGACCAACTCGGACCATTGTTCTTGCTAGCTGGGATGCTGAAGAATATGGGCTCGTCGGAAGGTAAGTCGCCAAAGACACTGTTACTACTGATAGGGGCTAATCATAGTTCTCAAGCACCGAATGGGTCGAGGAGTATATTCCATGGTTGAAAACAGCCGCTGTGTCCTACTTGAATATTGACATTGCCGTCAGTGGTCCGATTCCAGGAATTGCGGCTACGCCAGACCTACACTCCATCGGCACAGAGGTTATGAAGAAGATTACTTTCCCTTATCGGGGAAGTACTAATCAGACAATGTACGACGTCTGGGAAGAGGAAGATGGGGAGATTGGTGTTCTTGGATCAGGCAGTGATTACACCTCGTTCTTGCACCGAGGCATCGCATCCATTGACGTCGGTGCTGGAGGTGGCCCGGGAGATCCTATCTATCCCTACCATTCGAACTACGACTCCTATCACTGGATGTCCACTTTCGGCGACCCCGGATTCCATACTCACAAAGCCATGGGTCAATATCTCACACTGCTTCTCTACCATTTCGCCAATGATGCATCAGTTCCTCTTGAACCATCGGGTTACGTCCCCGAGTTCCGCACCTACTTGGAAGAATTGAATTCTACAATCACCTCTGCGAACGGCACTTTGGATTTGTCCGAGCTCACGGACGCCATATCCACATTCGAGTCATCCGCCCAAGAATTTGACGAGCTTCGCCAACTTGCTATTAGCTCCAACAACACCGAGCTTCTGACAGTTGCCAACCAGAAGGCACGCGACTTCTCACGTGGATTTACTAGCCAGGGCGGACTTGACGGTCGCGAGTTTTTCCAAAACTTGATCTTCGCCCCAGGACTCGATACTGGCTATGCGCCTGTTACTTTCCCTGGTATCACTGAGAGCATCACATTCCAAAACAACTTCACAAGGGCCCAAGAATGGGTGGCTAAAACTGCAGACGCTGTTTTAGTCGCTGCTAGTATCCTTAAGACTTAGGTACCTGGGACGTCGGCTTCCAAGACACTTGATCAAGGGTGATTATAGAGGTGATTGTATAATGATTGAGGATATATAATGTACCTATCGATCCAGAACTAATAGTAATGAAAATGATGAACAAGTCAACAGGTAATGGCACGAACAATTCAAACGCCTATGACAATGTGTTGCTTGCGTTCTTTCCCGCTTACGATGCCCTTCTAATCTACAAAATAGTCTCTTCCCGCCACGATGAGCAAATTTTGTTCTGACACAGAATATCATCGCGGACGAAATTGAACCATAGGTCCATCGTGGCGCGAAGTAAACTGGTCCCACGTCTGGAACTCATTCTTCCTATGGCGACCCTCCCCTAGAACAGGGTTACCCTCCCCAATAGAAGAATCAGGATCCAGTCTCATGTCGAACAGACGAAGAAGACGCGCAATGATGGTCATCGCCCTCGAATAAGCCTGGACCTTCCCAATGCACTGCGTTCTCCCCACACCGAAAGCCGCGAAGGCCGAGTTTGCAAGTTTCCATTCCTCCAGCGGCACGCCGTCTTCATGCTGAGACGCAAGAAGCCATCTCGTCGGCACGTAACTAAACGGCTGTGGGAAGTATTCCTCCATGTGCTGAAGGGCGTAGTGCGGGACACCGAGCTCTGTGCCAGCGGGGAATTCTTGATTATCGATGACGATTCCTCCGTCCATGACCTCTCGTGGGGTAATGCCACCCACGGATGGGCACAGCCTCATCGCCTCTGTAATGCAAGCGTACAGGTATTTACATGCCGTGAGTGATTCTCCAGATCGAATGTCTTCTATGTTGGGAAAGTGCTGGTCTACCTCCTTCCGGGCGATTTCAAGGCACTGCGGATAGTGGAGCAAGTAGAAGATGGTCGCGGTTACTGCAGATGCCGTCGTGTCACTTCCCGCGATGATGAGAAATCCTGCTTCGCCGATGAGCTCTTCACGTGTGAGGCTACGACCTGTTTCAGGGTCTTTCGTGTTCATCAGGGAGCCGAAGATATCGGGGTCTTTGATGTTTTCAGCCTGTTGCAGCCTCCAATCGGACTGTTCAGCAGCGACCTTTTGATATTTATAGGTCCCTTCTGTAGCCTTACGGAAGAGAATTCTGTCGATTTTGAGCTTCAGAATGTCGGGCATATGTCCGACCTGAAGAATGTTAGTTAGAGCAGTAGTGAGAGAGAAGCACAAACCATAACAAGACCGCCGGCCCCTTCTCCAAGTATGTGGAAGATATCGCGATTCTCCGTACTCCTGAGCATATTCCAGCTCTTATGGAATATCGCGTCTCCAGAAATGTCAGTGAGCAACCATCCGCACCAGAGCGTCATGTTTCGGCCTGAGCTCCATTCTCGTGATTTTTCCGGGGACGCATCGAGCATTCTATCACAGAAAAATCTGATATTTTCGAGTGTGACCTCCTCGGTTCCTTTCATCGTGGTGGCATTAAGTGCCTCGGTCATTATGCGACGTTTGGAAACATGTACTTTGCGACTGATGGTCGTCAAGACGGTCGACACTTTGAAGAAGTGACTGAACACATTGAAGAGGGTACTCCGCTGAACATTTGCACGAACATGGTACACATCCCTTAGAGCGGTATTCGTATTGATGGAGATTCTGTGTGGCCCATATCGAACGATCGGACCTACGAGGTAGGTTACTTAGCCCAAATGCTGCAAGTTGATATGGTATAGTGAAGAAGGACTAACCATATCTTTGATGCAGTCTGTAGAAATCGATATGCCGGTCTCCAAGAGCGCAATGGTATACCGAATACCAGTCTGTGAATCTTGCCAAGTATGGCCCGGGGTACTTTGACAATGGATGAAGCCGGATTCTGTAAATGATTACAGTCACACACTGTTACTTTATCAGGCAAACTCTGCTTTCTTGTCATGTGCGTGAAACGCTTACATATATAGAAAAAGCACCAGTAATCAGAACGAACAAGAGGAGGGCCTCGTGAATGGTTCGAGTTGCCGCCCCAGAGTAGTGTCTTAGTATTCCTACAGCAATTACCGAGGCCCACAGCACTGTAGATACAGCTTGTGAGCCTCTGTAGGTGTTCAACCTCTTGTAGTAGGTTGGTGGAGGAGAAGAAGACATTGCTAAACAACAGAAATTACAGAATCTGAAAATAATATGGGAAAAATAAATGATCGCGGTGAAATTGACAACGTCGCTCTGCACGGCTCTTTCAACGACCCTTGAAGTACCGAACCCATCTTCCCCAATGAGCAATGCGCCAGGACGCAACCACGTGTAAGGCTATATTGTTGCTGCATACCGATCACGAAACCTTTGTGTTGAGTATCCTACCCCGCTCCTGCAGCGTGCTTCTTTGCTGGGTACGTTGTACGGAGGCAGGAAGGTTTGCAAAGACTCCAATCCTCGCGTATTTTATTGATGGCGTTCAACGTACTGCAACAAAACAAAGAATTCACGCCGCATTTCCGGTCATCCCATGCTGCAGGCATGCGATTCCTCGCGTGGCTTTTGAACCGTGCTTTGTTTTATTCTTCCACACTTCCAATCACAAGACTACGACCTTCTGCAAATTTCTCCATCGAGCAGTAGATAGGGATAAGCAAGCCTGTCAGCATGCACTGCCTTGTCGCGTCATCAACAGATAGAGTTTCTGATTCGCGCCTGCATCACGCCGTGTAACCTAACTTTGCTCCGAACGCGAGATATCAATCTGCCTAATCTTGATCTTCGATGGAGTATATGCAACGGCATGCACTTTGCTGCATCTGACGAACGTTGGTAGTTGTATCGAGTATGATGCAGATAACGACAAAGCTGATTTGAGAGGAGAAAACGAGCTCAATCAACAGTGACTGGATATAGTAAAGAGTCGTTGATCTCGCCTTGGCCTTGAAAAAGCAAGAACATATGGTGGAATCAGCGTCGGAGCGATGCAAGCAGAGATTCTCTCATCTCGTGCGATTGCTACAATCATGGAACTCGGTGTAGCAATTTTCTCGGTCTAAGGCCCAGCGCACGATAGGTGTCTCTTGGACATTACGATAATACACACCGGAAATATGTCACGGTCTAGGTAAATGAAGGACGGTCTTTGGCAGATTTGGTTGCGCAAAGGCGCCTCTTCATAGTATCAGACATCACATGCACGACCCTCTGTTAGTGAATAGATCAAATATATCGCCAATTGGATTGTCTGCGTAGAGTTGGTGGACAATGCCCGAATCTCTCACCATCCCGTGTCAGCCATCATACACGTGACCTCCGAATAACCTCATATATCGTGCTGTTCTACAACATAGTGTTGGAACCATAATTTAGCTGCTTGCATACTAAAAGAAAGGAAACATATCTATGAAATGAACCATGAAACCTTTAATCGTAAAGTTACATGGTGCGATGAGTGTAATGCTGCCCCGACCTGTTTGAAGATCTAAAATATTCCCATTGAGAGTCCCAACCTTCGTTGATCAGCCAGGACCATTCATTCATACAGAGCATTTTGAAAATTGCGCTTGTCTTTCTATATGAATGTAGACAACAAACATAGACACGTGTAAATATTTATGTAACCAGCAACCCATTGCCTGTGCCTCTTTATGTACGTGCCCTTCTATCTTTGGCCATTGGCAATTGACCGCATCTGGCTTCAAATTCATAGACTTTCAACTCGACATAGGACTTATCTATGGAAAAAAGAGAAAAGAAATCGCTGATTTTAACCTGGGCAAATTAAAGATGTCGCGACAACACTGTGTTCCACATATCATAGCTTGGCGGATCAAAGTCTGGTCGACGAGAGATATGAAAAGAGACCCAATGTTGGAGGCCTGACCTGATTCCAGAGGTTCTCCTTGTCTCTTAGTAGAAATATTCTTTGAAGTCACAGCATGTCTGGATACTTTCGGGACGCTGAACTACCAATTCGGGGACATAAAGGTTAATTGTCATTGCTATCATCTTTTAGCGTGACCCCTATGCTTATATGTGGCCGGGCACTAGGTGCAAAGAAGTATCTTACTCTCAGCACTATCGTCAATCTGAGTAAAAACCCCACAATTGACCCAAATAATGTGGTTTTTAGCGTAGACCCTGGGCTTACTTTGAACATAGTCGTTATATGACGCCAGTGGAACCAATACTCAGCCTCGATGGGTACATCAATACATAACCGCGTGGAGCCTATCCAAGAAGTCCAGGTCCAATCTCACATTTCTTTCAAATTTACACATCTGATACCATGGAGCAAATTCGCGCAGTCCTCGCATCCGACGAGATCATCGAACCATCATCACCATCATATAGGCAAGAGACCCAAGTCTGGTCCGCCCAAAAGGACTTACACCCAAAGCTTGTCGCGCAGCCCAAGGATACCAATTCTCTTTCACGCCTTTTGAAAGTTCTCAATGAAACAGATGTCGAATTCAACATTCGAAGCGGAGGGTGCGGATCCGCTTCTTCGCGGGGCGTTTTGATCAGCATGTCTGCCTTTGATTCTTTCTCATTTGACGATAAGGAAGAGACGGTAACTATTGGCGCCGGCCAGCTCTGGCGACACGTAGACGCAAAGGTTGAGGAATTTGCACCCGGGTACGCCGGTATGCTATCAATACAGCGAAAATGACGTAAATTAAGACTAATGGGCGTATGCAGTTCCTGGGGCGAGATGTACGTATGTAGGTGTCGGCGGCGGCACACTGCAGGGCGGATTATCGTGGATGTCATCGGAGTACGGTCTTACTTCCGATCCTCAGAATATGCTCGACGCGGAAATCGTACTTATGGATGGGTCCGTTCTCTGGGCCTCGAGCGATCCGGAGCTGCTCTGGGCTCTTCGGGGTGGAGGCGGTGTATTCGGTGCAGTGACTGCACTGAAAATTAAAGCGTATAGATATCCCAAAGACATCTACAGTGGCATGATCACTTTCGGACGGGAAGCATTGCCGGAGCTGGCGTGTAGGGTGTCTGAATTTGAAGCCACAAACACTGATCCAAAAGTAGCTATGCATCTATATTGTATGGATCTGATTCAGGTAAGTTCCGATACGGATTCTGCTTGGCCAAATCTAATTCTCTGGAGGGTGCTTTCGTGGGGAAACCCTCAGTCGCAGGCCTCGGTCTGATGGTATATGACGCCCATGGAGAGGAGCACGGCCGTAATATTGCCTTTAAATGGGCGCTGGATATTCCTGGGGCGAACGACAGCACAAAATCGATGAACTATAGAGAAGTGAACCAACTTAACGGTGGGTATTTTATGGTAAACATGGCCATGCCGTAATTCCGTAACTGACGTACGTAGATGCTCTCGAAGCCATCAGGGGGCAAACAAGCCAGATGATGACCGCGGTTGCCATCCCCTCCACTTCCGAGGAACTCATCAAGCGGACATGGAATTGGTTCGATCAGACTTTGCAAAGAGAGCCTAAGCTGAATGCTGGCACTTTCGTACTAATCGAGATTATGCAAAAGGTTTAGATTCTTGCCAGCATACGAACAAATTACTGACATGTAGACAGCCAGCACTGAACACCGTTTCGAAGAATGAGACGGGTTGGCCACGTCCAGACGCACGGCATATCTTGCAATTAGGTTGTGGAGCACTTGCTAAGGACAATTCACCAGATTTACATCAAAAGGCAGTAAAGTATCTCGCAGATGGGGCGAAACAAATTTGCGACGTCTACTCCGTCAGTGATTGTCTTCCAAGAGACTTTGAGGAGTTCCATGATCCCCTCCAGGTATGTACTTAGGGTATTCCAAGAGTGACGTTGAACTGTGGCTGATGAAGGTGACAGTTATTTGGTGCGAATCTAGGGAAGTTGCAGGCCATCAAAAGAAGGGTCGATCCTAACAATAGATTGAGGGGAGCGTATAATTTATTGGGATAGCTGCTAGGTTGGAATACACGATATGGATACAATTACTCTGTAGGATAGAGAGAGGTTTTGCGAAGTATCTTTGCCGACATTGTATTGTTGTTACCCGACGGATAACTTCGAGATATCGCCTATCAAAAAGACTGAATTCTCATTGGTCCGATATCGCTCCGCCCAAGACTGATACGTGATCAAGAAGAATCGATTTGTGAATACATGTTAGAGCACCTACAGCCCAGATACAATTTTGCGAAGCATTGTTATTCTTTTAACTACCGCCTAACTCACAATTGCGCGACTTTCTTTTCCCCACTAAATTAAGATACGATGAGTGATCCCATAGCCGACGCCAAAGCGCAAGAAGCAACCCATAGCTTCGCATTCCGCGCCGCCACTACATCAGATATACCCGCACTCCAGGAGATGATCGGACAGTCACTACGTGGCCTATCCATTGGCCATTATACCCAAGCCGAATTGGATGGATCAATTGGTTTCCTCTTTGGGCCTGACACATTACTCATCCACGACCAAACATATTTCATTCTCCATCCGATCTTGTCCCCGGATGTCATAGCAGCCTGTGGAGGTTGGTCTTTCCGGCGGACGCTTTACGGTGCAGACCGCGCTCCGGGTCGCATGCCAGAGAAACGAGATCCCAAAATTGAAAGGGCAAGCATCCGTGCCATATTCACGCATCCTGAGTGGGCGCGCCGTGGGCTAGGTACAATGATGATGCGCTATTGCGAACACAAGGCGAAAGAAGGTGGTTTCAACCGTTTAGAGATGGGAAGTACGTTGAGCGGAGTCGCGTTGTATGAGAAATGTGGCTATGTGAAGAGTGGAAAAGAGGAGGACAGAGTGAAATGCCCGAATGGCGAAGTCATTAGAATCGTTCACATGATTAAAGACGATGGTGCCGACTCACGGGAATGATCACGATACCAACAACGGACTTGCTCGTACTAGAGGCTGGTTTACGAGATTCTTTTCGCGATCTTGATTGCGGATGAACAACGAATGATCTAGAATCACGACGAGTGCGAGGTCTACTTGTATAGCGTACGACCAATTGCCACTCATTTTGTATATGATGGAGAATCAACCCATTACCAGGTCTCATCTGATATTGAAATTGGAGCCTGATACTCCTAGATCTGACGGGAACAGTGATTATTTGGGCAAACATCGATTTGGTCCAATGAGATGAAATCGCAATTGCAAAATAGCATCGTGGGATTGTTCTCATGGGTGTGTTTTTCGCACTGTAACACGCATGAAACCGATAGACAGATAGATAGACATATTGCCATATTGTAGACCATCTCATAGGCGTTTGAAGACAGTGTTAGTCCTATTCATATGCACATGTGAAATTTTCACGTGCATGATGCAGTTCATTTCACAGTTTTTACCCATGAGTGCATGCCGCCGCAGCTCCAGCCTTGCATCGTGGTGTAGGTGGTTTTGAAGCATTTCTCTCTGCGCGCCCCACTTTTCAAGCGGGAACGGAAACCAGGCACACTCATGGAAGGATTCAAGATGAACATGCGCCATACTCGGCATACGAGTATCATGCAGCAGTGTCTCGAGTTTGCTTGTTTATGATTCTAGAGTTGGTAGCGCCAATCCAGGTTTAGATCTTATTTCCGTAGAGAAACTCGTCACAATTGCAGTGGACAAAGACAAGCTATCTTCAGATTACGCTTATGCACTCCCGTACAGCATGGGTGACCTCTCATCCGCCTTTCTTTCCGCATATTTCTTTCGTACTTAACAGTTCATGATTCAACTATTATGCTTCAACTATGATCTGATCGTACGTTTTTAGGAAAATACGTACCTGCTCGATTGGAAGTCGCATGAAGCTCAATTAGAGGACTTGCATTCAATCGCAGAAGCCTGACGGGTCACATAGCACAACCACTGCTGCGCAATGATTGGACACCACTTTCCTCGATGATCGTCCTCAATATTCATTCAGCCAGGTAGAAAATTCCGGAATGGAGAAAATATCCCGCATCTGCTCCCCACATTCTTGATTACCAGGTGTCCTGCAGTGTTATAGCTCTTCTCCACACTGCGTGCCCTTAATTGCAGTCAGCCGATCCGGTAATGCTCCGCAAATGTTCCGCGGCTCATATAGAATCGTGGAAGGTGGCAAAGTAGTCAAACGTTCATCATATATTGTTCTTGGCTAGGCTCTACCGATCGTGGTGTACTTGGCACTAAATAGATGCTTAATGTCGCCGCAATATGGCCAAACGCGTGGACACCATCCTTTGAGCCGGCGATGCCAGTCCGTATACATTTATGGCATGGTAGAGGGTGGTTGGGGTGGTATATTGGGCGACGGGTGTGAAAGATACCACGGTCGAGAAACCTTCCGAAGTCATGATGAATGGAATATTCTCGGTGTATTGTGTACGACCAAGCGAAACCCACCAGTGTCCATTTGGTTGTTTAACGTCGACAAAGTCGAGTCTCAGGGCTTTTTGTACAATGGTCTCCGTTCCCTCGTCATTTCCAGGACGGAGGGTGTCTCTCGAATTCATTTCCTTTTTGCGTTTCATTGGGCGTGTGACATTTAAGCGCCGCCAATTAACGGAGGGCGGGCAGGGATCGGTAGAAGATGGTATTACCAAAACCTACCATACGTGCAGCGTGGCCCAATATTCTCTCTGCACAGTGCACAGTATTACCACGCCCCCCAAAATCCTCGAGTAATTGCTTTATTACAAGTAACTACCTAGGTACGTGACACCAGGAGTCGCCAAAAGTGCACCTGCGAGATGAGTTTGTAACAGCCACTGCCTAAGGCCCCGCCGAGACCGAACTTCTACAAGCTGCGTCTCCGCGTACTATAGATGGAGCAGATGAATTAATCATCTCTATATACATACATTGTGGTCGTAGGGACGAAACCTGTTTTATTCGAGATGGTGGGAACGGCACGATACATCCAGGGAATGGCCGATTGATTGAGGACAGAGTACAAAGTACAAGGGAATTACAGTCTCCGTGACAAAGACACTTTAGACTTATGAGTCGTTTCATTTACATCGTCTGTATGGGCAATACAGGTGTTACTACTCCGTACTGTGTATAGTGTGGCACCGGATCACACGTGAGTTGCAGAGATTCTGCCTGCTTGCCTGCTTGCCTACCTGGACGGGCTGATCATCCGCGCAGCCGTCCTGTGCTTTATTATTCGGCTCGGGTGAGTGCTAAACATACCTATATTATTTGTTGCGGGGGGTTGAGGGAGGGGAGTTCATGGAGGGGGTCAACCAGGCCTGGCTGGTTGTGGGTTGTTAATAGATGACAGGGCCAGACAGCCGGTCCAGGGTATTCTTGGTGGCTGCAGACCTTGATGCTGCTGCTGGCACTGGCACTGACAATCTCACTGGCATTCTATTACTGGGACTGGTACTGACATTGGTACTGGACCTCCCACCGGCAGCAGCTATATCAGACCGCCCACCCACGATAGCGCGCGATGTGGTTTTCGCGACCTTGCCAGAGCCAACCCACCCCATCGTCAACATGCCTACATATCCTCTCCAGATAACATGTTTGGCGGTGATCTGTGGCACGCCCATGCTGGCCGCCATGTTTGTTGGCCTCAGATTATACACGAGACGGAAATTGAACTTGCGACTTGGGTTGGGTGCGTGTCGTTCCAAACCGCCTATGTGCGCTTTCGCTGACCGAGTTTAGATGACTGGCTGATCGTTCTCCCTCTGCTACTTTCAATAGCCTTGATAGGCCCCTCATATCGACGTAAGTCCTTTTCAGTCTCTAATTGTCCGCCGGCCAGTGCTAATAGGAATTCAGATGTCAAGATGTGGCATGTCGGCGTGCACATATGGGAAGTTCCTGTGACGGAGATTGAGCCAGACTACAAGGAGTGGTATGCCGTAAGCATTGCTCGTGCTCCTGATTTAGAGATCGTGTACTAAAAATGCCACCCAGGTGAACATGGCGTTCAATCTTCTAAACATCCCAATACTTCCTCTAGTCAAAGCCTCCATCATCTTCCTCCTTCTTCGAGCCGGATCAGTCATCGAATGGCTCAAGAAAGCCCTCTATGCTATCCTTATTTTCACCGTCGGAAGCGCCCTCATTCCATGGTTCCTATACATCTTCACCTGCCCGCCAAAGACAGGTAACACCTGGGAGCCACGCACGTTTGGAGACCTGCACTGTATGGGGAGGCATCGCATGGGCGAAATGCTCATTTGGGTCACTTGCGCCAACTTGCTCACCGACCTACTCATTTTCCCCATTCCCTTCATAATCGTTCGAAGGATGATGAGCGCTCGTTTGCGGTCGCGATTGGTGGTTCTCGCCGTTTTCACATCCAGCCTAGCGTATGTCCATGTCTCCATCCCATGAACTAACAGGCGGAAGCTAAAACGACGGTTACTGACTGATGGCTTTTTAGTGTAACTGCGATCGGCGCCGCCAAAATCTACCTCTCTTATCGTGACCGACTCTACAGTCTATTCAACCCGGATTGGACGTACCCAATCGACTACTGCATCAGCCATATCGAGAACAATGTAGCTATCATTGTCGCAAATGTACCCATTCTCCGTGGCCTGGTGACCCGCTGGGTGTTCAACTTCAAGACCAAAGCGACCCCCATCGAGCGGGAGTTTCGCAGCGATTTCCAATGGAACTCCTCGTCGAATTCGTCGACTCTCACGCGTGTCGCTCGCAGGAATCGCATCGCCCAGAAGATCATGCCATGCATCCAGGAAGACTTCTCCTCCTCACTGGACCTGGACCACACACGCACAAAGGGCATGGAGCCCGAGTACCCACCGAAAATCGTCACAAATGACTATCGCAAAAATCGCAACTACAAGCCTAGAAGATCAAGAAGAAATAGCCCCGAGCGAAGTTATGCGACGGCCAACCGCTGCGAGAAGGGCGACATGCTAGAGACCGTTCGCAGCATTGGGAGCCTGGGGTCGGCCCCAACGCTCGTGGAGAGTCGAGAGGTGGACTGGACGAAGAGTGGGGATTTCGGCAGCCCGATGTCGAGTCCTAGGCGGTTCTCGAGTCCGCCCATGAGCCCGATAAGTCCGTTGTCGCCTTGCAGGTTACGAGGCATTGAGGATGAAGACGACGAGATATACCCCTATTCGCGAAAGTGATACCATATTGATGTCTTGAAATGAAATATATGATGTTAAAAAAATCCAAGTTCTGCTACTTCACACTTGATCGTTTCTTGTGACTGGTCCTACCATTTTTTGGATTTCATCTGCGCCCTCTACTTCTAGCTACATTGTGGCTTCGAGCATCTTGGTTGGCTCGTGGCCTCAGCATTCACTCCTAGAGAACCACGTTACATTCATCATGACCTGGTTTCTCGACCAACCAACCAAGCTTTCACAATACATAACTCAAAACCTGTACCCCAGATTTTCAAACCCGCAGCAGGTGCCCGAGAGAAAATCTGCCGTCGACCAGAAGCGCACCATACAATGGCACACATTAACACAGGCCACTAGTTGCTCCTAGCCGGCGGCGAGGCCCGGGCTCTCCGCGCGCGCACGAGGCGGGCTGCACGATTTGCTGCTTGTTGCGCGCAAGGTCAGACCTTGCGCTGAGCCCTAGTTGATGATTGCTTCGTTTGTTAAATCTGACGCAAAGCGACAGAATTCGTTCTATCGGGAATCTATTTCGCATATTGGGGTTTAAAGAGACTTGGTGGGAGGTTGCCGTTTCAACGTAGTATTCTTGCTCCTACACAGGACTCTGGAGATTGAATGGTTAGTGCCAAGTGGAGTGTTGATGAAAAGCGGACCGTCAAGCAGGTGTGATAATACTTGCGCAACTATAATGTTTCTCTCTTCTTCTTCTCATTCTAGAGCGGTCGAAGAAGGAGGTAGTGTAGTTACATGACTAGTCGTTGAGAGTTATAATCGCAAGTATAGAAGGTCTGGAGACGGGGTAATTCGTGTACGGAAATGAGACATTGAGCATTTTCGAACTATTCGACCCTTCGAACATTAATGTTGACAGCATTATTCCAAGGTCCTCCCCATTAAATATACCAACGAGAGGATCTCGCTCTCTCCGAGGGTTCCTACTAGCAACTTTGGAGGAGGTACCCACTACCTCTAGACGAGCTCCTTGCTAGGTACATCTGGCTCGCTTTCCGGGCATCAGGTCAAATGTTGGGTAAGATTTGGTTGCATTGCTGGTTCACGGCCCTACTTTCTCTACTTGGGCGCATGGGTACGGAGTGCGTCCCCTTCGCGTATGCGTGTGAACAGAGAAGATGTTTGGTATCGTACCAGATCGGCCAGACCACCCCATTCCTTACCACACACGGGACTTACCCAGAAGGGCAACCAATGGGTTTGCAGTATTGAAAGTGGGAAGATGAGAGGATTCTCGTTTGCAAGCGTTGTAGAAAATCAGACATCGAGTATTCCGTACACGCATCAAGCATTATTCACTATTAGATCATGATGCAGCAAATTCCAATACCTACTTAGCAGGTGGCAATGCGCTATCAACTACCGGCGGTCCCATGGATATGAATATCAAGGAAGAGGGGAAAATCGAGGGAAAAGAAAGAGGGAGAAAGTATGTGAGTGCGATGCAACGACTGACCAGACTTCCCACACTCCGCGCATACATACACTGGCACACTGGTACGGTAGGTAGACGGTTTGAGCCCTTTGAGGCAGGGCTAGAGCAGGGGCATAGTATGCAGGTTACGCCTCGGTTGAAATGGATAATGTGCATAACCCTTGATCGTTCAACGCACCACACCCCTTCGCAACTTCTCGATCCGCCTAAATTAATTTCCCCACAAGATCCGAGACTGAGCGGGTCACTGAGTTTCTCCTTGGAGAAGGAAGTTCCGAAATATTGGGTTGTCATGCCGCTGTTCGTTCGCCACATCGCAGCCCTCGCTCGCTCTGTGATGGTCAGAAAGCCAGAACTCGGTCGGTGTTAAATCGACGCGAGGAAGGGGAAACGCTGGATGGCATTGATCACATGCGGGTGCCTGCAATTTCAATTCGACAACAGTATTGTTATGTGTTGGATTTGTTCTGGCGTTTGACGCCCACGCTTTTGTGGTGGTGCAACCTCAAGCCTTTCTCTGGTCAAAAGCATCGTGCGTGCACTTGTGATTCGTGGATTCAAGCTATCGTATGCGCGACACTAGGTCCTAAATGTGCTTATGCCATGGCATGAAGTGTAGATTTCCCTCTCTCTCCACACGTTTGTATGCTAGTAGGGAGTATGCCTCCTGCTTCTGGAGAAGAATTCAGAAGTGATTGTAAATGCGACCAAACGCGAGACCGGTTGAGAATACAAGCTGTCCTGACTGATCTGATACGAACGCCTATAGACGCCGCCACTGACGGGCTGAACCGAGCCGTAGAAACAGAACAATAGCCGTAGGAAAACGGCTGGGCTCCCCTTTTCCCAGCTCCCAAAGAAAACAAGAAAGAAACCGAGAACCGTGAATTATTATGTCATAAAGAGGAAGTGCCATGGCGAAGACGATGTCGTCCAAGAGCAAATTCGTTAGTGCGTAGTTCGTGTTCCGGTATGGTTTCATCCGGAGAAGGAAGATTTTTAGACACATCGGTCAGAATAATAAGCGGATGTTAAGGGTAGGGTATCCATGCATGAGAGCGAAATGGTTGTCCACATCACCTGACACCTGCGGGGCCATGGAAGGAGAGCACAGCGAAGGTACGAGGTAGATCCAAGGTAACGAGGTAGGTTGTAGGTGAACGAGTGGATGAGCTGGGGGCCCGGGGCAACGGACGCCCTGCACGCACATGATTGGAGGACGGTACTGGTGACATGCAGCGCTTTCATTGATCCTATACCACAAGCAGCCCGGCGACGATTGCAGCGAGAAAGGCGACAACAGAGGAGGCTGGCAAGACGATGGGCGCCAGACTAGGAGCAGTGCTTCCAGCAGCGAGGGTTTGGTCGTCTTTTCGTACACAACCCGTAATGTCGGTCAATTCTTTGGGGCATACAACGCGTTCAAAAGATACGCTGTGGAACATTAGCCTTTCCGTTGCTTTCAACTATCAAACATGTGGCGTCCATTTACTTACTTTGGATTGTACACATCCTTGAACCAGTCAAATCTCCAGCGACAGCTGTCTCGCAAGCTTTCAGGCAGGTTTTCGCAGTCTTCTGCTTTACTGACGCCGGAACCTGTAACACCAAATACTTGCGGATCGAGCTCGTATTGTCTTGTGCAACCATCCATTGAAGTAGTGTTTCCTCCAGGCATCTGTTGGAGTCAGACATTGTAGTATATTGGGCATAATGAGATTACTTACTGCCAGTGAGAAGCGATTGTCTGATGTGACATCAAAAGCAGTGTTGGATGCCTGTACAATCATACTCTTGTTCCTCAAATTGTCGTCGTTGAAAGTCAATCGATAGCAAGAACAACACCAGAAGGCTTCGGTTTCCGGATGGTTCTTCAAAAACACGCCTGCGAATCCATAGGAGAAGGTGTCGTTCACAGCCCACGGATGTTGATCAGAGCAGAGATAGCCATCTCCTCCATTGCAGCCCGTCCCTGCCTTTTTGCTGGTCGGTTTGTCGTCTTTGTTACAAGTTTGCACTGGGGCCAGAAAATCGGCTTTTCCGTCCCATCCACAAGACGGCTTGCAGCAATCCCAAAACCGTGTCGTCACTGCTTCGCCAGTGATGTTTAGATTCCTTTCACATGTGGAGGAAGTGATGAGGAGACCGAGAACACAAAGAACAGTGCGAAGATAAGACGGCGTCATTGCGTGATAGGATATCTGGATCGAATTGTGCAAAGACTGGAGAGCATCATTTATTAGCAAGGGACTTCGCGTGGCTCTAGAAATCTATTTGAACCGCGCTAGGAAAGGAGGGGTTATATAAGGCCGGCCGCAAGGAGTAATTAATCAGGTCCGCTTTGATATGCCAGGCCGAGAACACTCAACCCACCTTGTGTGTGTTGGATCCCAGCCCGTTGCCACGCAGGGATCAGCGGGGGGGCTTGGACGAATGTGGATATGAGTTTCAAGCCATCTCACAGGCCGAACAACTGGCGACCTCCGTGCGAGGTCGAATTAAGCTATCGTCATTCCAATTCTTCGAGTCAATGCGGTATGATCGGAAGCAAGCCCTTTCCGCTTCCTTCGTAAAGCTAGCAACCGGCCGTTGACGCCTTTCCTAAACACAGTGGCAATAATTGGCTGATCGACAGAGTAAGATAGATGGATGCCAATAACCAAGGCAAGAAGGAAGGGAAATGATCAATCCGCAGACACACACCCGACTGTGTATTTCGATTTCAGGTTTCTTTTGGTCATTTCCACCGTGCCACCGTTCGTGTATCCTGCCATGTCTCACCAACAGAGTCTCGGCTATGTAGTATTGACCAACCACGCTATGGTCAACGAGATACACTTCACAGCGAGCCGTTCATGGCTTTGGTGACGTTGCACAACCGCGTGGAGCTTAGAACATACAGGTGCCTACGCCACGAACAGTGCAGCTGCTGCAAAACCCCAATACGAGGTCGTGACTACCCCAGTATTTCCCCGCGAAACACCGACACCATCGTCGTGCTGATTGGTCTGCGATAATGATGGACCGCTAGAAGGTATCGATTCAAATGCATAATATCGTCTTCTATAGCTTATGGGTTACCAAAACAACCCGAATCCCTATTAGCTATCTGAAAGAAGACCACAAACACTGCAGACTATGTCACACGGGTGCAACGATATGTCAACACTGTTGCCGCCCTCACATCTATTGGATTTGTGCAAAAGGGGAAACACTTGAAGGCTATTCCGGGTGAATTCGTTGGAGGGGAGTAGCTGAAAGCCACCGTAAGATTAGATGCACATCACCGCGAAAGCATGTCATCGGGAAGTGTTTTCGGATAACACGTGAAAAGTGCTGTCTAGCCCAAGCAACGCCTAGAATCGATTCAAAAGAGGTAGTGAGGCCCTAGTAGTAGTCTCTTAATATATATTCTATTAAGACGTACACAGACGGAGCACAGAGATTCTGGACAGCTCCCCATTGTCATCGGATGATTTTCAATTGTCGTGATAAGATTGCATATAACATTGAAATTAGCTGTTGTTCACTTTTCACCCTGAGCAGGACCTTATGGTGATAATCATAGAATCTGGTTCTGCAAAGTCTTTACATAGCGTCTATAAGCTATCGACAAGTTATTACACTCCTGCCATGAGACTCCCCACATAGCTTGTACCAAGACAAGACCATGGGCGATCTGAAGCCCCTGTAGTAGTTGGCTGACATGGGGATCCCTAACAAAAAAAAGCTTGTGCAACAGCTATCGACAGCGACTCCGACGACGCATATCTTGATAGATGTATCTTCTCTGATCCCCCACAGTTATTCGGTCTTAAGATATACACTGGGCCCGAATGTAGCTTTCATTTTCAGTATAACGTATCGAAACCCTAAAGACGTTATGTACTGAATTGGTCTATAGGCAAATGTGCCAGCCTTAGCTTTGATACTTCAATGAAGACTAACCTTGTGCGGGTGTCATTATCTTCCGAGTGGGACATATGGCCGATGTGAACTTTACTCGAACGCTCGATGATTAGAGAGATGTTGGAGCTATTTACAGTAGTGTACGGAACTATCTAAATCACATGCGTGTGCGTAAATGTGCATGTTATCGAAGGAATGGGTCTCGTACAACACTGCATTTAGCCGTACTGGAGTACGGTCACGCTCACCCAATAAAATTATATTTTGCGAAGCCTTGTGCTGAAAACGTGAGCGGGTTGTTCATATTCGCCAAATAGGCACCGAGTACACTCGTTCATATCACAACAGCTTTCAGCAGATTCTCGGATCAGATGTGAAAGTTCTTGGGGCGATTCTGTTCATGCGGCACTCTATACAGTTAAACTGATGATATGAACCTATTAACTCACATTAGATTGATATAAAAACTCTGAAACTACTAACTAGACTCCTCTTCACCCTGTCGACAATTTTCCCGACGTACCAGAGGTCGCTTTTGTTACGTTGCAGTCGTGAAGACGCAGACTGCGCTTTGACAAAAGCTACTCTCCGTAGGACGTAGTCAATCCCAAAGAACGTTCAGTTCAGATCTTTCAATCTTCGATGAGCGAATCTTGAACCATGCGCTAAGGAAAGTTGCCTGGTATTATATCAAAGCTCAAACTCTCGGAAGGAAAATATCGAGCCTTTATCAGTGCTATCATCTTGGACTCGGAATTTGAGGGCAGCTATTCTCTTTTATGATATTGGTCATTTGATTATTTTCCAGCACTGCATGTTAAGTACGGCAAACTATCTGATATATTGAACATGGTGTGATACTCATGAAAAAGTGTACGCTATCCTCTATGTAAAGTTAGCAAATAAGTCGACAATCTTGTAACTTATGGAGGGGAGGGTTTGGGCGGCCCGCATGTCGCCGTACATCTACTGGCTGAAGAATAGATCAATACAGTTACAATGTCCTTCACTTGACTTATTCGCTTTCCGCCATGATGATCACGTATATTTGGTACTATTCAGTCGGCTAAAAGGCAGCCAATCTGCTCGATGTAGAATACATGGTGTTTTATGCCATTGCTAGTGTCGAATTAGTTAACCTGTAGTACGTCTCTAACATGATTATAGAAACAGGTCGATGGCCAGTACGGTTACAGCTTAACTAGTCGATGACTATGTGTACCTTGTACGAAATAGAACCACATCCGCACAATCTGGCTATGTGGACAATCAGATGGTCGTAAACAGAGAACAAAAGTCAATCAGGTATGTGATTTCACGTCCTGGCTAAGATCACTTGCGGCTCTTTGGGATCCGTCGGTATCAACCACGACAAGGTTCTTTGTATCACACTCATTGCTCGATTGCATACTGAAGGGAGCCAAGCTGAAAATGCGGACGAGAGCTACAACATGGCGTTTAAAATTTCCAAATGCAATCAAGTACGTTTCTTCGTAATACCATGTAGATTCACTCACTGATTTTGCTAGGATTCGCCAACCACAATAGTTCAATGCCAATGAAACCGGCCGCAGCTAAAGACGCGAAACCAATACACTCGGTTCGATAAGGAATGCATTACTACTGATAGCCATCGGCTTCAGAATTCCTATCTCTTCTCCGCAGCATTCGCGATTCTTGGCAATTGGGGTAGTGTCCAATAAGTAGAGCTTGCGCGACTTGGCAAAGTGTAGCTCTGGGGTTGCAGAGCGATAAGGCATGTTCCTTGACAATACCCCACCTTCTGACAAGCGACGATAACAACGACAATGGGCAATGATTTCCCTTCAACGATTAGGACCATCCACATACGTAACCTTTCTATTGAATGATTGATGTCAATATCGCATCTTCGGTTGTACTCGTTCCGATACTCTCTAACAAAACATGTCTCCCATAGCCACCGAAGTGCAGGCATATGCGCACATCGATGTTCCAAATGATAGAATATATAGACGGGTACTGGATACTTCCGCTATATCCATGGTCGCAAGAACTAATCGCACATCCTCCAATACGTCTCTTTTGTGGTTCTGGTCTACACTCATTTCTCATGAGTAGCTTCTACGACGGTGCCATTGTAGAACAAAATGGCTCATCCCGTGCAGTACTCCACAATGGTCTTAGCCATATGCTCCACACGATTCGGGGACGCCTGAAGGTTACATACGACTTAGTCTTATCATCATTGTTCTCGAAGATAGAATGTCACATTCTGTCATAGCTTACAGTCAATGGGACACTATCTTCGAGTATGTCAAGATGTTGTGAGCATATAAACTCTGCCCGGGTATCTCATCGATGGATATCACAGTCAGCTCATCTACTCTAAGATGCACGCAACTTGGTTGACAGCACTGATTGCAGCGGAAACTGTCCACTCTCTGGCAACTCCTCCACTTGGATACGATAGAAGACTTCTACGGGAAGTATTCGATAAAAGATCTTCGAATGAATCTCAATCGTCATGCTTCACTGCTGCTGCACCCTCTACAGTAGCACCAAAAGCGAACCCATGGGCGCCATTGACACCAGATGAAAGTCTATCTGTCTGGAACCTCCTCCATGACGCTATATCCGGCCTTAATCTGACATATCCAACTGAAGCAAAACTTACAGACAACTATGTGTAAGTAAATCGCAAGGCCTCTTTTGCCCGGACTAATACGTATCAGCTTCTGGGTTGATGCCCTCCATACCAATAAATCCAATGTTTTGCCATACATAGATGGAGATGCGCCGTTCCCCTCCAAGTACGCACGTGCCATCATCTTCGAGGGTGGAAAAGCCGATCCTGATTCGCAAGAATATATGATCGGTCCGCTTCCCGTATCGGAAGAGACTAAAATCGAAAAACTCGATTATATTTACAACGGTCCGTCAGGAGGCAGTGTTCCATACAATGCCCGTTACTTCGATGGTCCAAGAAACACCGCAACGGAGCCTCTTATCGTGTCCATTATGTCGAATATCTCAGACATCACGGCCGCTATGTTCCAGGGAGGAGTATACTACGGCTCCAAAGACAATAGAACAAATCTCTCTCTGACATCGGGAACGCCACAATCTTTTGATGGCACGACTGCCTTCCGTAACATCATGTTCCGATTCCCGGGTCCGGCTTCGTACATGACTCCATTAGACTTTTTCCTGCTGATTGATTGCACTGGAACGGATGCATCTCTGTACTCCCTCAAGGGTTTTGTAACGAATGAGAAATTTTACCCCACAATCGCCGACCTTCGAACTGCTTTTGAAGCTGGCGAAATAGCTATGGAGTACGACCAGACTAAGGATGCCGACTGGGCGTTGGTAGACTACAAACCTGAGCTTGGTGTAAGAGATCTGGAAGAGCGACTTGCCCCAAGCACATTGGAGCTCGGTGGAAAACGCTACAAGCTCGACAAGGAAAATCAGTACGTGGAGTATATGGGTTTCTCCTTTTACGTTTCCTTCTCCCGGACTTTGGGTCTTATGTTTTATGACATCAAATTCAAGGGAGAGCGTATCATGTATGAGCTTTCAATGCAAGAGGCTACAGCGCAATACGGCAAGTGCTGCAAACACCCTTCATTTCATGGTACAGCACTGACTGAACATCAGGTGGAAATCAACCAAAGGCAGCCAATACAGTGTATCATGACACTTATTACCAACTAGGAACGGAGATGGGATCACTGGTCGAAGGGTTCGATTGCCCCTGGGGATCAACTTTCTGGAACATCACCTACCCATCCTACAATACAACTCGAGTGAACACGAACTCTATTTGCATCTTTGAAGCGGACATGAATTTCCCTCTATCAAGACATCGTACATCATCATCAAACAAGTTTGGTTTCAGTAACTTTGGCACGGTAAAAGGTGCTGCACTGATCGTACGTGCGATCGCCACAGTCGGTAATTACGATTACATGTTCGATTACTCCTTCCATATGGATGGTTCGATTGAGGTGATAGTCAGAGCGTCAGGATATCTTCAATCGAGTTTCTACTTTCCCGAACAGGGAAAATTCGGACCACGGATCCAACAAGCTACTCAAGGATCGCTTCATGATCACATCATTACATACAAGGCAGACTTTGATATCCTCGATTCCACCAACTCGCTCCAGGTCTCAGAACTGAAGGCGGTCAATCAAACGCAACCGTAAGTATTATCTCAGTGCCCCACAACTGGCATTCTTTTAGGAAGGCGAGATGGGCTCTAACAATCCAAATAGATGGTTTCCCGAGCTCGGAACGTTCGAACAAATGGAAATGGAGGTGTACAATATGAAGGAAGAGGCCCAGTTCAACTACGCAGCCAACAACCAGGCAATGTTTGTCGTCTTGAATCCCAACGCAACGAATATATGGGGCGAGAAACGCGGCTACCGCATCGTGCCCGGGCGCTCCGATATCCATCTTTCGACGCTCAATTCGCCCTGGTCGCTTAAAAATTCTGAATTCGCCAAGTCACACCTCGCCGTAACGTGCCAGCACGATAACGAGCCGTTTGCCAATTCCGTCCAGAACATCAATCTCCCGTTCACGCCGCAACAGGATTTTTCCAAGTTCTTTGATGGCGAGAACATTGATGGCGAGGACCTGGTGCTTTGGTTCAACCTAGGAATGCACCATTTCACTCGAAGCGAGGATGTTCCGGTAACCCTTTACACAGAGGCGTATTCCAGCATTGTCTTCGCCCCACAGAACTTCTTCGACCGAGCTCAGGACGGGGATTTGCGCAACCGAAGGTGGATCCAAGTAGATAGTGAGGGTACTTTAACGTTTGAAGATTATGGAATTGGCTTGGACACCTGCCCGATTGTGCTTGAAGAGCCGACGGCGCTGTTGGGGGGCGTAGGAACACTATGAGCTTAGCACAGGGCGCCAAAGACTATGCGCAGCAGCGGTGAACTTGTAACTGAACATACATAACCTTGTAGTATAGATCCGATCTAAAAGCATAGACTCAATCAATCGTTCCTCTCGGTATCCGAAGATTGAGTTTGCACCTAGTTTGGAGATCAATCTCCAGCTTTCCACTGTGACCCCCTCGTGCCCATTCATCGCCCACTTGCACAAATATGCTAACACTGAATGGGGTCTGGGCCATGCATGTACGAACATCATTTGCATTGGTTTCCCATACGGGAAATTTTTAGAATCGCATGCTTGTAGTAAATTCCCGACATGTGTTTCTTACCAACTGCCGGCCGCCATCGGCATCTCATTCGCCTCTTGCAATACGCTCGCCGCTTTTTCATAGCCCGGTCAACTTGGACGATCTTGGGAACGAGCCACTAGGGTACATGCCGAAAGTGACATACCTAGGCGACTGGTGTGCAGTGCACCGCACCCCACGGGCCCATAGACCGCCCATACCGCTGGGAATTGAACCTGTTGATACACATGTTTGTCAAATCAAACTGTCATTGGTGCTGCCATTGGAGAGACTGAAAAGCCGAATAGCCGATCGTTGACTCAATGTATCGTACGAGGTCTGGTAGGCAAGGGGCGTAGCAGGATGCCAGTCCGATGGTTGAATATTTCAGTTGGGGATCAACACAGCTGCTTCTGGCGTCGAGCAGACAGGAACAGCTGCAACTGTTCTTTTTCGCCGAGCACTGCATGCAAGAGGACGCCAGGGAGAAAGAACCCTGGTCTTATCACATTTAGACGCCGTGGAGATGTTCATGGAATCTACCCATCTTCAAAATTTCATGTACAATCATTCACACGAACGTATGTTATTCCCGGAAGTTCGTGGGGGTTTTCTGGCTGTTAGCTGACCCCGGACTACCCAGAAATGGGTTCAGACACGACCCAAGCACGCGAGTTATGAGCTATCGCAATCTGATATAGGACCCAATTATGCGGTCGTGTACGATAATAAGCACAACGACGAAAGTGAAGCGTGGTTTCCAGCCATGGCTGTGACGTCGCCAAAGCTTCGCCACATATAACGCCCGTACTAAGCCCTGAGTCTAGTACGCGAAATAGCCGCCGAAAATGACGGTGGCCTTTCAATCCCTTCCCACTCGCTTCCACTTCCCTGCTCGCTACCATGAAAAGACCAAAAGGAGCGTTGCACATGATGCTATAGCTAATGTCCAAAACGTTACCATGCAGCCTCTCCTTGGTACAACATGGCGGGGCCGGGGAGCTGAGCCATATGCACCGAAATTTGGTTCAAGACAAGCGCTTCTCTTGCCTGTTTGCAGCTTGCGTAATCGTACTTCGAGATTCTTCGATTCCCTTCACCGATCAGACATGCATATGGGGCGATGAGGGGGCGGCACTCCCACCGGTCGACCAAAAAGGCGTCGGTCTTTTCTTGACAATGAATGCGAGTGCCCATAACTCGTCGCCTTAATTGATATCTGATATTGGTCTTCAAGGCGGTGAGCAGGCAGTCAGATAAACCAGATGATCGATGTAGGTAAGCCAACGTCGTTACCGTCTTGAGCCTCATGACTCGATCATCACCATGGATCCAAACAGGCATCGGTCATGGCGCAGAGTGTGAGCCAAAGTCTAGATTGCACCACTTATCGGAGCCCTCACTGATGGGCAATCTCTCTACCGATTACTTTTACCAAATGATATGCTCCAAATCAGCGAATAGGTAAAGACAAAACAAGGTGTGGTCTGAGCCATACGCATGTCCCTGCCTAGCCCTACTATGAATCCTTCAAGCAAGGAAAGGCTTGCAAGAGAGTATAAGTCCGAGCGTTGCAACAAGGGCAATCCCCCCCGCTCTACGAGACCAGACCAGGTATATAGCACCTTGGTAGATTTCAAGATCACGTGTAGAATTGATCCCGGAAGGATCTGCTGCTGATCTATATTGAACTCCTCCTCGACGATGCACAACACAATTAGAGTTTCGTATGGGGATGCCCAAGACGGCATTAAAAGCGCCATATGAAGGGCATGGTGACCAAAAGGGTGTAGATTATTTCGAGTTCCCTACGAAATGGTTCGCTTGCAAGGCTGCGGAAATCCTCTTGAACGACCAAACCGCTTCCACTTTCTTAACCAATACCCGACGTCTAGCCGCCCACGAATTGCTCCTACGGGATTGAACCGCTAGTACCAACTCGATAACGCCCCGTTATGACAATAATGGCAATGAGCTCGTGGCAGTAGTGGATTTCTGTTGTGGTAACTCGAAGGAGGTGATTGTAACAGAGTTGTATATATCGTAAATCGTTTCAAGTCAGGGCCATGCACTTGTTTGCCTACTGGAACAATGTCGAATTTGTCGTCCAATCCACAACTTCATATCGAATTTTCGGTACCGTGTTTAACGTTAAACTGCGAACCATGTGCCCGGCTGATTATGCGAGTCAGAGAAATGTCCTCCTAGACCACGATGGAGAACGGGAACTAAACTTTGGAAAACGTGACAAAACCTATTACAATTTTGGGTCACTTGTCGTGCAGTAGGCGGCGCGAACGAGGCTGCATTAAGTGCAAGGGTGGGACATCGACGGTTCTAATATGGATCGTTTACCTGCCTCCGTAACTAGCACGCAATTAATGCTCTGACTGGCAGCAACGTAGGGCCACGCAGGTTCGCGGCCTACAATCTGCTTCTTCTCGTGCATGATAAACGTTTTGCTCTACAAAATCGTTCCAAGACCTGCCCAGATCAGTGTAGAGAGCATAGTGCGAGTTGGTAGAGGCACGGGGTGGCGTATCAGTAGCTGATTGCGTAGGGAAGCTGCTCGCCCATAACTCATCGACATAGTAGCCCTTCCTAGCTAGTCAGGGTGTCGCGGCGTTGTCCAACGGTCATAGTTATTGCAAGCGATAACAAGACCAGCTACCTACTTCGTACGTTGCCACTAGGCATCGTAGTCGAATTAGTGCCCGTAGAAGGTAGTTCGCATGTCACAACCCATGTCGGTGCATTTACTTCTTCGTGCGCCTCAACGTCTGATGGAACATTCTCTCGGTGCTTTGATGCATGAGCCCAGCTGCCCTGAATGCAGTCACAAATTGCGGCACAGCTTGACAAAGAAAAAATATTTCCTAACCAATTCCCTACATGTGCTCCGTAGTTGAATCTTTCGATGAAAGGAAGATACTCGGTCGGCGTAAGACCTCAGTAGTACCCGCACGGTATAACGCGTCGTGCCGTGCCTCCAGTACCTTGTCAGAACTGGGGAAGCGAGCCTTTCTTTGACCACTAGTCAGAACTTTATCCTGTTCGCCACGGCATGCGCACCGTAACACTTTCCAATTGTTGAGCTAACCAGCAAATATAGTGCTCAAGTCATGCGTTACAAGCATTAGCTTGGATGAAACCTCGGAACTAGGCTTTGCTCGTGAACAAGTATGCAAATTTCCTCTTGAGTTCTGGACTGCATACAATACGTAGATATTAACATGGCACGGCTGTGCTGGGCGAGGCTACTGTTACTAGCTGCATGGAATTGGTCGCATAATCGCTGCTCGTATGGGAAACCCAGCTCTCGTGAATTGAGCCACGACTGATCAGTAGGAAGGGAGGCACCAGCAGCAAGGTAAGCTGAAAGCAGGTCTTACATTATCAGGAATATGTCGCCCAATGACGTTTCATGCTAGCGGACAGGCATTCGATTGTTCAATCTGGACAGTTGCATGATTAAGCGAGAGAATGGAAAAGGTTGTCATGGTTCAACTAGACAAATGTGTATTGATGCAGCATGACCTGCTCCGTAGCCCTTGCCTTTCCCTGTATGCAGTTCACCTACCTTATCTGAGAGTGGAAACTTACCGGTGAGAATCCCATTGACCCTACATCGTCCGCTCTAGAATAGGCATACGCCGGGTGGTAGGCTCCGAGCAGCATAGAATTGACCTCAATGTAAGATGCCTTAGCCGCGCCATGCCACGCAATTGAGGTACAATGCTTTGTTCGTGTGGAAGGTACTGTGCAGGTCTCTCCACCGCCTCTTTCTTTGTATTCTTTGTTTGCCGGGCTGACTACCTGCAGCATGGTCGTGTTCAACAGCATCAAGGGCGCCTTCTTGCAACCTAGAGGCTCTAATGCTGCGGGGCCGACATACTGCACGGCACGGACACGGGGACAGCGTTGTGGCAGCAGGGCTCATCAGCAGTGCATGGACTTAATCAATCCATAGGGCTGAGGTCGAGCAGGATCGCCAACAGCCGAGCGTAATGTATGCGATCGATTGAATCCTTCGCGATGCATTGTGTCCCTTCGTCTTTGCTGGGTTTACTGGGCGCTCAAGCTAGACGGCGTTTTGTTGGTAATCGTGATGCCGTTCTCCAACAAGGCGGCGCAACCCTTTTCTTTTTACTTTTGGCTATTTACGCACGACACTGAATCGGGTCATTGTTCTAATCAAGTCCCAACAAGGAACCTGGGCCACATTCAATGTGATTGGTGATTGGAGGGCATATAGGTGTGATATCCAGTAGGCGGGGACCTTTACAGAACAGAAAATTAAGGATCTAGTTCCACCCGTGTGGCAAGGTACATGTCTCTCGCTCCCTTCACACAATTGGGAGGGGCGGATGGCGACAAATCCTTCACGACCATGCTGACCGGGAGCTTCGATAGTATCAGGTGATAGATAGCGACGTGAATCATTTGCCTGACTAGTTTACTATTTCCTTACCGCAGCACATGCTTCCTAGGGTGGGTGATAGAGTACTTGGTGAATCGGAAGCGTTATATATCTGGAGCTCAGTCAGCTTCACATTAGTACGAATTGAAAGGCTGTCTTACGTAGGGGTCTCTTGAGATTGAATGTTTCCGCGCATTCAACAATCCATGCATATATAAACCCCTCGAGCGCACTTTGAGCCTTATCATTAAACCAAAACTCTTTAACATAATTAGTATCCATTTTCCCTTACTTGCAACATTTCATCAACAACTTTAAAAAAAACAAATCAAGTCAAAACAATGTTTCCGGAAGCTTTAATTCGTGCCAAAGAGCAGCCTTTCGACAACATGTCGATTTCGAGTACGGGGTCCTCTATGGATAGTCTCCGCAGTGCGTCTCCTGCACCGTCGATCGAGTCAGTTCCCGACAGACTGGCACCCGCCGTGTTCGGACCGATGGTGTGGGACAGTTCTGAGCTAGATACCGACAAATATGTTGTGCAATTGACCCGGGCCGAGATCGATCAAATCCGTGCGGCTGTTATTCACTTCAAGCGTAAGTAGGCGTGCTTGATATTGATGCTTGAAGTCAACTGATGTGAGGTGTAGTTACTCGTTTGCCGCGTGGTGCTATCAATCGCGAAACCTTTCCACTCAGCACCGAGCTAGCGGAAAGGCTCACTAATATCAGCGATGAAATCCACAGTGGTGCTGGTGTCTCTGTATTGCGAGGACTCGATACTGCTAAATTCAATGACGAAGAGGCAGTTATCGCCTTTGCAGGGGTATCATCTTATGTTGGCGCAAGTCGTGCAACTGATTCCTACGCGAACCAGACATTGAGCCATGTCCGAGATGCAACGCATGACAGTGTGCCAGAATGGGCTAAGGATATTGGACTCGCTGGATCCAAGATCACTTCCGCGATGGTAACTTTTCTTGCTGGGTCGTGATCTATTACATGTTCTGACAATGACTAGGATTTCCATAGCGACCGTTTCTCTGGAGACATTCTCGCTCTCCATGTCAGGAATGACGGAGGACCCGGCAATGGCGGAGACCAGCATATTGTTAGTGTTGCAAAGATCTACAACGAGATCCTGCAGCGAGATCCCGCTGTTCTAGAGACAATGGCAACCCCAGATTGGCCATTCGAGTTGAAGCAAAAGTAAGTGATAATAGACAAATTTACTCCCGTTTGTCAACCCTAATATGGAGTAGGAACAGCAAGCCGTACCTCGAGCTCGGTCCTACGCTATTCTTCTCCAAAGGAAAGCCGATTCTACAACTAGTGAAAGCACCACTTCTCGGTAGTCCTCGTATTCCACGAGATCCATCAATGCCGTCCCTTACAACTGAGCAAATGCACGCCTTGGAAGTTGTCGAGGAGCTCGCCAGGAAATTCAGCACTAAGATTGACCGTCAAGTTGGAGACATTCAGTTTATCCATAATCTTAGCATTCTGCATGCGAGATCTGCATATGGCGCAAACGGTCAGCGGAGCAGCCGTCACCTTCTACGCATGTTTCTAAGAGACCCCGAGAGGATGTGGGAGAAGCCTGCGACATGCAGGAATAATTTCGACGATCCTTTTGCGCCGGGAAGGCATCAAGAGTTGCCAATTCTCGACTTGGATCCCTGGCGTAAGATCAGCGGCCGTGAGAGCCACGGATAGGAAGCTCGTTGATATTTCCTTCGTATAGGTGTATGGGTGGTTCTTGTCGATAGCATTGCATGGTCATTTTATCCAACTTATTGCCAGGGAAAATTCCATATGCGCGGAGGTCTGTACCTATTCAAGGCGGCGGTTCTGATATTTATTTTGGTAAATGCACTAGTATCTAATAGAGTCATTTGAAAGAACACACCTTAGCTAAAAATTAGGATTACTTGCGTTCCTCGCAACGCGCATCCAATGGACTTTGCCTATTGTGGGTAGTTCTTATGCCCTACAAAACCAACATCCCTCGGCTCAAGCTCCCCCTTCCTTGAATAACGCGGTGATCCATTTGCTGTTCGTTGAGAATTGAGAACTTGATGTACCCGTGAGAGGAGGTGCATGCCGGTCTCGGGACACAATTAGTATATTATGTTTTACTATTTTGGGTCTTCGGTTACTTACCAACCCCTTGTCGATCAAAGATCGCCACTACTTGCATCATGTAATTGAAGGACTCAATGTCTGGTAGATGACCCTTGGTACGAAGATCTTCGGGATTCTCACGGGCAACTTTGAATGGCACGAAAGTGCGCAACAATGTTCGCCAATACCTCAGAATAATGTCGAATGTGTCGTCCCACTTCTTTATTTGTTGCTTGACGACACTGCTGACATGGATTTGTGTGCTCTAAGCGTAGTCAGCTCGACTAATTGAGAAGATGATCATTTGAGTACTCACGGTCCCACTTTTCGAACGTATGTATTTGTCTGCCCCTTGATGTATGTATTCGAGATTCCAATACAAGACGAAGAAGGTCAAGAATAATTCGTACCAAGGTTTGATTTTTGGTTTGAAGACTCTTTGAGTCAAAACTTTATGACATTCCTTTTCCAGGCGTCTCAGGATCTTGACAAATGCAACATCCATTTGGTGGTTGATGGCAGCAGGCAACGGCCGATGTCGTGAATCTCGATCGTATGCTTCGTACTCGCTGTGTCCCAATGCTTTGAAATCAATCTCTGATATGCCTGGAATGTTACTAGAGCAAACAGTCCCATAGCCCTGCGACATAATCGATAAACATTGTAGCCTGAGCGTGAGATCGAGAATGTTGTTTCCGAGCAAGCCGTTATCCCGCAATCTCCACGCCTCACGATAGGTAAGCAAAGCGAGCTCATCCCGACAGATGCGCTGAAAGATCCATTGCTCCATCGAGTGCAGGTTAGAGCAGAAGTATGCATCAACGTCGGCTTGTAATGCAGCGGTATCGAATATTGCGTATGGGGGCTGTTTTATGTTGATGAGTTGGCCATCTGTGTTTACCCATTCAAACTTGATGCTGTTGGAATCGGCTTCGGGCAGGAAGAATTCTCGGCAGCGGATCCGTAACGGCTCTTTCATTGGTATCGGGTCAGATGTACCAGGTAAACACCATATAATTTCCATGCTGAATATGCCATCGTCCTCCTGCCAGACATACTTCAGAAAATCGGCTTCCACCTGGTTACAGCGACCATTACCTAGACCTAGGTCAATTTCTCAAATCAACTCAAATCACATCAACGCGACTTACAGCGGCGCACAAGGCTAGTATCTTGAATATGATCACGGAAACATGGTTCAAGGAAAGACCTTGCGTTTTCGAAACTCTTCAGGCACCTTTGGCAAGGGTGACCTTCATCACACTATCATAACGTTAAAATAGGATAAAAACAGATGAGAACATGTGTAGTACTCACACCTGCCTTATACATCTTGCATCGTATGCAAACCTTGTGTTTGCGCATGTTTGAAGCCTTTTTCCTGTTCTGAACATCAAGCGGGCCCTTCCGTCTTGATACCTTTACCTTCTGTTGCCTCGGTATATAGGAAGATGCGACCTTAGTTGCAGGCGGCTTATGTTTGGTTGACAATCGTCTGGGCCTGTCATGTGGCGAGGGCAATGGTAGTGGAGGCCCATGATGCGAATAACTACCTTCTGAGGGAGCCGGCAGCATTCCCCATCCAGAGTCTCCGAGAGGCATTCGCTCATATCCTGCATCCATCGATACACCAATTCCGACGCGAACATTACTCCACGGTGATTCATTGGGGCCTGAAACGACCAGATCGGAATGCATTGTAGAGGCCTGTTGACCTTGGACAGCCTCATGGCCAATATCTGGATTTTGATTTGGCCATCCCATGGGAGCATGTGCCACCATTAGTGGCGGATGTTGCCTATGGATTGCTGGAGCTGTGGTCGTTGTCGGTACCAAAGGGTAGTTCAATAGCTGGGTTACGGGGGCGGATCGCTGTTGGTCTGCCTGGAAAGTCTGCAGGTCTGGAGGTGGGTGCGCTACATACTCCTAATACATTTTTAGTTTGACATTGTTCGAGGTTAACTCGATTATGCCCGTCTTACCATGGCTGTTGGCTGGAACTCTGCGTGTGGCGCAGGAACCTGATATGCGTCTGGGTATCGCAGAAACTGTGGAGGTTGTTCTCGATCTGAAGTATACGACCTTGTTGTGGGGTTGTGGGGAGGCACGGTGACAGCAGTTTCGCCTTCATCGTAGTGAGCTTGCGAGCGCGATGCGAAGCCTTCATCGCCTAGCGTATCGCTCCAGCCTTCCCTATAGTAGCTGGGAGGGTTATACACCGTCTGGAAAGGTGGTATATTGACATATTCATTCGGCGCAGCGTGATGAAAGCTTGGGAGCTGGCGTTGAACAAAAGGAGCTGGGCGTTGCAGCATCGCTGAGGGGGGACTGGAGGCAGAGGTCGGATTATGATTAGGAAAATGCCATGGAGAGAGACTAGTGTATAGATGGCTGTCTTCTTGCCTTTGGATCACTTGGTTGTGCAAGTTCTCCGAGATGGCGTGTTGCAGGTTAGGAGCCATCTGATGTCTGAGGCCGCAGACGTGTGCTGGACGACACGGGTCGCGGCTGACCTTGTACGACCGCGTGGAGAGGAGGTTCGTAAGCTCTGCCTTGAGATCAAATGATCAGTGAGATGGAAGGCCCACAACTGGCCTAGGAGCCTCAGCGCGCTCGAAAATGTGGGGTTGACAGGCTGCCGTACTGCTGGATGTCTGAATAGGAGAATGATTGAGGTCAGCAAGGCAAGGACGCCGATGGTGGTGGTGGTTGTGTGGTGGTTGTGTGTGGTGTTGGCAACGGCGGCGAAGGTGGAGGGGGTGAAACCCACATACCGATAGAGAGTTACTGAGATGTGGGTGCGGGCAGACCAAAGCTCGGGACGGCTGCAGCATCTAGCTCCCGTGCTCTGTCCTGAGACTCGGTGCAAGCCTAGCACATATTGTACAAGGCCGAGACCAAAACATCTCCTTAGGGCTGCAGCAGCGAATTCCCTATATGGTTATTTGCTTTTTCCGACTCGCGCACAACCGAGGGAACCTCCCCAGGTGCTGTGAGTGGACCCATTCGCTGAGGAACAGCAACACCAAAAACATCAGCAGCAGCAGCACTAGCAGTCATCATCCTGCCAGCAGTAGTACGGCGTAAACTCCGACCAGTACGATGACCTTGTCTGTCTTGTCCTTCTCCTGTTGCCCTGTTGCACACTGGTCCGTATACGGCACGGTATAACACAGCATAGCGCGCGGTGTCTCGACAAGGCTGCCTCCATTGTAGAACCACACCCCTACTGCTCATCTCACCAATCATATATCAGCCAGCCTGAGCCAGGAGACTTTCATCTCATTGGAGTGTTTGTCCCTACTTCTTCTCACCGCTCACGACCCCAATCAGCCCTCATCATACGCATTCACCCCACTTCCTTGCCCGGCGGCACCATGCATTTCTCTTGTCTTTCTGCCGCTATCCGCGCCGAAGCTAATCCTGCATCGCAGCTGCACTCTGCGATAGGGAATAGCAGTGTTCGTTAGACGTCCTGCTGCCAGGAAGCTTCGGGACCAGGGTACGGTGTGTCTATCCGGTCCAATCTATTCACCGAGGATCAACATTCTTCAATGGCCCTTAACATTAGCCCATCTCATGCCCAATCCCTCTCTAGCCGGTGCTCGCCTGCAACGCTGCACCAAGCTAAGCCTCAACGGTGTACCGGTGGCCAATGTGCATTGTCTACTACATATGATTGCCATTTCCTCTCTGATGTTCCTAAGTTTGAATAGTCCAGAGAGCCGTGGCATTCTGCAACTTCCGAACTCAATATCGACTTCCAAGTATCCATGTTCTGATCGGTAGCACAATGACAGCAGAGAGACTCGGACCAGAATACGAAAACATACGACTAGCAAGATTGAGTGATCTGCCCCGAATAGCCGTCGTTGCTGCTGCTGGTTTCTATCATTCCCCAACCTTCCGGTTTCAGCGGCCTCTTCACAATATACACGTCCAGGTAGGTCATTGTCCATCATAATCGTGAGGGCAAGCTGAAGAATTGGTCGCAGGATACGGTTCTATCATACTGGAATGAATATCGGGAGGAAATACATGATCCTGCAAGCGTAGTCCTGGTGGTGGAGGACAACAGGGTCGAAACCGAGCAAGATCATGCATTTGAAGCATTACGTGCAAGCTCCTTGTACAGCTATGGATGGAATTCGGATGGCGCCAAAACCATTGTAGGCGTTTGTGGCATTGATTTGAAGCCAGGATCGTCCCGTATCGGTGAATTCCAGCCAGAAAGTATGGGACCTGGCTTGCATTGAATGGATTGATGTAGGGTTGCTGACTGTGCTAAAGTCGATGAAGAGCCCCCTCAGCCCAAAGCAACATGTCCCACGGTAAATAGAGACATGAGTCCCGAGGCCCTCCATACGTATAGTCTTGCCACTGCCGGTGCGAAGGCTAGGTATGACTATCTTCCCACGTCAATTAGTCGATACCTAATCACGCCGTTCGCAGATACCTCGAAGGTCACATGCGACTGAGTACACTGGCTGTACACCCTGCGTACTGGCGTCGAGGACATGCCACACGGCTGGTGAACTGGTGCACTTCGCTCGCGGATAGGGAAGACACACAGGTGGGAATTTCGGCGGCTCCAATGGGGGCGACAGTTGCTGCCAAAGCTGGCTTTGAAGAGCGAGAGCTTATTACGATCAGCGCAACGGACGTGCAGCGGATTCTCACTCCAGCGACCACTGTCGGAGAAGTGACGCTTTGGATCGCTGTGCGGCGGCCATCTCGTTCACCTTCTGACGCGGGAACATTACGCTCGAATTCCTCTGCGTCCGCCTCCGGTATAGAGTTATAGTGCAATAGCGAAATTCGAATGGGTTTGTGAAAGAAAGGTGTCACTAGATGCTTGTGGTTATGCATGGCGGATCAAGGGCGAAGTTGAAACAGAGTTGCACTAATGGATTAGGTGGTTTGGTTTGGGTCCACCTTCTTTTTATGGTTCCGATTGAATGACGCCGGCCGCAACCGGGGGAGGACCGTGACTTGCCCGGGGACCCACACAGAGCACAAAGCCGTCATCGATTGCAACCCAACAAGCTATCTCTCGTTTTAGACCTGGAGTATATGTGGTTTTGCAGCTCCGATATCAAGTGCAACCAGATGGCATGTACAGATGGTATGTATGATGTATGATGTATTTTGTCGCTCATTGTCCACACTCTGACCCATCGCGAGTCATTCAGATCACCTCCAATCCATTACACCAGGAAAAAACAGCATCATCTACATTTAAAGCGACATCACGCATGCACTTCTCAGTGTATCAAGAACAACAAAGATCTCATGTTATCGGACAATGACAAATTCGAAACAACCATCCTGGCACGAGCATAGCCTTTGCCTCCTGGCTGCACCACCAATAAATCTTGGACATTCCACCTAGGGGACGAAGTCACTACTTAGTCTTCACTTTCTTTTCCGCACTGGGTTCCTGTTCATCTCGTTGCCGCTTCTCGGCAACTCTAGAGCTCTTTCTAGTCCCTTCAGCCTTGAATTGACCTTCCTTTGACGTGCTCTTTTTAGCACTGTTCCTCTTATCACTCTTCTGCTTCTTCTTCGTCTCTCCATCAGATCCCGTTTTCTTAGCACCGGAATTCGCCTCAGGCTTCACATTCTCCTTATTTCCGTTGCTCTTCCCTGAAGACGATCCATCGTATTCTTCGTTTTTCTCCTTCTTCGAGGAGTGCTCTTGCTGCCCCTCTTCCTTCTTCTTCTTGCTCGAAGACTTCGGCTCGGGGGTTCCTTTCTTGGGTTCGTTCTTGGTTCCTGCCTCATTTTCATACCCGCCTCCTTTCTTCTCATACTCCTTGGACAGCTTCGCAGCCTGTTGATTCAATGTTAGTCAACGCTTTACCGCGAGATAGACACCGCCACGCGGCAGGTGTCGATATTCTCACCTTCCACGCGCTCCATTGCCCCTTGCCACCGCCATCTTTGTTGGTTTCGTTCTTCACTTCCTCCTTCACCTTCTCCCGGAGCTTTGGATCGGTCGGTTTTCCTTTGCTGGACGGCATGATCAAATTGCGCTTCCTTGGTGTTTGTCAGATTGGTAAGCCCGAGGATGGAGATGACTGGACACTTTGAACGTCAACCTATAGAAAAATAAAGACGAAATTCGTGCGATTGAACTTTCAGACACTCCACGATCCATCTGGCTCGCATTATGTACCTTTTGCGACTTCTTTGTGGTTGGCGCGTAACTAACTAAATGACATCATGACTTATGCTGCAACGCGTGCACGCGATGGCACGTGCGAGTCATTGATGGGATGTGATCGCAAGAGAACGTATGTCTTCAGCATCGCTAACTTAACTACAACCGTGTTTAGCGTCTTTGACATCATGTCGGACTTCAGAAGATTGAAAGTTCCGCGAAGTCGTTGATTTCAATTTACTATATTTTTCATCCTATTCCTTAATAAATAGTGGGAATCCCCTTCAATACACACCCTAGTGATCTTAAACGTCTGCTAACCGTGATCTCTTGTATATCGTATCTCTTGTATATCGTATATGAAAAAAACACACCGGGTTCCAAGCCCTAAAGAATACTAGATCTGAACCTTTCGGAAGAGAAGGGGCTTGCTTGCATCTGGCGCTGTCTGTATCGACAAATTTATCGTTAGCAGTAATCCCACGACATCAAGAACTAAACAAACAATATGTACTTACCGATCGCCCGACTTCAGTGTTAGGATGCCTTTCCGTCACCCCATCCGGATTCTTGATATCGTAATCGAGGATCAATCTCGCAAGGATCATCTTGATCTCATTCGCGGCGAAGAAGCGTCCAGGACAAGCGTGTCTCCCGTACCCAAAGCCCAGGTTCTGTTCGTTGGTGGTGACGAACTGGTTGCGGGCGTGTTCGGTGGCGCCGCCGCCCTTGCGAAGCTTGGAGAAGCGGAAGCCATCGAATTCGTCGGCGCTGGGATAGTTCTCGTCGTCTTGGTAGATGGCGTGGGAGGGCACTTCGATGATGGCGCCGGCGGGGATGTACGTGCCGTCGGAGAGGGTGATGCCTTTCATGACGCGGCGGTTGAAGGAGGTGAATCCGGCAGGGTAGAATCGCATGGTCTCTTTCATGAAGCTGTCAAGCTGTGCACTGAATTAGAATTACGATGGGGTTATGGACGAAATGGGGTAGGTACCTTTTCCATCTTCTGCAGCGCTCTCGAGGTGATGATGCCATCATTGTCCGCCATCGCTTGACGAATCTCGTCACGCATTGGCTCAATGTACTCGGGCTTTACAGCAAGGGTATAAAGAATGTTTGTTGTTGTAAGTGTTGTCGTGTGGATCGCAGCAAATATAGTGCCAAGCTGCATTTGGGCAATATACGCCGTAGAGTCTATGCCATAATCATTGGTTCGGTTCAAAAACCATTGGAGCAAATCATCTGGTTTCTCATAGTCGGGATCCTTTTCGGCATTGCGGCGAGCTTGTACGACCGGTTCGAGGAATTGTTTGGCCAGTTTCTCTCGCCTGCGCAAGTTCTTCACCTGTGGTAGCCTGCTGGCTAGGAAAGGTCGCAGCCAGGGGTGCATCAATTTGATGGCTTGCTGTGCTCCGATCAGTTCCATGGTATAATTGATTCCAGAGTCTAGATAGTCCTGGTCACGGCAAAGTTCAGGCCCCACAAAGACTCGACCAGAGACCTTGGCGACGATGTGCACCAATTTCATGTAGATGTACACCGTAGTCCAATCTTCGCATGGCGGCAATTCCTCTTTTACGGCTTCATCGACCTCTTGACATATGATGGGATTGAGCCGAACTGTAGATATTAGATTTTAAGAACTACATCCATGATACTTAGTAGGCACTCACCTAACGCTGGAGTTAGATCAGCCTTCACCGAGTGTGAGATAAGCGGCTCATCTGTCAAGATCTTCGTATATTTGACTTCCATGGACTTATCAACTGCTTTCGGAAAGCTAAGGATGTCATCCGGCAGCTTTCTCAGTTCCGGCAGAAAACGAGGAGGAACCACGATAGATACCTCATCTGTTCAGCGTGGTAATATCTTGTTAGTCAACAGTGTCGCCGATATACTCCAGCGTGCACCTACCATCAGAGGTCATCATGCGGTACACTTGACCCTTGAACTGGTATAATTCAGTATGTGTACCTAGCGTTTAGTCAAGGTTGAGTGAGGAAACTAACCTTCTTGTATCCATCAATGTAAAGCTTCTTAGCAGATTGTAGGTAAGCATTTCTAGACTTCTCGCGACTATCTCCACCACCAAAGGAAGGAAGGTTGGCAATCTTTGCCCTGTGGTTGAGGTGGGATATGAATGTGAGCAGGGCAAAAAGGCCCGCAGCCGCAAAGGCGGTCTGTAGTATATGAGAATTCCCAGATAGTTCCTGGAGAATCATCGTGGCGGATGTAAACAGCAGACACTGGCTGGAAGGGAAAAGCACAAAGCGGCTGGACACGGAAGGCTTTGTTGATTCACCACCCGCGCTCGGCGGTTGCTCCAGGTGGCGCTTTATTTAAGAGATCCTCAAATCCCCTCACTACATTTCTGAATACGCTTTACGGTCTGTCAGGGGCTCACTATGGTCTTCCCCAATCTATGTGGGTATGCAGAGCTAGCTAAGCGGCCGCTAGTCGAGTGCCATGAGGAGATGATGTGCACGCATCCGCAGCCATTGCCGCAGCCAAACGTCAAGAATTCCTCGATATTAACTCGCTAGCAGTCATGGCCACTCACAGTGCGCCCTTTACGAAAAAAACAAGCTTGCAACAGGATCGTGCCCATCGACACGGCCTATTGAAACGTTACTTGTGGGCATGGTGGAGAAATGGGATGGACCCCAGAAATACCTGTTGCAGCTCCTTGTGCCCCGGGGTGTCGGGAAGTGCTCTATCCGAGAGCGCGCGTTGGGCACCTGCTCCCTTCAGGCATTCCTGAGTTAATCATTCGTGTCATTGCACTCCCAGAGTTTCCCAATGTGTAATTTCAATGCGAAAGCGAACGCGAAACCATTAAAGGAGATGGTCTTCGATGTCATCTCGGGGGTTTTATGGATCCTCGTGTGGGCGTTGCGGATGATCGGCCCATGGGTTTGGCTTACGGTGGAGACACACGCAGCCAAAGGACGTTATCCACTCAATCCCACCTAATGATGGCCACTTGATTACGCCTGTGGCGTATAACTCTATTTGAGTCTGTCATCGGAAAACTATCTTTCATGTCCAAAACAAAAGAAGAACCTCCGATATGTCCAATGTTTCGTTTGGTTAATCTGGAGCAGCTGCTGGGCCCCTACTCCGTACTTCGTACTTCGTACTACGTACATATTTTCGATATTGTACTGCAGCTATGAGAGCCCGCTGTCAGTGCTGTTTTCGGTCACATGCAGCGTCTTCTGGTCGACCAAGGTATGCCTGTACTTCCTGTACTACATTCGCCTGCAATCCCCCAGTCCCGGATGCGGAGCTTCACTTGCCGCCCAGGCGAAGCAAGAAGACAAACATTGTTGAATGCTTATGAGCGTAGTCCGTATTCGCTTAGATAACGACCAAGAGGAATGTTGAGTCGAGTTCCAGTGCATACATCTTAATGCAGGACATCAAGGGGCCATTTAAAATTTGAACCACCTATCAAGAAGATACTCTTTTGATTCGCAAAGACCGGGATTGCATGAAGTACGATGAGAGTCTTTGTGTGGTTCCATTTTTTTCAATCCCACTGTACGGAATATAATTCCTACTGACTTGAAAGATGAAAAATTACCTATTTACTACCAAATAGATAACACAAGTATGTGTACTCAGGTGAAACTACCAGGATATAACAGTTTGTTGGGGATCCGCACACTGCTGCATAGGGAGGGACAGGCCGGCCTAACAGTTAGGGGACAGAAGTACTTAACTACCTAGGTACCCAGAGTAATTTACCATAACATCCAGACACATAATTTCGCAAACTCTTCTTCGATGAATGGTGCTCCTCCAGCATCTGGTTTCAATTCAGCCCGCAGATTTTGCGCCATTTCCCTAGAGGTATGACTTTCCTCGTATCTTTCTCTTTCGTGCTGGAGAACAGCAAGCTTGTAGTAAGCTCTGGCAAGCTGACCCTTGCCCTCGGGTATAGATCCCGCAATTTTCGTTAGTTGGCTTAGTAGCTCACTGTTATAAGACTACATCAGTGATTATTCAAGCGTCACAACTTGGGCGACATCTACTCACATTGCAGAAGCGGCGTTCCCGTGCATGTGCAGTAGAGATGCTACGTCATACAACGAATCGCACGTCTTCAGGCGGTTTCCTAGCAATTTTTGTCGAAAAGCTAGAGCTTTCGATGCGAGACGAAGTGCCTCGTCGAGTCTGCCTTGCTTGATTCGTATACGAGAAAGAAGGACCATATCCCCAGAAAAGCGCGGATTTCCAGTATTGATGAAAGTTTCATCCGTGAAATCTTTAAGCGATGGACATCGTTTGAGCATATCCTCGGCTTCATCAGGCTTGTTCATTTTCAAGAGCAAGCTAGACATATTGCTGTAAGAGTTACCGATCCTGTCACTGCTGGTATTGAGCCTGATACTAATGGCTTCTTCGTGTGTGGCGTAGGCCTTGTCAAGCTCACCCATTTCGGTGTACGCGAGCGCTATGTTGTTGAGACTCGATGCAATCATGCCATCCGTTGGCTTCAATAGTCTTTTACGGATTGCAAAAGCCTCTTCGAACGGGATCAGCGCTTGATCTGGATTGTTCATGTCCAGGTCAAGAAGACCAGATAGGTCGACTGCACTGGCATAGGAGAGGGAGCTTCTATCTTCGAAGGTCTCCAAAGCCGCATTGATCAGTGATTTCGCGATATCATAGCATTCCCGTTCATAGAGATACCTAAAAGGATGAGCATGGCAACCAATGCGTTCATGACTTCTCAAAAACTTACCAACTACATCGCAGAAGCAATTCACCGTATTCTTGAGGACAAGCAAGACCTATCTTTTGCCTCTCTCGCTGCGCCACTAAATGATTGACATGAGGGAGGCATTTTTCGCAATTCGCCCATGATTGGAACTGGTGGCCAATGTCCTCGCTCCACGTATCAGGGAAACCCCAGCTAAGGATACGGACAACGATGCCAAATGTTTTCTCTTGGGCATCGGGAGACTGGTTACGAAGAATGGTCGCTTGGATAAGACGATGGACAGACAGAACAGCATCCTCCGCATCCTTGTTCACGAGACTGGTCCTTAGCAGAACTTCTTCTGCATCTCCCAAACTGGGTGGATATATCAGTAAGACCAGAACAAATCTAAAATTGCTGCATTGACTTACTCCATATCATCCTGAAGGAATTCATAAGTAGGCTCATCAACAGACTTCGATCCCTGAGATAAAATTATCTCATCTATGCCATCCGGCTGAAAGTATGGCAGCATGTTGAACAGGGTATAAGCATCTCCTTCAAGCCTCTTCATGGACATCTCCCACACTGTACTCAAGGTATGCTCGTAGTCACTTATGCTAGTCTTACGGGAGTCTATCCGGGACGCGTTGCGCTCGTACAGTGGAAGAAAGTCTCGAAGAGGCAGCTTTCGCTGCACGATGAAGCCTCCGATTTGAGTGAGAGCCAAAGGCAAGCCCCCAAGGGCTTTTGTGATCTCGATGGCTTTCTCGCGGTTCGACGTAGAAGAATAATCGAGGCCCACTAAGCTAAGCAACACCTCCGATCCGGCCGCAACGTCGAATGGTTGAACGTGAAAGCCTTTTGAAGCAGGAGTGTGAACCGCGTTCGCATCCCGTGTCGTCAGTAGCACCGATCCTGCGCCGTTCGTGGGCCAGGCGTGCCGTAGCACATCAAGATTATCCGCATTGTCGAAAATGAGAATCCAAGGATCGGCTAGTACCTGATCAGTTATCCTATCGAATTCTCGAAGATTTTCTCGGTTGTTTAAAAGACTCCGTGTTGAGGTGAAAGCCATAAGTGGCACTTACAAGCTTCAGATAGCCAGTTCTTGACTTTTAACATACACCCTTGCGTGTCTTGTATTTCCTGCTCAGTCTGGGACAACCCCAGTAACTTCGCAATCTCGCGAAAGCTTTGCCCCATATTTATGACATTGTCAGCACTGACCCAAAGAATAGTCTTATACAAGTCGCGATGGCGATTGGCGTATTGCAAGGCAATCTGGGTCTTCCCAACACCTCCCATGCCGTAGAGTGCAAATGTCTTGAGTTGGTGAGACTTCTGCTCTGGAGACAGAGCCTTTTGGAGAGCGTCTAGAACATCCTCTCTGCCCCAGAACCTGGAATTGAGCGTGGAGGGAATGTTTTGATATCGCTTTGGCCCATCCATTTCCAATTTGACATCCTTGAACCTCTCCATTAACCCCAGCACTTCATCGTATTTTCCGTGGTCACGTTTCATGCGAGCGAAGTCTGCTTCATTCTCTACTGTTGTAGAAAGCCGTCGGATACGTTTAAGAGTGCGAGCGAAGTCGTCGCGAAAGTTCTCCCATGCACCGCGTCGTAGCAGTACATGTGGGTGTGATCGGAAGAAGTGAATGCAACGTGCGTAAAAGCATACGACCTCGGTGTAAACATCGACGAGAGCAGCTTCGAGTATCCGATTCATTTCAAGACTACTCTCATAGCTCCTAAGCCTTGGCAATGTAAGGCTCAGCTCTTCGAGCATATCGAGGACATCTTTGAGAGTATCGCCTGCGGATGACGCTAGAGTTAACATTAAGCGTATACTGCCCCATACAAAGGCTGTCAGTTTAGCATCAGCCCCGAAACAAACTGCAATCACGGCCGAAAAGTCATCAACGAACTTTAGTGCTGGGCCAAGGCGCTGCAAGGAGCCAAACGCATTTCGATCTGGAGGGAGATTCTTCTCGATCGTTTTGGTATAATTCAGGAGATCATCGAGCGACGCAATCTCGGTGACAGACTGGTAATCGTCATTTTGGTTGAGCTCCTCTCGATATCGCTCTAGGGCACGATGCCACAGAGGGCTTGCGGCTCGTTTCTCTCTATCCGGCGGTTAGTATTCGCTTTTCAGTGCTGACATGATGTGTGAAATGTTTCGTACCTTGTTGCGTTGGCGCTCATCACTAACGTTGACAGGACCAACCAGTATGTAATTACTGGTAGCGATAGGAAGATGAGGCAAGGCAAAGTCTTCTTCGGACGAGCAGGATGCGGCACAGTAGGCTGAGCCCCCCCTCCTTCCCCCCCTTGTTGTGTATCATGTTCGCTATGCATGTGCTGTGTGCGAGAGCGCACGATTATTGGAGGCCGCCTCCAGTTTCCTTAGCCCCCGCAGCTACACGGCGGGTAGCGGAAGCACGGACTAGATGCTGTGCGTCAACTCCTGAAAGGGAAATTGATTGTTGTCAACTATGAATATAGGTACTGTTGGGGCCATGTATGGACACCACTTTTCCGCTATAGCTGATAACAAGCAAACATTGTTTCAATAGACTCTGGCCTGCTTCCAAGCTCTGTAACCCTTTTAAACCTAATCTAGACTCTAGAACCAACCCTTTTCTTCGGTGTTTTTGGTATATTTGCTCTTGTTGTCAGCTACTGTGGAGAAATTGGTGGCTACTGATCCAAGAGTGGTGGATACTGATCAATTTCCTCCTGATCTAAGTTGAAACCATAAGCTTGGGCCACTTGTACGTCAATGTAAGACCTCAATGCCACTTCCAATATAAAACTAGAACCGCCGCCAACTCGTCACGTAGATCGTAGACCCACATACTCGATCTTGAATATGGCGCGGCTGAAAGAAGGAAAGCAACAGATTGGCCTGAGTAGAATTGCTCAACGCATATACATGCGCCGTGGTCTGTCACAGACGCACCATCTCAAGAGAGATGTATCCACAGGTGAGCCATGCGACCAATTTAGTGGGTAGCGCTGACGCGACATATTTCAGGTCTTGCAGTCGCTAATGAATTCTTCATCAAACCGACTGCCCTACTTGAAGATGGCTCTTTTGGAAGCTATTCGTACGACGTCTGTTGGTACGACTGCTGGGTCCGTTACCAGATGGAGTCCCAGCCACGAGAGCTATATTCTGTCCTCCAAGAAACTGAAGCGAAACAAGCCGATATCCCAATAATGGCATTCACCACCATCTGGCGCGAAGTGTGGGTACAGGCCTCATCGAGCAACTCAAACATTGACAGTATTGTCACTTGTCTTTTTGATAAGAAATTGGTGAAGATACATGATGATACTGAGGCTCTGAGGCATGCCACGAACCTTGTCTTTGCGATAATCGGGTGGCAAACAATGTTGTACAAGCCGGATACGGGGTCTTGCCCGCGAGCCCAGCTAGCCATTGCTGACGAGACTGATGGACACTGTGGATATGCCTACATGAACCTGCGGCAAGACCAAGGTGCCTCGGGGAAGACTTTGCATGAGTTTCTCATGGGATTTGGTATGCTGTTGCCAGGTTACAATTTCAGCACGTTGGCTTCAGATGATGACAAGAGGGCTCTCGTGGTAACAAAAAGTGTAACGCCGGACTCGTTGAACATGCATCTTCTTACTAGTATTGGTGGTATCCAGATCAAATGGACTGACAGCCTAGCATGCCACCTCGAGTTTGACGCCGATTCGAGTATGCTCTACTTCTTCCGATTTCCCACATTCTGCGCAATCAATCTGCTCGGCCAGGAGAAGTACCAGACCAAGTCAACAATTTATTCTTGTGCAGCCCCGCCAATGGCTGCATCGTTCTGGGCAACCCATGAGAATATCAACGACCTACTTCGAGAAACCTTACTTTCTTACCGCCTACTCTTTGGACAGAACAAAGCATCTCGACGGCTGTTCCGCTCGTTGGACCCGTTTGGAGACTTGCCTGAAGGATGCAAAGACCGCAATCTATCGGAACTGTGCGGCAGAAAACAAAGCAACTTCGGAACCCAGCTAACAGAGCGTGATTCGTACATCCTAAGTAAAGATTTTCCTATCTTGCGTATTCGACTGGCAGTCCTCGCACACCATTTCTCCAACAAACGTCCGAAGACATGGAAAGAATTGTGGAACGATAAAAGAGATTCAGCATCGTGGTTCACTTTCTGGGCTGTCTTGATCGTTGGCGGAATCGCCATCATTCTTGCTTTCGTGCAAGTCATTCTCCAAATTGTACAACTCGGTCTTCAGATAAAGCAATCCTAATTCCGCTCACACTTTTCGCTCAGCCCAGCTTTGGATCACGCCTTTTGCAGTCGCGGCATACTCCTTCAGAACCACTTCCTCGCCACAAAGAAAGGTGTTTGCCTGAACGAATACCCACTTCGGCTCCTGTTTCGCTAGAACAATCTCCCGCCATGCGAGGTGCTCTGCATGGACCCATGAAAGCTCTTCATAATACTCGCGGCATGATTGGACATCCGCAGTACAACGGCATAAATGCAATCGAAGTAGCATGCGACCAAGTGCAGGCTTCCCATGCGAGACAATCTTCGATCGATCAACACGTACAGTGAGCCTTTTGATTTGCGCGTTGTATTCTACGGTGACGCAGCCATTGCTGTCAGTCAAAAGGCATTTCAGGATGGCGAAGTGAGCCTGTGATCGTCAGCTATGGTTTGCAACGCAGTGATAGGGTTGTTTTACTCGACTGTGGGCCTGTCCCCACTTCTAGAACGGAAATGTCAGTACGTCTAGTCGAGCATATGCGTTGGAGGAGGTGATTATCTTACCCTATCCTCAACGTTGAAATTTGCCAGCCCACGAAGTCCATCTACCCCAAGCTGCAGGTATAGGTTATATGTCACTGCATACTTGTTAGCAGTACCCTTCATGTATTATATTCTCATACCTACAATCTGCGGCCGTAATTTCAGAGTTTTCGTCATAGCCCAACAACTTGAGTAATTCCACATCATCCATAAGATAAGCTCCCACGAGCTCCGCTCTACATTCATCCACAGTTGTAGCTAAGTCGCCAAATTGGCCCGTCCACGTCTGTCCCAGTTTGTACCAAGTTGTGATAGGCTTACCAGACAGGGGATTTACTGGCGGATTATGAATGTCGAAATTGAACTTGCCGTCCGACTCTTCGGTCATCATTCTTCCGGTGCCATGGCCGAGAAGTTCGTGAAGAACGACCCACCAGTAATAGGCAGGGTACTTTGCTCTTTGGAAGGAGTCGAGTTCGGCAGGATCGATGAAAGGGCTCCGATGTGCTTTGCTCCCTTCAGCACTCATACGATTTGCAATTATTACGTTCTTGAAACCGAACTCGTCACGGATATCATTGTACTGTGTAACTGCTTAACAGCTGGCTGGTTAATTGAACTTTTGCACATACATTTGGCAAGTTGATACCCGGGAATATGATACTTGAGCAATATGCGAGAGCTGTACATTAGTCGATAGTGCCAACTTTTTAGCTTCCAAACTTACAGTGAATGCTTGTAAGATCCGGCGGCTCAAAAAGAGCTTTTTCGAAGGGTCCTTTGCCATCGTTCTCATCGTTTCTAGCCCAAGGAAGCCTCTTGATGAAAATGTCAGAATTCTCGACAAGTTTCATCAGTTTTGATGTTTCCTCAAGATCCTTGATTGCTACTAGACCTTCGAACTCTGCGCGAATCCCGTATGGATCTCTATACGGTTCCACAAATCCGAAGATGTTCTCAACGCGAGGGCTCTTATCCGTAATCCATGTTCGTTGCGAATCACGATAAACCTCCAGATCGCCTGTTCTGAAACTTTCGATATATTGAGACAAGAAACGCTCCTGTTTCTCATTGGCTGCAAATTTCTTCGCTTCAGATAAAGAAGCGCAGATCCTTGCGAGCTCTTGGGAGTGATCACCTCCTTTGACTTTCATGGTAGCACCGAGGCTAGGTATTTCGAGTATAGATAGTTCACTATTGTGCTCGACAGATGCTCGTAAGACCTCGAATGTATGCGCATTAGGTCCTGATACTTTTTGGATCCGTGTATTCTCAGGAAATATTGAATGTTTCTCTAACAAGCGAGAGACCGCTGATATCTCGTCCCTAGTAATTATGGACTCTCCCGGGTAGTATGCGCTCTGAGATGTGTCGCTAGGGAATCCTAACCCGTATGGTGGCATGATTGTCATCGCATTAGAGATCTTCTCATAAAGATACTCAAGCTTGGGAGACTTCTTCGACAGCTTTGTCAGTGCGGAAGAATAAATTGATGGCAGGAACTTCTGATCGCCGGAGCCCTGCAAAAGATTTCAGATAGAACCTTGTTAAAATGGAGCGTAACCAACATAGTAATTCCCAATGTTCGAAAGGAATGTTGCTGCATAATCCAAAAACGCGTCACAGTCCTCTTGACTGATGCATTCTTCAGCGACAAGCGCATCCCAATTCCCCGAGCAACTCCAATAGAGCTCAATTATAAAATCGAAGATATCGATTGACTCCGGCGATACCTGGCGGAGGATGATCCTAGCTCCATGCCATGCCGCTCTTATTTAATAATTAATGAGTTAGCTTAGCCTTGCTTCTCTGTTCCCCTTGCAAGAACATACCGTGCCATATAATGGGCATAATGCTTTTCTTTCAAAGACAGGCTGTTGAAAGCCTTCGAGATACCTAAACTGTGTATAAGTGGTCGGGGTACAGACATTCCGGTCGTTGTGATGAGAACGAATTCAATGACTGACGATATGAGCTTTTGGATAATTGAGCGGATTCTAGAAGTGCAGCATGCGGGGTGGCGGGGTTAAGGATTCGTTGGTCGAACAATACGGGTATCTCAACCGACCAATTTGATTATCCTATCATGATAGTATTCATAGGTGATTCAACGAGCATAATGCAAGGATATCACGTCCCTTTCGTAGTATTGTACTTCATAGGCACGCACTGATGACTGGTTGGAAGGCGCCTGAGCGGCATCCGCCTTCCTGCACCTGGACGAACTAGGCTCACCAATGAGGGCCTCGTGTATACACAGTATGTACGGAGTACTGATAATCCATAGACTTAAAGAGGCTCGGATCAAAGACTTCTGATAATGCCCTTGACATGAATCTCACCTCCTATGTGAACGCCTTTTGCTTCCCTTGTAAAACCATGTCCTTCGTTGCGGGCATACTAATTAGCTTAACATTGGCCAGCGACAGGCTTAGCTTGAACGTTGCGCAAACTGCCTATAAAGCTGATCGTGTAACATCCCGATTCCCACAACCACAACCACATATGAAGGTGTAAGAAAAAAAAGAAAAGGAAATGAGATGAAGATCAGGGTACAGGTATAGCCCGTCTTATGCTGTCCGAGCAGCTTTTTGGCCATAGAGAGATCTAGTATGTGCCGGCAAAATCATACCTTTGTCATGTTCAGGTTGAACCGTGGGCTAGGGAACATTGGACATCAGATTAGTTGTGTACAGTACCATATCTCCAAACAAGACTTGCATGCATCTTGAGGCCTTTTTGGTTACCTCTGTAGTGAGCAGCTAATTGTATATATGACCAAATCAACATCCCAGCTTCAATCCCATCCTACCTCCCTACACACCTCACTGAACCTTGCCCCTCGCATCCACCTGCCAAATCTCCTCAATGATCCCCTTACGATGCGCATAATAGCAATCATGCAAGTTGATCGTCGGATCGATATGGCTCGGCACCATCTCGACCTTATCTTCAACGTCCAAATCCTCCTCCCCCTCATCCCACATCAAACTCCCATGCTCGTCCCCCAACACCCCATACCTATACCCTGACTTCTTACACTCCGCAAGCCCACTATCCGTCGTCAAACTCTTCAACCCGGCGTCGATAGTCACCGCCTTAGGCCCTTGCTTACTTATCACCGTTGAAAGCACCGTCAAACTATTCGAGTACTTCGTCCCGATGGCATTCCGGTAATCCGTATCCATGAAGAGAAACGACCCCGGCTGAACCTCCGTCACGCCAGGCACACTGACACAGAACTCCGCCGTCCCCGTTCCTCCGGTCGTCACAACCTCAATCGCATGGCCGTCCTGCCTAAACGCATCCGCGGTCTGCGTTAGCACGGCCATAGACTCGAGACACAGCGTTTTCCTCTCCTCCCGGTCGTGCAGGTGCTGCAGATGCCCTTCGTACCCCTGCACGCCGATCAACTTCAAATGCTTCAGCCCGGCGACATGTCTCGCGAGTTTGCGCGCTGGCTCCCCGGGCTTCACGCCCGTCCTGTGGAGCCCGACATCCAGGTCGATGAGCGTCATGATCGGTTCTTCGATCCCGCTGGCCGCCAACGCCTCGTCGATCTTGCTCGCGCCCGCCTCGCTGTCCACGACGATGCGAATGGAGCGGTATTTGTGGAAGAGCTCGACCAAGCGGCGAACCTTGGGGGCGCCGATGACTTCGCACGTGATGAGTAGGTCGGTAAAGCCCAGGTCGCAGATGACTTCGGCTTCGCTAAGTTTGGCGACGCAGCCACCTTTTGCGCCGGCGGTGTTGAGGCGCCGGGCGAGGAGCGCGGATTTGGTGGTCTTGAGGTGTGGGCGAATGGAGACTCCCGTCGGGAGGAGCTGCGACATGAGTTTTGATATGTTGGATTCCATTTGGTCGAGGTCGACGATCATGGATGGGGTGTCCAGGCTGGTGATCGGATCACCGACTTTGGGGTTGTAGGCCATGGTGTGGATGGTTTCTTTCTGGTCACTCTATGCTAAGGTGTATGGATGATTCTAAGCAATATGTTGGTTCAAAATAAAAACTTGAGGATGTTGATATAAGTCTCCTGTAGAATGGAGTGATGGTGGATGATATTGCTCCGTATTCCGGGCTGTAACCAATCCGGTAAGCCGGCGGGATACTGCCTCCTTCCTAAATCAGCGATTCCTGTGTAGATCTATCCCGCTCATCGTGACTCTTCATCGTTACATTTGCTTTCATTTTCCCCTCATACAACGTATTGACAAGACAGACATGTTGTTCCATTCGAAGGTGGCCTTGAATTCGTGAAGGAGGAGGTCGATCTTGGTTCCGTTACATGCCCCTCTTTTCCCACCTTTCATTCGGATACTACGTAGCATCTATGTTCATCAGACCTTTGTCCACTTAATTATTCGCGGTAAGTTTCTTGTTGTCTCATTGCCGTATACTTGTATGTTGTCTAGAATAGACTTCTATAATAGTAGTCGACAGATTCCTTCTATGATTGTGCCCAAGCTACATCTACTTCTGCTCAACATAACCAAAGATTGATCTACAAATGGTTGCGCCAGACCCGCCATGCTGTATGCAAATATGCATATGTCTATAAACTCCATTCTTCGCTCATAGCTGCCTTTCTTGATTCTATAGATGCTGTCGCTCGAGCCCAACAAGAGAGACGCTTCTTGCCATAGATAAGCACCTCTAACGCAGTCACCCGATGCAATGTCGCTGAAAGCACCGCACACCTACACCCAACCACAAAGTCAAATTAAGCTTCAGTCCTAATTCAACCCATCAACGCCTCCAACTAACTTCCTGATCTTGGTCATCAACTCCGGAATCCTGAACGGCTTACTGATAGCGTCATCCATCCCCACCATCCTCGCCTGCTCGACCTGTTCTCTCCTCGCGTTGGCGCTGACCGCAATGATGGGAACGTGTCCGACGATCTCGCCGCTCTCTTGGAGTTCTCTTATCCTCTTCGCGCACGTCAGTCCATCCATGACAGGCATTTCGACGTCCATGAGCACGACCGAGAGGTTGAGCGGGGAGTCGGTGGTGGGCGACTTCCAGAATGACGTTTTGGACAGCTCGGCCAGTGCTTCCGCGCCGTGGTTGGCGACCTGGATCGAGCACCCACGTTTCTTCAGTTGCGTGCTAAGGACTCGTTGGTTTATCAGATTATCTTCTACTATAAGGATGTGGTAGGCGGTTACGGGTGGCGAGAGAGGCGGAGGCGGTGGTGATGGTGTTGCTGTCTGTCTCGACGAAGAGGCTGTGACATTCTTCGTGTGATCTGCTTTGGTACGGGTGGGAAGACCACCTGCGCTTTTCGTTGCATTCCTTGAATTTCTTGCATCGTACCTGTGAGGAGCATTCGCACGGCGGGATTTGATATAGAATGTGAATGTGGATCCTTCATCTTGCGAGGAGTGGACGCCAATGCTGCCACCCTGCATTTCCGTGAGTTCACGAGAGATGAACAAACCGAGGCCGGAACCTCCATACTGATGACTGTGAGTTTCTTGAAATCTCGAAGACGGGTTTCGGGACTTACTTGTACGTGCGTTTTGGGTGTTGCCTGCGAGAACCGCATGAAAAGCTTGGCCTTGTGGTCAGGAGTAAGACCGCACCCCGTATCTCGCACCATGAAATGTAAATAGAATATATCACCACCCTCACATTCGTCCTGCTGTAGGAAATCCTCTCTCAACGCTTCTTGAGGGACATATTCAATTCCTGGCCGTTTGTCGGGGCCCTTTGAAGCACCCATGATGACCTCAACGTTCCGTAAAGATTGGTCCTGTGTGAACTTGATAGCGTTCGTAATGAGATTGATCAGAACCTGAAGGACACGACTTGGGTCTAGGATTGCCCAGTCAATTCCCATGTCGGCCACCGATGCTTCGGTCTGGACCTCGAGGCTGACACCGGCCTTATGAGCTTCGCCCTTGAACATTTTCAAGGTGTCCTGAAGTAGAACTGATGGCTGTATTGCTATTGGGCTTATGATCAGAAGTTTTGAATCCAGCTTCGAAAGCGTGAGGATGTCGTCGACGATACGCTTTTGGTGTGTGGCACATGTCTGGATGGTATCTATCGCTTCCAGGCTCGAATCGATCAGGTCTTTCAACTTGCACACGAGCGTTCCGTCCTCCCGAATAATATCTAGCATCTCACCCAGTGAGGACGAAACTGAATCGGCGCATTGTACCATCGCGCTGAGAGGGTTACGCATCTCATGGCTAGTCATGTCGATAAAATTCTCCTGCTGCCTCTTGGACTCTAGAGCTTCCTCGACCCTAATCTTTTGGATGGTTTCGGCCCACTTTAGATTCGAAATATCTGTCAGCGTACCGATAATGGACTTTGAATTTCCTTCTTCGTCCACTTCGGCCGTGGCAGTTGCCAATATCCAGGTGGGGCTCGAAAATCCATCAGGTCCAACCCATGATTTTTTCAGCCGGAAAGAGAAGGCATGCGGCCTCTTCTCGCGCAGTATGATCTCTACGTCCTTATATATGGTCTCTATATCTTCCGGAAGAATGACATCTGGCCACTGGATTTGATCATTTGGTACCTTCGGATGGCCAGTGATCTCGAACCACTTGTCGTTACAATACTGCATTTCCAAAGTGGGATTGAGATAATAGAATCCGATGGGCGCGAGTTCAGTAAAGCTTGCTAAGCGTCGCTCTGCCTCCACACGCAGTAGTGCCGCTCGTGTTGCTTCTTTCTGTGCAGAAACATCTGTATTGCAGCCTGAAATTCCGATTACGGTACCGTCTTCGGACTTGATGGGTACGCAAGCAGACAGAATCCAAAGATAGTCTCTTGTATCTTCTTCGCTCCCACTTTCCTTGTCAGGATTCCGCTTCCATCGCATTTCGAATTTGACTGGATTGCCAGCGACGAGGGTGTGCCACTGAGCCATGGTCTTCTCGATATCTGGAGGGTAGACTCGCTCGACGAATGTAAATTCTGGGGCATTAGGATCTGTCGGATAGCCACTTTGAAGGAAATACGCATCCTGTTACACGTTAGACCGGCTTGATTTCGAATGCCTTGAACGCACTTACGTTAGCATGGACCAATTTTCCATTCACATCAAACTCGAAGTACCCAAGTCCAACCCTATTCGCAACATCGTGGAAATTCTGCAACCTCTCTGCGACATCGTTTGCCTCTTGCGTGAGCACCGCGACCTCTGCGTTGAGCACCTCACGATCCTTCGTCGCCTGCTCGATCGCGCGTTTACGACCCCTTGCTTCCTCTTCATGGAGCGCAACAGAGCCCGCCGAAGCTCCGAGTAAATTGGAGTAAACCTGGATCCAATCTTGATACTCCTCGTCAAATGGTCGACGCGTATTCAATCCGACGCATAAATAGCCAGAAACAGTGTCGTCGCTGATCCGCAGAGGGATGACAATGAGGGCAATGCCAGGATCTCCAAAAGCTCTCTTCTCTACATCGTCAAAGATATCATTCGGCAAAATGCCATCTTCTTTCCGGAAGAGACTGGCAGATTCTCTCTTGGAACTGTATGACAGCGCACGCGCTAGGCCCTCATCTTGCTCTAGATCTAGTGTCTTCGGAATGGAGGGGTGGTCCTTTCGATATCCAATCGTCCATTCAAGATTGCAAGTTTTGGGCGTACTTCTAAAGGAGCTAACTGAGCTGGTGGTATCGAGTTCAAAGGTGGAATAGAGTATCGCAGTCGGGAAGTCATACTCATACGGCTTGACAGATTCGTGAATAGCCGTCCAGAAAGTCTCAGCATCTCTTGCGGTGCTCGTCAATTGTCCTACTCGCAACAATGCGTTCACACGCCGCTCGAGCAATCTCTGCTTGGTGACTTCCGTGACGATAGAATACAACCCATCAATCGGACCAACGAGGGGGACCAGACCCCACATGAAGAAAGCCTCCTCAACATAGCCGTACCGCTCAACCATAAAATGATATTCTTCTTCCGGCGCGTCGATGAATTCCGCGCCCCGCGTGCGCTCAACGGTAGCATTGACGGGGTCCGCTACTTCAGGCCATGCGTCTATTATGCTCCGGCCTAAGATTTGGGGATGTCGTCTCCCGCTTACGCCAGCGTAAGCAAGGTTATAGATGATGATGTGCTCAGGCCCCAGAAACAAAGCGCCAGGCCGCGTCTCGAGCATGAGCGTCGTGACAAGGAAGCTCAACTCATAGCCCCACTGATCAATCGGACCCAACGAGGTCGCTGCCCAGTCGATGTTTCGGATGTAATCGATGTGCTCACGAAGAGCGGGCGACTGAATCTTGACCGAAAAGATCGTCTCCGTTGGGCATGTCAGGGAATTGGATTGCTGTGGCGTTGGAACGGAGCCGGGGTTTGGGGATGGATGCAACTTGTCGAGAGGGGGCTCCTTCTTTTCGGACGCAGTCACCACGAGCCATCGTTGGCAGGCCAGGAATTTGGACCAGCGCAGTCTTCCATGCAAGAACGTTGATTGTTCTCGTGTGGGAGCCCTGCTATCTGGGTGCCACCAGTCTCGGAAGGCGTTGTGAACATGGATTGATGAGGCGATGGGGGCAATGGCGACCAAGGCCGAATTGACGTGACATATCGAGGCGGGTCGTTCATGACAGTCGACGATGAAAGTAAGCCTGGGATCGCTATCGTAGAGCTGGCGAATGTCGACGGCCTCCATGTTTGGCCCGATAAAGGCCACAGGACCTTGAGGTATTGTTTATGTCAATGCATACACGTGCACAAGGATCCCGATTTTCTATCTCACAAGTCACCGAGCCATTGCGTCATGCTGTAGATTGTGGTCACGGTCACAGTCCAGTAGTCGCAATCGCAGATCTAGCGGGTCATAACGACACACGATGATTGAGAGAATGAGTTTGGCGATTGGCGTAAGAGAAGGAATAATAGGCTGTGAAATTGGTCTTGACTGTGGAAAAACACTATCCTTCCCGCATAGACGAAAGCGGCAACCATGGAAATCCTGTCTCAAAATTCGATTGTCCGTCCATGGGGTTCTGGATCTCCATCGGCAACTATGCCCGGGCAACTTTGCCGGCTGGGGCGTGCTAAGAAAATGCATAAGAACGGTCCATTTCTTCCTGCTTTCTTGGAGACGGGTAGACGGTGGCGGTATTTCAACACCTCAATCTTCCTGCTCTCCTCCTCCCATCTTTTTTTTTCAGTCTTTTTTGATGTGTGGTTGCGGGACTCGGAGGTACATGTTTTTGATGTTGAGACATGTCCGCATAAAACAAGACATTTGCCTCTCAAAAAACCGCACATAGCAATGGACATGATGCTCGTAAATTTCATGACATATATTGATTCTCGTCTATAAACAGGAAATAGGTAACAATAACTTTTTGCAACGTGCCCCTGAACGGCACCTACACGCGTCTATTTATTCATGGTTATCCAAACCTTGTCATGCTCAACGAACGCAAGCAGCCAGCAGCGCGACTTTATTTTAAAGAAAAGGCACCCTCTATAATGTGTGAACGCCATCAATGCTAATAGATCCATCTGCAAAGTATCCTGCGCAGTATGCCAGTCGTAACAAACACACAGTAATTACTTCTCTCGTAATTTTGCGATTATGCCTCGTCGTCGGTGTCGACGGGATGCGGGGTTCCCTTGGGGCTGTTGAGCCATTCGATGTGTCGCAGCCTACGCCTGACCTCGCGCTCCTTCTGCTGGGCTCGGGTCATCTTCTTCTTCTTCTTGGCCTTGAACTTCATGTCGTCCTTGTTGCCTTCGGCGTCAGACATGACGGGAGTGCCATTCGTGCTAGGCGCGGCCGAAGACACAACGGATGAGGCAACACTGGAGCCGGGACGGGAGTCCTCGAAGCGGTCCATGGAGACGGCGAGATGGCCCTTGTGTGTGACGCGGCCATCGGCGACGTGCCACTGCTCAGGGCACAACGCACCCACGAACTCTTCGTTATGGGAAATCATGATAACACCGCCCTTGTAGTCGCGAATAGCCACGGCAAGACCACCAAGAGAATCACGGTCCAAGAAATTGGTAGGCTCGTCAAGCACAAGCAAATGGGGATTGTTCCACATGGCACCAGCTAGTATTCAATTAGCACATCTGTTTAAACGGATTTGTATAGGAACAGAACTTACCAAGCACGACCTTGACCTTTTGGCCACCGGAGAGACCGGAGATCTCGTTATGGTTGGCAATCTCAGGATCCAAGCCCAAATCCTCGAAATGCTTGGAGATGACCTTGGGCTCCAGGACACGGTAACCCAAACCTTCACGCGAAGACTCGTGATCATCGAACTCCTGGATCATCTTCTGGAAGCCCTTCTCGAGAAGGGTCTCACGAGAGATCATAGTGTTGAACTTCGGCAGCATGTGTAGCCATTTGACTTCATACTGGAAACTCTTCTTGTACTTTTGACGACCAATGAGCGCCTCGATCTTACGGGGACCTTTGCCGTCTCCAAGGTCAATGGGAGTTTCGAGTTGAGCCTTGTCCTCTGCAGTCAAGACACGCGTCTGCTTCATCAATACCTCGCGATCATCACCGTTTGCGTATCGCCATTGGAGGTACTGATTTGGCGTCTTCTCCAAATGCATCTCAACGTGCTCCAACGCGTGCTGCTTGATGTATCCGATACGCAAGTTGGGGTGCTTCTCGACCTTGCCCTCCTGGGGGATCGATTCACCAGTGAGAATTTTGATGAGAGTGGATTTGCCGGCACCGTTTGCGCCAATGATGGCGACACGGGAGGAGAGTGACAAGTTGCAAGAAGCATCAGATAGGGATGGCTTCGACGATCCTGGGTATGTATACGTGCAGTTCGTCATACGAAGGATGGAACGGGTGTTGGACTTGACACCAGTGAGGATACCTGGGGGAGGGAATTTGAACGACACTTGGGAAGCTGACAGGGTGTAGTAGCTTGAAGCCTCTGGCTTAACCTTGACGAATGCCGCGAGGTTACCCTTGTAGCAAACGAGCTTCTTTTGTTCGTAATGGTAGATGTCGGTGCAGACCTCGTCGAGGAAACCGGAGTCGTGGGACACGATCAAACTGGTGATCTCGGTGTGGTTCTTGAGATACTCTTGAAGCCACTTGACGTTGGCAACATCCAAGTGATTGGTAGGTTCGTCCAAGAGCAAGACGTCTGCGCGCATAAGCATAGCTCGGGCAAGAGCAAGCTTCATCTTCCATCCTCCCGAAAGAGAACCGACTTTGTGGGATTGGCGGCCCTCGGGACCTGCAGTGAAACCAACTTCTTCCAAGACGGATGAAATACGATCTTGGCTCTCGTCCTTGAATCGCGGGTCGCGAGAGATGAATTCGAGAATCGTCAGATCGGCATCCTCACCCTGGTTGTGCTCGACAAAGCAGGTCTTGACTTCATCTTGGGGAGGGAATCCCTCGAGCTTTCCATCGGCAATACTCCTCATAAGGGTGGATTTGCCGGCACCGTTACGACCGCAAAGTCCGTAACGATGTCCCTTCAACAAACGGAGGTTGGTATGGGAAAGGAGCAACATGCCACCGTAACCCAAAGAAAAGGTGGCATTGACGATCTCGACCTCACCATCGTCCTCCTTGACTGGCTGTCCAAACTTGCGGTGATCCTCCTCGACATAGAAGTTGTGTACACCTTCGGTGACTGCCTGGGCACCTTCTGAAGCAGTCATCAAAGGAGCCAGATACGGCCCAACCAAGTTAGGGATGCGCTCCAATTGGCGCTGGTTTACAACTTCAGCGATCATCTCAGAAATGTACGTCTTCGTGACTGTCGCAATGTCATCTCCGGGGAAGAACTGCAAGCTACCAGCAGCGGCGATCTGCTTCTCCAACACCTGGAGCACATCGGGTCCATGGGTACGTTCAACGGCACCGACACCGCCGTCTTTGTCGGCCATGGCCTTGTCCATGACGGCCAACGCGCGAGCACCGATCTCACGGACTTCTGGGAGCGAAGCACGATCTTGAACGGCCTTGACACCGGGCTGCAACTTTGGCAAGAAAGCACGAGCCTCGATAGGATCGTGAACGAGTTTTGTCAAGTTCTCTACTACGACAACGGTCTGGCGGAGAACCTCCTGCGAAGTTGTGGGAGTGTTCAAAGAACGCTCAAGAAGAGGGGTGACCATAGCGAGAACGGGAGAGGTGACAATGGCGACGAAAGTGGTCTGAGACAGGGCATGGATAGCCTTCTGTTGACTCTGTGTGGAGGGATCCTCGATGGCCTTGACGAGCAAGGGTATCCGGGGTGCGATATCGTCGTTCTGGAGCAAGGTGGTGAGACTGTTCATAGTCTTGATGGCCTGCTTTGCAACCTGTTGAATAGTTAGTTGAATGCCTTAGAAGTTCGGGCAAGCCCGTGACCTACCTCGCTCTTGAGATCATGCATGCCTCCCTCGACAACGGGAATGAGACCCTCGAGCCTCTTGCCCATGGCATCTCGGAGAACGTCCTTCTCTTTCTCGACCTCCAAGCTCTCCATACCCATCTTAGCCTTATCTGCCATGCGTCCAATGAGCTCGAAAGCACCAACGGCACCCTGCCACTTGCCAGACTTCTTTCCCAGATACTTGACAATCACGGGCAAGAGTCCGAAAACCTTGGCCTCGGCACTCAAGTTGTCAAACAGCGCATCGAGCGCATACTGTGCGGACTCGCGCACCGGTGCGGCCTTATCGGCGAGCCCGTCGAGAGCAGCGACGACGAGTCCGTGGTCCTGTACCACGAACACGACCTCCGCGACTCTCTGTGCACGAGGGAACCTCTCGAAAAGTGCGCCGAGGGCGTTCATGGCGCCCTCTCTCCGCACGGCATCCTTCTTGTTTGTTGCTGCCTTTGTGATCTCTTCGAGGATACCGTAGCCCTTGAGGCCACGGAAGCCGACAGAGTTCTGGAGAACCTCGCTGAGTCCATAGGCGGCATCGACGGAGGACTTTGAGGTCTTGGCCGTGAAAATGCTGTTGAGGAGAGCGGCGACATCTTCGTGGGAGGGAGGAGGGGCGGAGCCGGCCTTATCGACAATGATCGCGGGGGCCATTGGAGGCGATTCTTGATGGGGCATTCCCAGTAGGTTTTTCAAAGGCCGGGAACTGTGAATTAACGGGTTATAACGAGCAGTGATTCACACTACACGCTCTGCCGGTCTCGGTCTGAAAGGCGGCGGAAGGGTTGTGTAAGATTTCGTTGAAAGGTGGCCCTTATCGATACGGTCTCGTTTTTTGAGGCTCTGGCGCGGGGTGTAGTTTTCGTGAGGAACAAAAAAAAACAAGGAACTCTATGGTGGGTATCAAATGTGCGAAAAGACACAAGTATGATTGAGTGGAGAGTCCCGTTGGGTAAAAACGATAAAGAAAGAAAAAAGAGAAGGAAACTGTGCGCGTTGGAGGAGCGCAAGTTTTTGGGTGGGAGAGTACAGGTTTTGAGAGGGTTGGGCGGCGTCCGTCGGTGAAGGGGAAATAATTTCTCTAAGATTTCTCTTACTTTTTAGTAACTGGGGCTAGCTACGAGTAGTATCCAAGGATTACTACGGTATTTGAAGGCACTAAACTACTCATAGACTAAAGTATACACTCCCAATAGTGGGCGACGGCCCGGGGTTTTGATTGTATTAATGTTGAGTTTCTGACTGTGTACGGTGTACCTACCTAGGTATTAGCCCTTTCCACTGTATGAGTACAATACATAATTCCCTTACCCGGGTTACATGGCCCGTGCTCGTACGACCCTTTCCCTATCTTTTTTTTTTCACCGCCCACGCCACGTTCTCCATGACGCTGATAGGGCTGAGTATGGAGACAATGAACAGAAACCCTTTATTCGCCACCTCCACTACCGCAAGCTTCATATGTAGTTTGCAATTCCCGTGGCACGATACAAGGCTGTTTTGGCAGTGACGTTTATTTTATAATTCTCTCATTCTCCGCAATCCTACGAGTATCTAGATATACAGGCAACTATCTCTTAGAAGTTATGTCTCTCACATGCTGATCCTCAAAACGAACGATAATGCACATACATATACATATTCAAACCGACGTGATTCTAGTTCCAGCCTCTAACTGTACAGCGTAAACACCTTAGAAACAGCAGCATCATTCAGATCGACGAATCCGCTTCTCTCCAAACACATCTTCCTCACATGTCACCAATGCCTCACCACTTTCCTTCCAACACGAGGTTGCGGCTCGAAAATCCAACCCAGAAGGTGAATTCGCCCGTCGTCGGCATCACCCAATTCTGCCTCTTCACATCCCAGTAGCTCAAGTCCTTCCTCGTAAGATCATACGTCACCACCTGGCTGCTCTTGTCTCCACCGTGCGGGAGATGCACCTTCTCGAACCCGCGGAGGACCCGCACAGGGAAATCCACGTGCTCGCCAGTCTCGGGGTCCTTGTAGTCCTTGGGGAAACCAACGTAGATTTGCACAACAGTGTCGCCGTCTACGTCGCCAATGTTCGATACCGTAGCAGTCACGCTGGCAACAGTCGTGTATAGATCTGGGTTTCCTCCCGGGCCGCCACCGGCATTGCTGAGAGGGCTCTGCGGTTGCGAAGTTTGTACCTCGGGTTTTCCAACTTCGTCGACAGAGGAGAGGTAGGGGTAGATGTATTTATCAAGCTTCCTGAAGCCGGACGGGTACAAGACGCTTGATGGATCGGGAATGTCGGTGGGATAGCTCGGTGGCTCGATTCCAGAAGGTCGAGGTTTCGGCAAAGGGGATTTCTGTGTCTTTGAGATGGCCAGAGACGACAGGTGGAACTTGGTGTATGAGAGACCATAGCCAAATTCGTAGCGAGGCGTAATGCCGTTCTTGTCAAAGTAACGGTAGTCGATGTAAAGTCCTTCGGAGAAGTTCTGTTGAGGGACAAGTCCGTCCTTGGGGTTGGGGTAGTATTTGACCTTGCTGCCTGGGCCGTAGTCATCTTCGTTCTTCGCGATTGTGTACGGCAGACGGCCAGAGGGGTTGACATCGCCGAAGAGAACATCGACAAGCGAATTGCCAGACTCTTGACCGGGTAGATTGGCAATAAGAACCGCCTTGACGTTCGGGTGTTCAATCCACTTTTCAAGTATCACGGGACCAACAGTGTGGATGACCACCACGACCTTCCCCTTGCCTCCACCACAGCCATCGGCGACTTGCTTGATGAGCTCATCACCGCCCTTCTGGAGGTTGAGATCATTGCGGTCACCGCGGACCTTTTCCCATTTCGTGTAACCCTCGCCGGCATCTGAGTTGGCGAAGACAATGCAGAGATCTTGGTCTTCAAGAATTTCCTTTTCCTTTGGCAATTTGTTCTCAACCCAGTCGGTCACATAGACGGCTTCCTCATTGAAAGCCTTGCGGATCGCAGAGACTGGTTCGATCAGGTAGGGGAAATCGACGGCTCCAGAGCCCCAACCGGAGGCAAGAGTGCCTACGTTGCAATCTCTATCCTTGCAGGCATTGATTCCATCGGGGTTGTTACGGGCGTCCTCGCCGAAGACACCAACACGATACTTTGCCTGGGGCTTGACCTTTGCGCCATCGCGACTGAGAGGAAGAGCATTGTCCTCGTTCTTGACCAAGACAGTGCCCTCGGCACCAATCTGCCGTACAATGTTCTTGTGGTCAGCTTGCACCTTCACGAATTTGTTGACAACACCAACCGCCTTGTCATCGGTGCCAGGGTGGAGGAGACCTATTTCGTCATAAGTCCACGAGGAGAAGTTTGGCCCGCCCTCGCCATCAGGAGGCTGTAGGGGCCATTCCTCTGTATTGTCTTGTCCAAGCTGATACCATGCAGCAACCACACGTGTTGCCATATCATTCAGCCTGTCGGTGGGAACGCTGCCATTCAAGACGGCTTTGGTCAATTCTGGGCCCCACAAGCTCTTGCCATCTGACCATTTCAGGCCATCTCCAGGCATAGTGACGTCGAGGCCAGCGAGGGCGCTTGCTACGCCGCTACGCTGGGCGAGCCAGTCAGACTGCACAAATCCTTGGAAACCAAGCTCATCTTTGAGGATACCGTTGAGCAACTTGCTGTTCTGGCATGCATAGCTGTTGTTGACTTGATTATACGAGCACATGACTGATGCCACTCCAGCCCGGACGGACTCGGCGAATGGCCATGCGTACACTTCGTGCATGGTCCGGTCATCGATGTTGCTAGAGATAGCATTAGGCAACGCCCACTCGCGGGCCTGTCTGAAATGCTCCTGTTCATTCGCGATGTAATGCTTCGCTGTCGCGATGACACCTGCATCTTGAATTCCCTTGATGGTCTCGGCGGCTGCGACGGCCTGCAGAACGGGATCGGAACCGAAACCTTCCCAGTTCCTACCACCAGCTGGCATACGTCCCAAGGGGCCCATTGCGGGACCAAGCAAGACGTGGATACCTTTGCCCTTGGCTTCTTCACCGTGTGCTTTACCACGCTGGTACATCAGCTTCTTATTCCACGTCGCTCCCACCGTGACACCTGCTGGGAAAGCGGTTATGTTGTCGCCGAATCGAATACCGAGAGGTCCATCTTGAAGACACAGCGCAGGGAACTTCAGACGAGGGACAGGGGCCGTGTTACCAACACACATTTGCGTTGACCATCCAGTGCCAGTAGTGACATTGACCTTCTCCGTGAGCGTCATTTGCTTCACCAATTCTGCCGCCTTCCTATAGCTTTCACTCCATAGCGCGTCCGCACCACCCTTCGGTGATGGGTACCACGGCGGGCTCTGTCCATCATGTGGCGCACTGTTCCATGCCCAGATACCGCCAACGGAAAGCAGGAGTACAGTCGTAGCTGTGAACAACAACAGCATCCAGCAGCAGTATCTTAGGAAAGCGGGCCTCCTCCTCGGGAACGGTGTTTTCTCCGAGAACTCGGAGACCTTGAACGATGGCTTTCGTGACCGAAGATCTCCAGTACTCCTCTTCTGCTTCAATGTACCAGCATCGTAGTTGTAAGGATCGAAGTCTTCGAGGTCTTCGTATGAGGAAGAGTCCGACGCGAAGGAGGGGCGCGTAGGAGTCTCGTCGTCAGCTGGAGCATCAAGCTTTGCGTATCTGCCCCGACGAACGTCGTGGGGAGTGAGGGGCGCCATGCGAGGCAATCCGGGGTTCAAAGTGGCTTTCTGCAAGGAACGAGCGAGGCGGCGAGGAATGGCTAAATGAAGGGAAATGCCCTGATTCTATCGATAACAGATTGACATGGGGAGCTGCTGCGTAAGCGCAAGCAGTGATTAAAGAGAGAAAATAGAGCAAACTTCTCCCGTCACACAATGTTGTTGAAGCAGGTAACCATCGGGTCGAATGAGGTTTAACTCTTGGGTATAGGTGTTCAGGGGCCAATCAGATCATGTGCCTGGAGAACCCCTGGAATCGCGGACCGAGCTCCCGTTGGGCTGCCGCTATCCGACCACTATTACATCACCGATGGAGAAATCCACCACACGAACAAATGCAGTTGCCATACTAATTGTGGAGAATATGGGGATCTTTATCACATTTTTATTCGTCAAATCTTTTAGGAAACAAGGAAAAGAATTGAACCAACACTCGACAAGTGGTATTTCCGGACAGTGTGGTCGCTCTCAGCATTCTTCAATTCTTCGTTGCACTCGTGAATTACTAGTTCATTATCGTTCATGCGCCAACCTGCTTCAGAAGACCAGCGAGGTTGATGCTCTTGGGGCGCTCAATGGGAAGACCCAAAGCCCTGTCCCAGATGAGCTGAGCGAGGGGTCCAAGACCACGGCTGACACCGAATGTGGCAGTGTAATAGAGCGTCTCGTGGAATCCGTAGTGGTGGAAGAGAACGCCAGAGGAGGAGTCAACGTTGGGGAAGGGGTTCTTAGTCTATAGATTCAGTTCGTCAGTATAACGCTCTTACTTCAATAGTTTACCAGCAAGATGGTGTCTCTTACCTTTCCGTGCTCGGTCAACACGCCTGGTGCGACCTCTGAGTTCTTCTTCACGAGTTGGTAGACAGGGTTGCTGGCGATGTCTGGACGGGCATCGGCAAAGTCCATCAAGGCCTCGAATCGAGGATCAGGCTTCCTGAGCACAGCGTGGCCGTATCCTGGGATGACACGTCCAGACTTGAGGACGCCCCAGAGGAAGTCGGTGACATCGGACTCTGTGAACTTGGTACCAACCGACTTCTGCATATCAAGAATGAAGCGAAGCACCTCCTGGGCAGCCAATCCGTGGAGAGGACCAGCAAGACCCTGAAGACCAGCGCTGTAACTCAAGAAGGGATCGCTCAAGGCGCTGCCGACCAAGTGAGTGGCATGGGCGGAGACATTACCTCCCTCGTGGTCACCGTGCAGAGCTAGGTAGAGACGGAGAAGGTCCTGGAAACCCTCGTTCTCCTTTCCAGACTTTCCAAGCATAGCAGCGAAGTTGTATGCCCAGTCCTGGTTCAAATCGACTTCGTTGGGGAGAGCACCTCCGCCACGGTAGGCGTTCTGGTAAATCTTGGCTGCAATAGTGGGCAACTTAGCCAGCAAGCTGATCGAGTCATCGAATGTCGGCTCCCAGTAGTCGGCCTTGTTCAATCCCTTCTCGTAAGCCTTTGCAAACTTGGACTCGTAGTTGAGGGCGGACACGGCGCATGCAAACTGCGTCATGGGGTGGAGGTCCTTGGGGAAGTCGTCGAGCATCTTTTCGACGAACTTAGGAATGCTAGCCTTCTCGGCCAACTCGCGAGACAGAGCTCGGGTCTGTCCGACAGTGGGAACCTCCCCAGTCAACAAAAGCCAGAACATGGCTTCTGGAAGCATCTCAGTGCCGGAAGTGCCCTTAGGGAGCTCTTTCTGGCAGTCCTTGATAGTCTTGCCATGGAAACGGATACCCTCGTTGGCATCGAGAACTGAGCCTTCCCAGACCATGGCCTTCAAGCCTCTGGTGCTGTGTCAGTGGATCCGATCTGTACTGATCAAAAAGCTCCATTGTCGTACCTCATTCCGCCCAGGGTGTTCTCCACCTTGACGACACCAATTTCTTTATCGGCATGCGCCTTGACCTTTTTCAAAAGCTCACGCTTTGCGGGGAGAACCTTCTTGAAGGTGTCCTTGAGACTCGGCTCGGAGGAGGAAGAGTAGCTGCATGCTTGAACTACATTGAAAATAATGGTGAGCTTCAATTTCTTCCTGTAGCGACGTCAGGGTAATCCAATGGCATACCTGAAGAAAGCGGGCGCACTGCGGAGGGCTATTCAAGATTTGATCAGTCGTTGCTCTCCAATTCTAATTGTCAACAATGCAATTGAGACATGAGTATCTACCTTGACAGCTCGTAGAGCCCGGCTAGCAGTTCGTGCGTTCAACGCCATTGCTTCCGATTGTGAGGGGTAGAGTATATAGTAGTGGCGGCGTACAGAGGAAAGGTTCATATGAGCACCAGCTCTCACAACAAGCACCAATTGGAAAGGTGATGGTGGTTGGATCTAGAAATATAGAAAGGAAACAAAAGGGAAGGAAAGAAGAAGAGCAGGGAGAATGGACGGAAAAGAAATCTAAGAAGCCGAAATAGCCAACAACGGCTCTCCTCGGCGACAAGCGTCCTCAAGGTATCAGCAGTTGGAACGTGGGACCCGTTGATGCGGCGGCACATCAAAGTGCTCGAGTACGCGGAGAGCTGGAGGTTACCCCTCGGTAAAGGGACGAAAGGGGTTAGTTTCCATGGCTATCCTCGGTCCGCGTGGACGTCAGAGGAGGAGAATGTTACCCTCCCACTACTCGACAGGAATCTACTATTACCACATTGGATTTATGGCATAGTGGCAGGCGTTCAGAAATTCATTCCACTTTAGATCAATATCTCCGCGTGCGAGAAGTCATTCCTAGATCACTGATTTTTTTTTCTCTGCTTCCTGTCTTCGGTCGTTCGGCTGTGAAACAAAAAACCAATTCCCACTGTAGCGTAGAACGGGTGGCAAAGCTCAAGATTGACTTCCCTCTGTTTCTACAACTCACTACTACTCGTTACTGTAGTCCTATACACATATTACTCGGTAACTGCTAACGCTTACCAACGCTCCCCGCTAGTACTGCTCTTGCATCCAGCAGCAGTATATCCTGGAGCAGTACCTACCACTTCAAACATCCTTCATCTCTCGCTCACACCACATAACGAAATGCTACGAACAGTCTCGCGCTCCGTCGTGCGCCAGAGTCGATCTCTGAGAATATCAGCTCAAGCACCAAAGCTCCTCCGACCGCTCTCTACCACTTCGTGTCGCATGTCGAGCTCAACACTCAAACCCGTAGATCCTCCCGTCTCCGCCGCTCTCCCCGGTGACTCGTTCCAACTCCTCCCAGAAGCCTCCAAGGCTGGACAGGCAGAAGATGCCCTCTTCGAGGAGCAGGTACAGCAAGTGAAGGATTGGTGGGCTTCGCCTCGGTACAAGGATATTAAAAGGCCATACTCTCCAGAGGATGTTGTTAGCAAGCGCGGAGCTCTTCAGCAAACATACCCGAGCTCATTGATGGCCCGGAAACTCTTCAATCTTCTCGAGGAGCGCGCATCCAAGGGCGAGCCAGTACATACCAGTGCGTCCCATCTCTTCCCAGTAGAAAATACATTAGCTAATACATATTATTTCCACATTAGTGGGTGCAATTGACCCCGTACAAATGACACAACAAGCTCCAAATCAGGAAGTTCTCTATATTTCTGGATGGGCATGCTCATCAGTTTTGACCACCACAAACGAAGTCTCCGCCGACTTTGGTGACTACCCCTACAACACGGTGCCAAACCAAGTGCAGCGTCTCTTCAAGGCACAACAATTGCACGATCGCAAGAACTGGGATAACCGAAGGAAGTTGAGTGCGGAGGAACGTGCGAAAACCCCATACTTGGATTACATGCGACCTATCATTGCTGATGGTGACACTGGGTGCGTTGAACAACGCTACTATGTATACGAATACTAACATCAAGACAGGCACGGTGGTCTTTCCGCTGTTATCAAATTGGCGAAGCTCTTCGCCGAGAATGGTGCGGCTGCAGTGCACTTCGAGGACCAACTGCACGGTGGCAAGAAGTGCGGACATCTTGCAGGAAAAGTCTTGGTACCAGTCGGCGATCACATCAACCGTCTCGTCGCTGCAAGATTTCAGTGGGACGTGATGGGCTGTGAAAATTTGGTTATTGCTCGCACTGACTCTGAGAGTGGCAAGCTCATAAGCAGTGCTGTTGACGTTCGGGATCATGAATTCATCAAGGGCGTTACGGAAGAGTCTGAGCCGCTCGCAGAGACACTGCAGAATATGGAGGCAGCAGGCGCCCCAGGCAAAGAGATTGACCAATACGAAGCCGCATGGGTCAAGAAGCACAAACTCGTCACTTTTGATGAAGCCGTGGTCCAACATCTCAAGAAAGAAGGCGCATCACAGTCGACCATCGAATCGTACCTCAAGGAATCTGCAGAGAACCCGAACTTCTCGCTGCTCAAGCGCCGCCAGACTGCTGCGAAATACACCAAGTCGCCTGTCTACTTCAACTGGGACATTCCAAGAACTCGCGAGGGGTTCTACCATTACAATGCCGGTATTGCAGCAGCCACGAAGCGTGCGAAAGAATTCGCTCCTTTCGCCGATCTGCTGTGGGTTGAGACTGCGGATCCCAACGTCGAGAAGGCAGCTAGCTTTGCTGGCGAAATCAGGAAGGTTCAACCTAACAAGAAATTCGTCTACAACTTGAGCCCAAGCTTCAACTGGATGGGACAGGGCTTTTCTGAAGAGTCTTTGAAGAACTTTGTCTGGGATCTGGCGAAACATGGGTATGTATCTGCATTGCCCACTCCCCTAGTGGTATGAGAATGTATACTAACAGAATTGCTTAGATTCGTACTCCAACTCATTTCGCTCGCCGGACTTCATTCAACAGCTACTATCACTTGCGAATTATCCCGCGCCTTCAAGGACCAAGGCATGCTCGCCTACGTGAACCTTGTGCAGGCTCGCGAGAAGGAAATCGGATGTGACGTGCTCACTCACCAGAAATGGAGTGGAGCAGGCTATATTGATGGTATCCTCGGATCGATACAGAGCGGTAGCTCCGGCAGCAAGAGTATGGGCGAGGGAAATACTGAAGCAGGTAAGTGATATGATTTCTTTATGTTGCCAGCATAGATCGCTAACTACTTTCGTTGCAGGCTTCTAGAATTCATACCTAAATAGACCCATAAAATGGAGTTGTTTGTATATACCTTTAGCTCTCTAGATACTTGTTGAAAGGAATCAGACACCTTAGTTTATTCAATGATGGCATCTACCTGCAATGTATGACATTTCAGAAATGATTTATTTACTTGTCCAAGCCTACTACAATACACTGGCGGACTTCAAGAATCATTTTGCGATGCTGTGGATACAGGTATTTTTGGTATGGAGACAGAACGGGGTAACTGGAGACCGACAAGGCTGGCACTAAGGAATGAATAGTAATCTGTTCTGCCCTTCAAGCGAATGCGACGAGTAGCCATGCATCCATTGGACGAATCAGAGGGGTTTTAGTCCGCATTACGGGCGAAAGTGGTTGAAGTCGGGGATACGGTGCTTGAAGACCGGCGCTATGGATCAGGAGATGACGTCCGTGCTACCAGATCAATCCTCCCATTGTACGAGGAACTCGTAGCCATCTCTTTCTGCAGAACATTCGACCGCTGGCCCCTCATCTTGACCAGCTAGGACATATCTACCATCATGAGCTATAAGAAGGCCCAGCCCATCTGCTGGAGCTACCATCCACCTCAGCATTATCCACTGCCACCTTGAACTACTGTCTCCTCCAACTGTTCCATTCAGCATCAACTGTATCAATATATCGTACCACTGTACCAGTAATTGATATTCTCTACTTTCTACTACAATACCAACAACTTCAATTGAAATTCCTACACTGGTATCGCCTTTTCGAACGAACAATCACAATGACTTCTCTCTTCCCTCACGCAGCCTACGCCGAAGATCAAGTCTCTTCGCATGCGATTCTCTACCTGCACGTCACACGTGCCGCAGCAATGATGGGTACAACAGCTTCCCACCGTCCCAAATAAGACAGCTCATTGACAGACCTCCAACAGGTTCATTCATATCCCTCATCACCGCGCCAACATCACTTCTAGCATCCCGGTATCGCCACAAAACACCATTCACCTTTACGACATTAGTCCCCCGCCTCTTCACACACTCCGCACGTGGCATCGTGCTCGGCTCGGTCGCAGGAGTGCTCATGACGTACGGACGAATGCGGGGCAAAGAAGAGATCGAATGGCAGGACAGGACGTGGAGACTACTGGAAAATAAAGGGGAGGTTGCGACGGATTGGTGGGTTTTTGATGGCGCAGCGGCTGGTGCGGTCGTGGGTGCTCTGGGTGTGAGGAGAGGGAGGATTCCGGTTGGACTGAGTACGGGTGTGCTTGGGGGTGCGGGAATAGGGTCGAGTGCTGGGGTCGCGTATATGATTTCGAGTTATGCGAGAGGGAGGAAGCCTGCGTAGAGTGGGTGAGATATAAAAGTCGATATCTGCGTTCAGTGGTTTGGCCAGAAGAAGAAGAGTCGCTATGGCTTCTGGTATATTGGATACAAAGAAGTACAACCCCCAGACCATGCATGTCTACTTATTATACAAGGTGTTTCATCCTACGCAAGTGATGAGGTCCGTAACGTCACGAAAATATACGCAAACAAACACTCCATCAAAATTATATCGGCGAGGTACTGCACTCATAGTCAAACCAGTCAATTCTACGAGTACATAGAAGCGCCGAAGCGGTGCTATTTGCAAGCTAGCAGTTGGAAACACTGTTAAGACTAACACCATTCAGGTAGGAGATCCTTGGGATCTAACATACACCATCCAATTGAACAAGCATCTATGATGCATCGGTAGCATCCCATAACGAGAAAAAAATATCCCGACGGGCCGCCTTGGTTCCACTTTCTCCACAGTACGTCACGATTCATTGTGTCGTACCGCGGCAAATGCCCTAGTAAATTATGAAAACAAACATGCACGCTCATGCCACGATTCTTCTCACAAACGCCTTGTTTCTTCGAATTGTACAATAGCAGTGAATCTACGACAAACATCCAATCATGTCAAATATCCAAACCATCCAGGTCCCCCATCTGGGCGGCATCACCGCCGCATATCAAACCGCCGCCCCAATCGACAACTCCAAACCCACTCTAGTCCTCATCAACTCCTTCACCACGACCTCCGACCTCTACCGCGACCAATTTTCCAACAAGGACCTCGCTTCCACCGCAAATCTGCTCGCCATCGAGCTCCTCGGCCATGGCCAGACCAGGACCGCCCACGCGGAGAACTGGACGTACTGGGACTCCGCAGTCATGAATTTGCAGGTTCTAGAAAAGTTGGGAGTGGAGAAGGCCTTCGCGCTGGGGACGAGTCAGGGGGGGTGGATTGCGGTTCGGATGGCGCTTCTGGCGCCTGAAAAGGTGGGTTTGGGCGATGGTTGACTCCGTTTTGAGGTGATTGAAAGGAAAACTGATATCGAGTACGTAGATCCTCGGCGTCATTCCTTTGGGTACCTCTATGGACTACGAATCCGGGATCAGTCGCGAACTTGGATGCTGGAACCCACTCGACTTGCTAGGGGCTACCATCTCCGCACTGTCTTCCAGCGAAGCAACACCCGAGTTCGTCGCGTCCGACGACTTCGGCGACTTGGTCGTCAATTCTGGGTTCGGGCCTGACTGCCCGAGCGAGGTTCGTGAGTTCTGGAAGAGTGAGCTGAAGAAGAACTATCAGGGTGATGACGGCAGGAAGAGGATGAGGATGGCGTCGATCAACTTGAGGGATCGGGATGGTTTATACTCTCGATTGAGTGATGTCAAGTGTCCTGTTCTATGGCTTCAGGTGAGTGTGTTAGTCCTTTGATATTGATGTCGAGCTAAATCTTTTAGGGCACTGCTGATTCTGTGTATTCGGTCGCAAATGCGGAGAAAGGAATTGCGCTCTTCACTAATTCACCCAGCGCTCAGTTGAGTTTGATTGAAGGTGGACATCACTTCCTGAATGCTTCTCGTCCTAAAGAGGTAGATGAGCACGTTCTCAAGTTCTTGAAAACATACGCAAACTAGGACAAACAACCGCAACAAAATCCGATTAAAGGCGTACGATCACTCATAGGACAGCAACTATTTCAGTCAATTATGCATCAATATCCTGATGAATAAAGCAACTAAATGATTAAATCGAAATTCAAACGCAGCTCTGTCTGGTATTTTGCAATGAGATTAGCGATATCAGCCGAAGCAATTGGCTACACGACGAGCAATCACTGCAGCGCACACCCAGTTTCCAAAATGTGGATCATGTCTCATGCAGTCTAACAATCACTTTTGTCAATACTATTGCTTCCATAGCTCTTTCAAGCAATCTCTTTCACCAAGTGCAAACAATGCTCTTTCACTGCACCACACAAAGTCCTCCCCCAGTCTTCCTATTTTAGATCCTTCTGTCCTTTCGTAATGCCTGCCTTGTTCTTATGATTCAACTCCACAACCTCATTCCTTCTCATGCACACATGAACAACGATTTTCAGCGATACACAAACACCAAAGATGTCGTGGTACGAAATCCGCAAGGACTCCAACGGAGCCAACCAACTCGTCCGACACAAAGGAAGCAAACCAAAGAAACGAACCAACGAACCAAAAACAACGTCAAATTCCACATCGAAGCGTATATCGAGACAGGGTAGAAAAGTCGTGCTCGTCAGTGAGGTCAAAGAGCGTGAGGTCCCTATCGTGGAGCTTCCGAGGATGCGTGAGGTCACTATCGTGGAACCTCCGAAAATGCGTGAAGGAATGGGCAAAGTGTTGCATCAGGGCGTTGACAGAGAAGCGGAGGAAAGGGTCCGGCAGATGCTGGGGCGTCTGCGGCTTCTGGGGCAGGATGGAATTCGTGGTGGTGAGTCTGGGTATGTCAAAGGTTCTGGGCTCGCTGCCATTGATACGATTCGAAAGCCCAGCGAGAAGCGTAACGGGACCAATATCGCGTCTGATGCATATCCGACTGTCAGCGAAAGAGCCGGGCGTTCTTTACGTACCCTTCCACCAGGGTGTACGAAAGGACTTCAAGGAGTGGAAAGGGGATTGTGTGGAGGGAAGAAAAGTGGGAAAATCGAGCATTGCAACGGCTACCGCGTTGAGACTCGGGTGCCGTTAGGTTATAGGAGTCCAAGTGTAGAGTCGGTGTCAGAGGAGAACGTGGATGATGGGATTTGATATCTTTCGTCTGAAGATTGGGGATAATAGTAAGAGAGAGGGAATCCAGGAGTCGGTATATATGGCAAGTATTGCATCACTGGATCACGCCCAAGTAGGACGCAAGCCAAATGGCGAAGTTAATTAGAGCTAAAGGAGTGGTAAGGGTCAATACTGAAGCAGAGAACGGAATGTAATAATAGTGTTTGCGGAGTCTAGCAGTATAATGCTGGCTATCGCGGTCCCGGCAATCGGGAATCAAATTAGAAAAGAGTGTGATTCATTCTTCCATAACCTTGGTCTGTTCATGTGTATACTTTAACATCTTACACGACTGGCATGCCTCCTGGCAGTTCTGTAAGCCAGCCATCCAAGTTCTCCTTGACCTTCTGTGCCTGGGCACATTTGTTTCCTGTTGCAATACTCTGGGTCTTCAGTTCGGGGCAATTTATGTTGCAATTGGAGTCCATGGCTTTCTGGAGCGCATCACCTTTCCAACCGAACACCTACAACAGCGATCAATGACTGAAAAAGAAGTAGAGGAGGTTTCGACTTACATAGTCCCCATGGTTCCCGTATCCGGTCCTGTACATACAACGTCAACTTTGTTTCTATACTTTCTGGGCTGATGGAACTCACTGGTCACCGAAGCTCCATACAAAGGGCTGGCTGCCGTCTGTAGGCCACAGTGATTTGTCATTAAACTTCGTGGTATCAAAGATGACCTCGTAAAATAGCTGCGGGAGTTTGACAGGATGCGATGCCGGGCAGGGCTAAAATAGGTAACGTCAGTCTCGCGGAAGTGTCATTATAGATGAGGTACCGAAATACTTACTCCACCACTTTCGAAAGTTCCGCTGCTGGGATAAGCCTACTCGGATTTTAACAACAAATTGTACACTACAGGAATGTTACAGAAGAATCATACCACATGAGCCATATGGTCCGGGGCTATAATCTCTAAGTCAGCATGGAATTTCCTAGGCGCGATACCAATTCTTACAATCTAGATTAACGCCATCCCAACACGTTGGGAAACGGACATTCACCATGATTCCAGCCGGGCAGGCTTTTTTTGGGAAGTCTAGTGTCTCTCCGGTGCGAGTGTTCATGTTTTGGAGGCATGTGTAGGTCAACTGGCGGAACTTTTTCGCCTCTGCCTCGGTCCTGTAGGAGGGGTTGCCTTTGTATTCTGTGTTAGAAGGTGGTAGTACCAACCAGCGGTGACCAACGCACCAACTATCATTCTGAAGCCTTTCTTGAATGCTGTGACTTTGGCTTTTCCTTGAAGGATAGGTGTGTAGTACACCGTCATACCACCCGAAGCAGATTCGAAGCCAACATTTTGTTTGATAGGCACTCGCTTGAATGTACCATTCTTAGCACGGTAGAAAAGTACTGCCGTCCAGTAATTGGACTTCATTTTATATAATCAGCCTGGAAATTCAAAAACTTTGTTGAACTCGTCAAGGAAGAGCGTTGGGAATAGAAGGTAGGAGGTAATCTGTGATACGAAGACAGCATCGAGCAGCTTCAACCTCGGATTCGCGACCACGATGGTAAAATACGTACAAAATCTTCAGCAAAGGTACATGTTGTGCAAGTCGCTTCATCTGAAGGTGATATAGTTGGGTCCATAGAGGCATTGAACGCATTGCCGCCGATGATCTGGTGTACGTGAGGGGACTGTTTTTCACCAGGATTGACGAGTGGATCGAGCCGTTCTATGACCAGTTGAGAACATGAGAACCGTAAGAGAGCATGAATACTAGGCGCAAGGAGCGCTAGGGATGCGTAGGGTGCCCACAACATTACGAAGATTATTGATAGAACACCAGGAGCCACTGAGTTCGGAACTGGCCTTGACTTGAAGACGGACTTGGCGGACTTCTTATGCAACCTCCCTCTTCTTGTGGGGAGGCGGATCTCATCTATATTTGCATTCGGAGTGTTACCTCAGTCCAGTCTCGTGGTCCAATATCGTGGGGTTGTTATGGTCATGGATTGTGATTGCCTGCTTAGTTTCATTTAGGGGAGACACAACCTTGGGAAATCTATAGCCAAGTGCATATGGCAATGTGCGGAAGATGAGACTGTGTTCATATTCCGCCAATACCTCAATTCGCCCAGCACACTATAATCTAGTCAATGGCAGACCTTGACGTCGATTGAAGCTTCAATATTGTCTGGATTAGGACTTGGCGGCATGGGATCAGCGCGTACGGTAGTTAACAATTCTGCCGGGAGCCGCTTCGAGAGGCGAACAATATAGTACCCCACACCCAGGAACATTCTATACAGATTAAGTATAATCCTAGGGAAAATGTACAATTGCCATATGTCCGAGCATTCGCCGGAAAGAGTTGGATGGATATCTGTTCAGCACCTATATGGTTGTAGGGGTTGCCCAAACACTTCGAACAGCGCCATGTTGGGACCGTTTTGCACTATTGACATTAAGAATGTGTTTTGCATTAAAACAAAGGCCCCGACTAAGTTGCAATAAAATCGCTCTCCTCGTCACTACCAAAATCACTGATATCGCTTATTTCGTCGCTGTCATCGTCGTATGCGGTTGCCCTTTTTCTTTTCGCTTTGCGTTCACCTGACGTCTTGGTCTTCGCTGTGCTCGGTCGAGCTTCTTTACGGCCACCGGTTCGCTGAACAAGGTGATCTATCACACAACCCTTTTCCCAGCCTTCGCTATTCTCGCCTGTAATCGCTCTACATCTCGGACATGTTTTCCCATGCTTTATTAGAAGATAATGCAGTGGATACTTTAGGTCATCCGGAATCATGACATCTAGATGCGCGTAGGTTGAATTCCTAGTTGGCCCGCTGAACGTCCCTTTGCTCCCGGTAGGCAAACCGGCTGGATCGCCTGGTGGAGGCACCCATCCGAGCCATTTACTCAGGCGAAATACATGGGTATCAACGGCAAAGCTGGGGCGCTGGAGACAGAATAGCAAGACACAGGATGCCGTCTTTGGGCCTATACCAGGATATTTGGTGAGGGCGTTGAACGCATCGTCATTCGAGAACTGATGGAGATGGTCAAGCGAAATCACATCTCTGTTTGCTTTACTTATTTCCGCTTCCTTATCCACGGAAGGTTGGTCTGGATTGTCCGCGGATTCAGAGGCCAAGGAGTCACGACGAGCTTGGTTCTCCTCCCAAACCATTTGCAATATTTTCTTGATATCCTTGCTCTTTACATCTGCAAGGCCACCACTCTTGATAGCTTCGAAGATCTCCTTTGTGTCCGCTAAGCGTACTTTGTTCCAATCAACGCTTCCTTTTCCAACACCATTCTTAAGGATTCCAAATCTGGATACTAGGCCAGCAAATGCGCGAGAAGAGTTGGTGTTGGAAGTAGCAGCCGAAAGCCGAGTTCGGATGAGTGCGTCTAGCACGGAAGGCACTTCCCCGCAGCCTGACACTGTAAGGGATGGTGTGGGAATGGTTTTGGGGGCAGTGACTTTCCCATGTATGCTGGAGAGTAAGCGGACGACTTCTTGACACTCGGCTTTAGTTGGATGGTGATAATTTGGGTATGGACTCTGCCCGGGTGTTAAGCCATAGGTGTTGTTTTTCGTCTTTGTTGATTTCGCTTTCGCTTTGGTGCCAGGGGTACCTTCCTCTGAAATAGCTTCTTTTTTCGGTGATGCTAGGCTTTTAGACTTTCGGACCTTGCTCGATCTCTTCGGTGCTGTATCTTCCTCTGCCTCTTGTTTCACAGAAATATCTTCCACATGTCCCAGATTGTGGGGAAGGTCCTCCCTTGGTTCTTCTTTCACGGCGTCGGTTCTCGAACGTTTGGCCTTTTTCTTTGGCGATGGAATCAGTTCCTCTTTACCATTGGAATGCTCCTTCTTCTCGACAATGGCTGCACCGCTTGTGCGTTTTCTACGGGATTCCGTTGTAGTTGAAGCGCCAATGTCACGGGCGGCGTCTCTGGCATTGGACTGCTGAGTGGCGAGCCTAGCAGCCGATCCACGGGTCACCCTTCCTGGCATTGCGAAAAGTGATGAATCTGAAATGTCCGGGAACACCCTCCAAGGGACGCGATGTATCGCCAGACTTAGCTTGTGCGGTCAAAGATTGGTAAATAAGCTTTGTTCCGAGAAATCAGGGGCTCGCTGTTGAATCTGAGACCCGTCTTTGCCACGAGCCAAATCTCAAATGTCGCATATACTCAGCTTGATATGACAATAAAGAGGAAAGTGCCAAAATATGTACTTGACGATAGGATATACAAGGTATGGTCACGTAGATACATACGACATGACGTACTTGATTGGAGCTTGGACCCTGCAGGGACAACCGAAACCCGCGATCGCGCGACTCGTGTAACACCAAACCCTATCGTGACCCCGCAACTCTCTCAACCTTCAATTCCCCTATCATTACGAAAGCATGGCCGGAAAAGCTCCACTGGTCGTTCCCGCCCTCAAGCGACATACTGCTACAGTCATTGTTGCCCATGGCTTGGGTGATAGTGGCGCAGGCTGGTAAACAGGCCTCGTTCCCCCCACGCTCTCTGTCCCATGCTCATCAAGTTGTAGGCTTTTCCTTGCAGAGAACTGGCGACGTCGAAGCAAATTCGAGGAAGTTTCTTTCATTTTCCCAAATGCGCCAAATATCCCGATAACACTGGTATGTGAGAAACTCGGAACCTGAGATCGGGATGCTGGAGCTCATCTCTCTTCCACAATGCTCACTTCTGACCAGAACATGGGCATGCGGATGCCGGGCTGGTATGACATCAAGTCGTTGTCAGACCTAGCTGCTCGGGAAGAAGACGAAGCCGGTATCAATCGATCCAAGGACTACTTCCACTCCCTCATCGATGCCGAGGTAGCGAAGGGCATTCCCGCGAACCGTGTCGTTATTGGAGGGTTCTCACAGGGAGGTGCTATGTCATTGTTATCTGGAGTCACATACAAAGACCAGCTTGGAGGTATCTTCGGCTTGAGCTGCTATCTTCTGCTGCAAAGCAAGATCAAGGGCATGATCCCCACGGAAGCACCGAATCAGAATACCCCAATTTTCATGGGCCACGGCGATTCCGATCAGGTCGTTGCGCATAAATATGGTCAGATGAGCGCGGATGCACTTAAGGCATTGGGATATAAGATCGACTTCCGGACATACGAGTATGGCAGCCCAGCTTCATGGAAATGCTCGGACTAACTCTACCAACCAGAAACCTCGTCCACTCTGCGGACCCTGAAGAGATTGATCACCTCGAAGCATACCTGAACCAACAGATTCCCCCACTTGGGGATGGGAAGGACGGGAGCTCCTGACTGTTTGCGGAGATCCGGAACCTCGCTCCCGGACAGGTCGACTTCACAACCGCGACAATACTCCTGATATCTATTGTATTCGCCTGGCTAGCGGTGTACAAAGGGCTGCGGTGGAGAATCCTCACAAAATACCCAGCTACCAAAGAGGAATGAACTAGCATTCAAGATCGCTACGACTAATGCAGCCCATTTTAGATATCTTCGTGAATTCACACCTGCCCTGTATCGCATCTACCCGAGAGCTTTCCATAATCGTTTGGTATCGAACAAGGAGCTTAAAAGGTTCCCTATTCATTATACAGTCCCTTTGCTCATGAGAGGTTGATCAAACAATGCAATTTCATCCAGGCTAAAGATTATCGATGGCATATATAGTATGCCGTTATTGTGCCCAATAGTTTTATTATCGCAGAGCATGTCTCTAGAAATTGCCTCTGGCAGCTATTATCCGAAAGATCACGGAGTATCAATAATACCAGTTTATTGGATCGTCGATTAGAGCGCCAAGAAGTATAAACCTTTCTGTTTCTCGCGCATCAACGCCTCCTAGCAATTGCCAGTCCACAGATCAAACAACATTACATTGGCAGATATCTAACTGAAGTCGGGCATGCATTTCCCGCAAACAGAAATGCAATTGAGCCAACAACATTGCGCGGCTTTCAGCTCAAACCCCCTAACTAAATAAAGAAGAAAACTAACCTTCTCACTAGCTAGGCTCACCAAATCCCCAAATTGTGCAATTATCTTCTCCGTTAGAATGAAGTTGAAACTAAGGTCTCTGAAACATCTCCACTCCCTCAGTATGATGCAATCATACGGCGCCTCAAAACTTCTCGATTGGTTCTGACGTCGCGAACACCCGAGACCATCGGCACCAAAGCCATGACTATAAGACTCGAGGCGTTCATTCAAGTACCCCTTTCCTCTCATTCTCCCATCTTTTAATGCATGATGTTTATTTCGCGGAATTCCAATGTCATACTGACGCATGTGCTACGTTCTGTCGTCAGAAATTCTTGTGACGTCAACTATCGTCACCATACAGCAAACATATTGACTGCACCCTATTCCTCGATCGCTGTCATCGAAAGAGCAGAAACATTTCCAATTCACACGAAAGCACGATATCAAGCGGCACAATCACAGGGTTATTTTCACAAACGAAGCTACAGTATGTCGAATAACAACCAGCAATTCCAACTTGGACAAGTGTTCAATGTCAAGGACAGGGTTGCTTTGGTGACGGGCGGCGGTTCGGGCATTGGATTGATGATCACTCAAGCACTAGCTGTCAATGGAGCCAAGGTCTACATCACCGGACGCACTCAGGAGAAACTGGATACTGTCGCAGAAAACTATAGTAAGGACATTCAAGGTCAAATTATACCGATTCAGGGAAACGTTGCAACCAAAGAGGGCGTCAAGTAAGTCTCTGGCCACTGTATTCCCCATAATGCTGTTTGGGTTCAGATACTTAAAATAATAGAAAACTTGTTCAAGAGATCGAATCTCGTGAGAAGTGCCTCTGCATCTTGGTTAACAATGCTGGAATTGCCACCTCCAAAGCCGACACTTCTGGAGAAAAGAGCGCAGAGGAAGCCAGAAAAGAGTTTTTTGATTCCACTTCCGTTGAAGAATGGACAGATACCTATGCTACCAATGTAGTCGGCCCGTACATGATGACAACTGCATTTTTGCCTCTTCTCCAAAAATCAACGGAAAACCACCCAGGATGGTCGGGTACGGTTATCAACATTACCTCGATTTCTGGTCTGGTCCGTATATCTCAGGGCCACTTCGCCTACAACTCTAGCAAGGGAGCCCAAGTTCATCTAAATAAGCTTCTATCTGCTGAGATTCAACAGGCTGGTCTGAAAGTCAGAGTAAACTCTATTGCTCCAGGCGTCTTCCCGAGCGAAATGACCACGCAGGAGAGTGACGAAACACAAAAGAGTCATATGCCAAAGGAGAAGAAAGAAGGGCTACCTAGTCAGCGACCCGGAAAGGACCAAGACATGGCCGCTGCCATTCTCTTCGCCGCAAGCTGTCAGTACCTGAATGGGTGAGTGCATCATGCAGTTCCGATGCGTCGCAACTTCGCTAATGACTGTAGGCAAACGATTGCTGTGGACGGCGGCTACCTTATCCAGGCAGGGACGTGAGCAAAAAGGACACAGTTCTTTAAAACCTCTTACATGGCGAAGACATAGGTGCACAATTGCTGTTTTTAGGGCTGAAACAGGTATACAGGGCGGTCCTTCACAGACTTCGCATTCACCAAATTGCGCGGTTGGCCAAGGGAAGAAGGCATAACGGCTGACCGTGCCCAGAGAATGCTTCAGGCACAGTTAGCAAGGAATCAGAATCAATGAGATGCATCAGATGAGGCCCATTTTACAACTTTGATCTATGTGATTGGTATCAGTGCAAGCTCGCTACGTAGGTCTAGAACCCCGTTCTCCACGTTTCATGATGTAGCGACGTGGATCTTCAACTGGGTGGCGCCCAGATGCATGCGCCACACTATCCTGGTACAAGTTGAAATTCCATCCCATCACATAATATAATTGACTGGGTTATTCGATTTTGGAATTCGTGATTTCCCTATTGAAATAGACAGTTTTTTTTGGGAAATAAAATAGAATTCACAGACTCCTCTAAGTTCTCTTGTGTAGACGATACAAGCACGGAGTTTGCGAAAACCATGGTCAAGAATTATGGCTTACTCGACCCCCAAAACATGAGACGTGCATCATCACGAAGGTGTCTTCATCGTTTCTTGACCTCTTCGTTTAGATGAGGGCGCCGCGCGAATTGAGCCGACTTCCGTTATGGTCATCAGCTTCCTTTCGCTTCGTGGCGAAGCTTACCTCAGGCACCCCCAGAAGCAGTCCGGACATCAACTTCCTGTCACAGAAACTCAACCTTACCGGTACCAATTATATCGCCCAACAGCCTAATTGGGTCAAGGACTACAGGAATTATACATACAAAACATCGCTTCCCATGGATGAAGCAAGTCGAACTGAGCTTGGCGTTGGGTCGAACGCTTCATGGTACTCGGGACCACAACAGTATCGAATGCATTCAAAGAGCACTCAGCCTCCGATCCTGGGCCCATGCATTGTCACGAAGCCTCAGACATATCTCCGTGCGGGGGATTTAAATTTTACTGCGCATTTCAAAAGGTTCGTGTGTGGCTAGATCGGGTTGGACCCATGGGCCTACGCCCCTCAAATGAATATATAAAAACGTTGAGACAGTTCCATCTAGTTGTCCTCTATTTTCAAGTCTCTCATTACACATAAAGCCAGCTGTTACTCCTGCTCTACTATATTCCATCGCTTTGAATCCAAGTCTTTCGCTTCAAGATATCATCACCATCGACAATAATTCATAATGCGTTTCACTCTCGCATCTATCGCCGCGCTTGCAGCTGTAGCATATGCCCAGTGCGGACCCAACTTCGACAACAAGATGTGCGAAGCTGGACAATGCTGTAAGAGTCTTTGAATTCATTGTTATGATCTACAATGCTAACTACTAACAAGGCTCTCAATACGGTTGGGTAAGTTGAAATGAACATCCTGATCCTCATGAATGGATGTCACAGTCTAAGAGGATTAAGAAAATTTATGACGTCCTATACTAATCGATAGAACAGTGCGGAACCACCCAAGAATATTGTGATGCCGCTACCTGCATGAAACAATTCTCTGGAGCTCAATCAACCTGCAACAATGGACAACAATCTGGCCAAAATCCTGTCCAGGCTCCTGGTCAAGCTCCTGGTCAAAACCCTGGTCAGACCATTGGCGAGGTTCCCAATATCGATGTTTGTGGTAATGCTCAGGGAGGGATCAGCTGCCCCGGTGTCGGTTTGAATGTACGTTGTGCACATGCTGTACAAGCTCCTCATACAGATACTAAAATAATCAGGGTTACTTCTACCGATGCTGCTCATCTGCCGGCCACTGTGGGCCGAAGAACGATCTTCAAGATGAAGCCATGTACTGTGGAACGGGCTGCCAGGCAGGATTCGGAAAGTGCAATAGTCAACCAAAGCCTACTCAGTCCCCTTCAAACGCCGGGACTGCACAGTCTGGAGAAACCTGCGGGCCCATCGTGAACAAGAGGTGTGCTTCTGGCCTTTGCTGCTCAGGATCCAATTTCTGTGGTACTGGGCCGGAATTCTGTGGTTCCGACAACTGGTGTCAGTCTAACTGGGGAAATTGCTCTTAGAGTTCCCCATTTCCTGGAGCGAAATCGTTAGAGACAAGAGTCCCTGTGGTTGGCTAGAAAATGTTGCAGTTTGTCTTGAGTAGCGTTTTTCCTTTCACAAATATTCTATTGAACGTAGACGTAGAGAACCATGTTACCCCAACGTGAATTTTATTCCTCACCACACATTCCCGGTATCCTTTTGTTGAGCAGCTCTGACTCCGCGCATGCTCATCCTCATTGACGACGCATATATCTACCTACTTTCCCTGGCCCCGCCAGAGGAGTTCAGGGATTGTGATCTAATCATTCTCAAAAATCATCGTATAGAACCATCCCCAATAATCAAACACGATGAATGAGAGCACCAAAGACTTCTACTTCCGTGGCGGCGGAAACATCATGGAAGCCCACCATATGACTCGCTATGTCTATCCTTGCCTCTTCGATTACCACAAGTCACAACTCCTCATGCCAGCCCCAAGAAACGCATCGCAACGATCTCGGCCGCAGGGTCGCGGGCAGTGGGATAATACATTCATTTCCATATCCCCAGTTCAGTCCAAACAGAATCGTCCTCCCACTTTAGAGAAATTCAAGGCTACGCTGAGTGCCCAGACGCGTCAACAAGACTGCAAGAGCAGGAACTCACTTGGGCGAGCTATGGCACGCATATCTTGCTATGAGGGCAATACGACTCTTGAGGCAGGGAAGATAAAGTTGAAGGATGGGCCGTACTACATTATTAGGAGGACGACAGCCATTCGACTGGCACATGGTGAGACTTTTAAGGCCGCACGCGAGACTCAAACATATCACATTCCCGTGAATAAATGGAAGGATTTAAAGCCGAATTCGAGTGTCAAGCACGACTGCTGGTGGCAAAGGTTACAGGTTAGTGGTGTATATGGTATAATATTAATAGATCCTGTATTGATGAGTTTTGTTTCGCAGGATTTGTTCACATCAAGTTTTGACAGAGCTTGGTGGAACACAATCGACCAATTTGAGAACGTTCTACATCTCCCAAGTCCGCAGACACAATGGTATGTACAGTCACAAGATTACATGTTATTAAATTAACAGCATTACAGGCTCCCTAGAAACGATATAATTGAGTGCGGGATTCGACCTGTGCCAAGTCCTAAAAAACTTCCACCTGATCAGAAGGACTGCCCATCGTGCTTAGATACCTTCTTTACCGAAGCTGGGCCAGCCTACCGATTCCCCTGCGATCACTTCCTTTGCCTCACATGCTCGGTATCTCTGATTGATGCAGCAGGTAATACTGCCTTTGAACTTGGATGAACATGTCCGAACGCACGGCTAACAATTTCAGATAAGAATAAGCTAGGCCCAGAAGATGTCAATAAGTATCCTGATGGTCCATTCATACGCTGTCCTACCTGTCGGTTCTTCATATCTGTGGGAAATCGCCGTATCGATTTCATTCGACCGGATGAAGTCAAGTTTTGGAGATGGCGAACCGTTATTGACGCGCTGGAGAACATGCTGACACGAGATCTGGTCGGCGAGATCAACTTCTCACAAGAATCTGGATATATCCCCCCGTTTAGTCTGCACAACCGTGAACAACCCGATATCGCATTGGGAGTCAGAGACGCTGCGCGAGCGCACATTCGCAGTGAGCACTTAACCGATTGGATGATGAGAGTACCTGTGTATGCTGCTTCACTGCAACCATGGGGCCACGATGCCGACAACCCGACGAGATTTCCCGAATCGAAAGTATTGCATGCCGCTCTCATTGAGGAGTTTAATTGTCTCGAACAAGCTCGAACACTGTTCACTATTAAGGAACTGATGGGCCATTTAACACGACTGGGAGACTGGGCCGTATATCCACGGTTACGAAACCTGACAGATAATCAACGGCAACACAACCCAATGTACCCACCGGGATTTGAAACATATCTAATATGGCTTTGCGAATGGATTTCTTATGGGGCTTTTATTCGGCCTACAGCTCGATCGGACCTATATCGTTTTCTGGAGAGGATGGACCGGGAGAAGGGGGTTTGGTGGAAAGGGCATCCATTTTTGAGAAAGGCTTGACTGAAAAAAATACAGCTGAACATGCAAGTCTTCCGTCGATGTAATATTACCCTCTACACGATATAATACTAGGGATAAGTTCATGATCTATGTTTCTACCGTTGGTAGTACAAGACATGAAGTGTTTTCAATTACTTCTCTACATTATCAGGGGACTGTACTCCTTGACCAGCGGGATTTGCCTCACCCTCCTTGCCCGTGGCCATCGAGTTGAGTGCCTGTGCAACCTCCCTCAATAATCCGATTTGACGTTCATTTTCGGCGATCGTAGCGTCAGCCCGTCGTATCAGTTCCGGGAATTCATCTTTTCGAGGAGAAGCCTGACTCGAACTGCCGAGTATCGTAGAGTAATCCCGTCGTTTTCGCTCCGGAGGGGGAACGTAAGGGGGAAGCTTGTTGTCTAAGGCAACTCTAATCTCCTCGTACAGCGCGTCACTCCTTGACAAGAATTCATCAATGTAGCCGGACTTTTTCTTGATAATGACCCATGCACTCCGCACCTGATCCTCCCTCTCGTAGACTCGTTTAATTAGGAAATCGATCTTGGCCTTCGCTATGTTGAGCTCTCGGCTCCTCTCGCGAAGCAACCGTTGATTGAGACTGTTTTTTCTTTCGTGCTCTTCGCATGCGGCGCACCGACTTGCCTCCTCGGATGGAAGAACGTCGGAGATGTGCGACTCCATGGTTGATGTTGGATGCTGAAGAGTCGGTGGTATTCAAAACGTCTTCAACTGTATTGAGAACTTTGAGAGTGTTCCGTTGAGAAGTCAGCTACGCTCGGGTTGATAGATGTCCATATGTATAGAGATGGGTAAAATGTACCGGATTTGCAAACATGTGAGTATTCAAGAACGACCCAGTAATGTTGGTGGGTAGTGTGCGGCTCTGGGGATGCATGGTGTTATGAGCTTTAATGCTAATTCCCTGCACGTGAATCACTGTGTCAAAGTACAAAAAGTGAATGTCAAATGCAACCGTGCGCAAAAAGAGGGTGAAAGAAATTACTCTGCAGTGATTGCACCAAAAGAGGTGTCATAGCTTAGACTTATGGTATAGCATACATCCTAATAGTGGTTCTCTTCTCACAACATAATTAAATGAACGGTTATGCAGCATGGAAAAAAAACATTCTTTATTTCATTGTGGTGTCGTATGCCCACAGGTCGGGATCGTGATGTCATGACCGTGATGTGGTGATACTTGGTATGCCCTTCAACAATACTAAAGAAAGTCGATTTCCCCTCTAGGTCGAGGTAAAGTAACGATATATCCTCGCCCACCTTTCATTTCAGTATGCCTTTCCCGGGCGGACACGACCAATGCCATAATGGCCATCGCCCAATACACTAAGTGATCACATTCACCATTTGGCTTTCAGATAATTATAGACAGTGGCAGTACCTGTAGCGGCTGCAGTCGATCCCCCGACGAATAGATTGACTGTAGCAGCGCCCGCACCGCCAGCGCCAGCACTTTGAAGAGTTGCAAATATGCTACCCGCGGCGACGTTCCCAATGCCTGATTGTACACCGGCGGCGATCGAAGCTATGTCTCGGTCAGTGGAGGGGACTGAAGAGGCTTTTCCTTCAGAACCACTTACCTGCACCAATGCCTCCGAGGCCAAATCCTGCGACGCTCAAGGCCAAGGGTGTTGCAGCCACGGCAGCAGCTGGAACGACAACGCAGCTGGCAATTCCAGTGGCTAAACCGGGATTCTCTTTCACCCACTGTAGAACATCCTCCGGGAGTGCTTGCCAATGGATGCCTTCCTTGATGGCTACAGTTGGGTGAGTGCTCGGTGTAATCTTCATGAGAATGGATTGATGAGCATCTTGAACGATGCTGAGCACCGCAGGCATAGGGGGCTTTCCGAACATGCCGCCGATTCGGTTGCTATTCCTCTCTGAATTGTCAATAGCGATATCAATGTAGAATGTAAATTTCCCGGAGGTTTTACTGATACCATGCGTCAGAGAGATGGCGGGGCTGTCGAGCGTGATGGTGGGTTACACCGCCAAGCGTTTGTTTATGCAGATGTACAGCACAAGGCACCGACAGTCCAAGCAAACGACATTTAGATTTAGCGGGTCAGTCTTGCAGGCGAAAAGATGCGAGCTAGTGGAGAACTTTAGATTGGGATATTCTTCATGATATACATTTACACAGAATACTGTGCAGACTAATTGCCGCTGACAGCCTTCCTTTTACGACGGCGCACTTAACTACGCTTCTCAATTGCTCCGCGACTCCGCTTATCGATTCGGTTGTATTTGTTATATCGTCGACTTGACTAGATCTGAGACCGATTGTTCGATTGCCTTGTCATCCAATCCTGATGTACGGTTTAGCCTTCTGAATCCGAGTGACTCAAACGTTGGGAAACAGTATCTATTTACCTTTCAATGGGACCGACTTCTCCTTGCCGAAATCTACAGCATCAGACGTTAGCCAATTGTACCTCAATCGCGGTTTCTCCAGCAACCGTCGCATGCAACACCCAATCCGCTATATATGCCTCACAGATCATCCAAAACTTACCAAATCTCGCATAAACCTTGGGTTCAATGCCGCTTGCCTCTCGGATGAGAATTGGGGTGTGCGGGTTGTGCTTCTTCATCGTCGGATAACTCTTGGTAAGGAAGTTCCTGAGGTGCTACGTTAGTACCGCTTGCCATTCGACTCCGTATCTATATTCATATTTATGTCCACATGATCCAGTGAGAGCCACAAGCTCTTAAGTCCCTTGATGTCCATCTCCTAGGTTGTGCGTATCGTAATGGGCGTACCTGGTCGCAGCGCTCTGCTCGCTGGTCTGGCAGAACAGGAACCTCAACTCCTTCAAACCCTGGGAGAAAGCGTATTTCGTTGCCATTTTTGTAACCGTCGTATATCTCGCGCTTCGGGCGTCCGTCAATCGATCGTTTACGTTCCGTGGAAGTGACGTTGTCTTTTTGGAAGTTCGTTCAAGCTTCAAAGCTTCGTACCCGCACGTTGCAACCCATTTCGGCACTAGACCGGAATGGCGACTAGCGAAATGGACGTATCGGAGAACGCCCCAACGTAAGCCCGGGGCATTCTTTCCTGAACACCAAGAAAGAGTGAGCGAGCTACTCGTATCTTCGGACCCGACGACGACGAACGTCGATTGACTGTTTTCTTATATCCTTTGCGTCTTTTTTGACTGCAACACCGCGACCCCAACCTTCCCACCACGCTCCACTCACCCTCTCGGTCCTCCTCCTCCCTCTCCAGGGTCGTGCAGATTCGCATTAAACAAAAAAAAACCAAGGATTACCGCAAACATGTCGCATCGACCCGCATCCCGCCTCTTCAATGCCTTCAAGCCAATGTTCCGCCAGCCGCTCCTCCGGCGACGAGTGCAAACGGCCGCCGCCCCCGAGGAGGCATCAGGCTTCGCAAAGTTCTGGAACAGCCCTGTCGGTCCCAAGACCGTCCACTTCTGGTATGTTTGGAATTCCCTCGTCATAATGCATCAATCCGATATCGCAGAAGAGTAGTCACACGCGAGCATGCAGCGCGCAAGATTGAATGGGAAATAAATAAACCCCTGCAATCAATTGATGTTATCGAGAAGAGGAAACAAAATACTGACGCTTGTTTGATTTCACAGGGCTCCGATCATGAAATGGGGACTCGTCCTCACCGGTGTCTCCGATTTCACGCGCCCCGCCGACCAGCTCTCCCTCACACAGAACTTGGCCCTCACCTCCACCGGCGCTATTTGGACCCGATGGTGCTTCATCATCAGGCCCAAGAACATGTTCCTTGCCGCTGTCAACTTCTTCCTCTTCATCGTCGGTTCCACCCAGGTTGCGCGTATCCTCATGTACCAGCAGAGCTTGAAGAATGCTGGCGAGGAGATCAAGGCTGAGGGAAAGGAGCTTGAGGGTGATCTTAAGGCGGCGGAGAAGAAGGCAGAGCAGGTTGTCAAGTCGTAGAAGCTGGCCGCACTTGGGTGTAAAGGTTACATGTGTTGAAGATAGTGGGTCAGGGAAAAACACATATTCATTGAGCTACATGCATCAATCATGACAGAAGTTGGCGTCGCTGTTCACTGGCTGCGTTAGGGTAGTCATTTGGGTTTGATTGCGGATATATTTGTACAATTCAGACCGTTTTCTATGACGCGATGCCTCCTTCAATCCTTTCCAAAGGGTTGCAAGCCTTAATGCCTATCGAACGGGTGAACATGTGCACGATTCATACTGATGCACATTAGAAGGCTTATTTACGATCAAAAGATCTATCATTAATTTCATCAGCCTCTAATAGGCGGGTATCTGCTATTAAGATCATTAACGCCGCCTCGTTAAGTAAACCGTTACAATCTTAGGGGTATATGTACGCTTCTTCATCGAAATCGCGCAAACAAAAGAAATTAGACTCTGATAACTATCCGAATCCCCAAACCTCTAGCCTCACGGATGCAGCATGCAAGACATGTTCTTTCGGTACGACCAATTATGGCATGCAGTCCTTGTTGGGCACACCATGCTCGTGCCAAAAGTTCAAGGTCTTTCGATGAGCGAGCATCGAGCACAAGGATGCTGTTTCCGTCATCATCCTTAACGTCCACATGGTTTTCGCTACTTGGGGTATTGAGGTTTGATGGAAAAGGAGAAGTGTACTTGTTGATCTTGAAAGGTAACGTAAATGCCGGCTCAATAACATCAGCAACTGGGACAACCTGGTAGGCGTATGAAATATGCAGTGGGTGGGCTGACATGGGTGTAGTTCGAGGGGGTGCTGGCGTGCCCTGTTGTGGTTCTTGGTCATCGGGGATGGGAGAGTAAGCCCGAGTTGGCGTGAGACTCGGAGAATCTGGAGGGTGAGATAGCAGTGGCTCAAATCCATGGCTATTGCGACGGCTAGCAGGAACCCTGGGGAGGCGGTTACTGCCGCCAGACGTATTGTGTATACTACGCTTAGAAGAGGATCGAGAAAGCGTTAGTGAGCGCTTAAGAATCTGCGGCATACTGGGTAAAGTCGACATGGATGGCGAAGTACAAGGGAAGGAAGTGACAAATTGGACATCGTGAGTTAAAGTAAGCGTGTATGTCGACTTTCTTGCTGGGCTTGCAAATTCGAGAGAAGCAATGTTCGTATCACTCTCCGGAGGAGGTGCGGATGCTGTGTCGTTATCCAGTGGTTCGGTCGCAATCGATGTCAACATCCACTTGACGAATTGTACGGAGGGAACAGGAGGGACGCTAGAGTGTTGCGGCAGTGCGAGATCGCCAGGTTTGACCTTGCCTTCCACATGGGCAGGTATCAGCGCCGACTCCTCAGCTAACATGTCCCCTTCAGCTCGAATTCGAGGCGGTTGTTCCAAGTGAACTTGGTCACTAGTGACAGCATACCAGCCATCGGCGAGATCGGCCGGCAGTACTGGAACAAAGATCCATCCCATACAGTCCTTAGCATTCTCTAAACTTCCGAGAACACGTGCAACAACGCTGCTCTTGCTCCACCAGCTCTTGTCTGCATACACAAACCCCCCGTACAGATTGGCACTGTCTCCAAGTGCAGCTATCGCAAGCTTGTCATTCTCTAGTAGCGTAGACATGAGAAAGTGGGCGATGGGTTCACCTGGGAGTACCAATCCTGTAAGGAAGGACCGACTCAACCAACCACCAACATTCGTAGTGTTCATAGCGCTGGTCGTGGGATGGGCGAGTAAGTTACTCGACAAAGGTACCGTCAGGGAGCGAGCAGTGATGTTACGATCCAACTGAGGCCTAGTCAAATGACCAAAATAACTATCTTGCATGCCATGTCCAGATCTTGGTGTGGCGAGTGGTGTACCGTAAATACTTATTGAAGATGGAGTGGTTGGCTCAAAAACCTTCCCTTGCGTTGAAGCCTGGGGTTGCTCAGTTTCTGTATCGTTATGAATACCTAGCTTATCGCTCAATTCTTTCACGATCAAGTCGACCCCGGGCCATTGGACGGTCTCCGCAAAATGGATCAATCCGGACAGTTGGCGTTCTTGGTGTCGTGGCAGGAAGACGATATCTGCTTTTGGGGCGTCTTGAGGCCCATCTTTGCTGAGCATGGATAGTAAAGTCCTTGCCTTTGGTATCTTCACATCCACGTCCCTCATGACTGTTATATTGTCCAGAAATCGTCGAGCTAGCACAAGATCCCAGTCGGTTTTCCGTGTCTTCAGTTCCAAGAAGCCTTCATAATCCTCTTTGTGGACGTGCATTTTTGCGATAACCTCCTCGGCCTCCATGCTAGTGATTGCATCAAGGCGCAGAAGCAGCTCGCAGGCCAAAGTAAGCTGAAGAAGCAAAATCTCGCGTTCAGTCCATAGTGTCTCTGGATGCATCTCTTCGATTGCTTCGTCATCACTCCACAAGATCTGGCCGAGTCTGATCCGCCATTCCACCAGGCTAAAGTCATACCAGGCTCCACTCTGGCGTAATACTTTAAGCAGGGTATTGATTTGAACCTTCATACCCGTCGGGTCATCGGCCGAGGAATCATAGGAAGGTGGCATTAGAAACTTTCCGAAAAGATTCGCATATAAATCGCCGGAAGACTGGTTGTTCAAAATTGTGATACGCTCCGGGCTGTCCTGGAATGCCTCAACAAGATCACCAAACTCTGCCAGTCGGTCATAGACATGGCCCATGTCGACCTTGCGAATACCCAATTTCTCCGGGGTAGTTTGCATCTGCTCTTTGTTTCTAATTGATTCTAGGAAACCATTGCTTGATTGGGATTGTTGCAGGTCTGTAACGAGATTGTCCGAGGTTGGCAATTCCATAAAATGGACGAATCCAATGCTGCCAGGTTCGAGTCCTTGAGCACTAGGCATACTCGGAATCTCAGCAACGCCAACATCGTAGCCGTCATATCTGTTTTCGCGATCCTGTGACTGCAGTAAATATGGTAGATGCTTACGCAGCGTGCATGCAGAGTAGGCAGGTTGTGCGAATTGAAAGCAGTCAGACACATCTCGAGTGGTGAGTTCAAAGTCCCAAGGGAATGAGACTGCGGGTATAGGGCCCGAATCCGCGTTGTATATAGCAAAATGCGGTGCACCTGAGAAAAGGGAATGGATATGGTCCTCGGTCAATAGCTCGCCCTTCGTCTCTTGTTTATCCTGTAGCTCTTCTTCCTCTTGTTGCTCCGACTGGGTGGTTACACTTGAGATTTGCTCGTGCTGGGGTTTATCAACCGACCCCGCCTTTGCCACCTCGACGGAGCTGGTTGACTTGGCCGGCTGGGTGGATTCGGCGATTATAGAGTCTCGCGGGACTTCTGGGTCGGTAGGTTTACTCTTGTTCGTAGACACGGGTATCTTTGAGCGGAAAGCGGCCATTAGCACATGTATTGTGAGGAAAGGTGAGAAGAAGAATAACAGGAGAAGGGAGAAGAGAATATGGGCACTGAGAGCCGAAAGGATTACATACCACGACAGCCCCTTCCTCCGACTTCTTGTGCATCCTAGACCTGAAGAAATCCAGAATCCGCTGGCGCCTCGACCCGCTCCTTCTCATGGTTGGCTTATCTGCGGACGCCTCCTCTTCCTCCGTGCGAGGGTTGAGGCGCTTCCTTAATGGCATGGCTTCAACGGGCTGTTGCAGCTTAGGGGGACACACCAGTGCATGCTGGCGACATGAAGGGAGTTATACGACAGACTCTCATGGAGAAAGGGCTGGCTACCTGGGTAGATAGCCTGTGGTCGGCCTGGGTCGCCTGGGTCGCCTCTGGGCAGTGTAGACAATCTCGCTATGTTTCATCTGGCAGGTTCAAACAGGGCAGAACAGGGCAGAGATCCCAGTCGCTCCCACGGGTTGGTAGGAGGCACCTGTTCCCTGTCACGCATCGCGCATCTTGCATCTCGCCTATTGTTCAGCTGTCTGCCCACCGCCTATCAGCCGCCTATCAAGACGATCAACCGCAGACAAAGCCGGGGGAATGACGCCACACAGTACAAACACATGTTAGCCTGTTGACAGCCTAGCCATGCACGAGGACGGGGACACGCCAGCAACTGGACAACTTGTCTCTAGGCCTCTCCTCTCAACAAACGCTTCGAGAATAGGGAGGTACGGAAAGAAGGAGACACAGGGGATGAACGGGACAACAAGGAGACAAAGCAATGGGACAACCTAGCAGTAGTACCGCTGTAATAATGATATGATGGGAATAGCTTTAAACGAGATGAGGACTGATGTCAGGATTCAGGGTGGATTGAACAACAATGCCCTCGCCAAGCCTCTAGAATCATGGAATCATGGAACCAGCCTGGAATCACGGACATCTTACATCTCCCTAATTCTCTCCACAAAACCTGACTCAACTGCCATCGCTAGCACTCGTATTTATACTCATAATTAATCCGGCCGGATTGCACGATTTCTCTCTTGTACAGTGTATTTACAAGCCTGTTGGGGTTGCTCGTCGTAACGGTACGAATCGATCATCGTGTGCCTGGACGCCAATATTCGTTCCGTTCAGCGCGTTCAATTTGCACGCCATTCATTGCAGTAGAAGGAGTCATGGCAAATACTGAACACAATGCTGTCACCAATAATATCGACTTCCGTAATTAATGGCCGCACCAACGTTGTGCACCCGGAAACTTCTGGCTGAACAATGCACCAGAACTGCATAGAAATTCAGATCGAGAAAAGCGTACGGGGTTCGACTCTTCGTCCCCATGATAAGACCTTTGAGTTGCACGACTTACGGAGGTTCCTACCTGTTATATGCGATTTAGTGACTCCATGCACTAAGAAGATCAATCATTATCTTGTCCAGTGACACGAATTTGGAGCATGACACCCCCAGCTCAAATTAACATTGTTTCTTTTCCACTCATTGTGCATCCCTCGGATATTGTACAAGTCTTTTGACCATTTCATGTAATGTCGTACTAAATACCCCTTTTCTTCCTTTCACATTTGCTCTAAGCATCCACAGCCGTAGAGTCTCTCCCATTTGTAAAGACTAAAGTCACCAGTCCACTACCTACAGTATGCCGTCACTTTCTACATCTCGGAAGACCCCCGGGTCGTCGTCGCAGCCAGCTCAAAATTTGCCAAAGACCTCTAAAAAGAATTTGTTTACCTATTGGTACATGAAATCTTTGTCCCCGAAAACGCCTACGGTCAACAGTAAAAGTAGTAGTAGCAGCCGGGGACTTGAAGACGTTGCGTTGCAAGCCGAAATCAATGAATCGTTGATCAACGCCTTGAGACTGCAATTAGAAACTACCACGCGACACCTCGAGGAGCGTGGCAAGCAGTTGCAAGAAATTAAAGGAAAGTTAATGCCATATTGTGAGCAGCATGCACAGCAACTACAACGCATTAAGTATCTCCAAGAGGAAATTCACGATCTTAATGAACGAATACATCTAAAGGACAGACAGTGTCGAGTTCACACCGGCGCTATGAGCCGGATTACTCTTTTAGATAATGAGATCCAACAACAGGCAGAATTGGTTGCTGATCTCGAAGAATCTGATCTTAAGAACAAAAGTGTTATCGATGAATTAAATTCCACCATTTCTGATCTTTCTCGATTCTTAGAGGACCTGAGAGAGCGGCATGAAGAACTTCAAAGTAAACTCTTTCAGAAGACCACTGAACTTAAGCAGTCAGATGCCAAGTTCAAAGCACTATACGCGAAGATGGCAGCGCAAGACGAGAGCCTTCTGGATAGAGACATCGAGATCCAAGATTTACGCGAACAGCTCAAGACGACACGGCTTGAGAAAGGGGGCGATGCCAACCTTATACAGAAGATGTCCGATCTCCAAGTTGAAGTTACAACACTCAAATGCACGATTGCGCAGACCGACGCTGCCCATGATATTCTTGAAGGGAACGCTTCCAAGACCATCGAGAAGCTTGATGCAAAACTCGCAGCCCATGACAAATTCGCCAAAGACCACTATGGTGCCAAGATTGCGTTGCTGGAACAGAAAATGCAGTGCCAGAAACAGAAACATGAAGACGAGTTTGGTGAGTACAAGCTACGAGTCGAATGTGTTGACAAAGAACAGAGGCATCTCCGCCGGATAGACAGGGCCAACATCAAGCAACTAACTCATGATCTCGTGGTCTTTAAGGAGCAGCTAGCAGGCGCACATTCCACTATCGACAAGGAGCGTATGCGAGCAATGCAGAAATTCAAGGAGTTCGAGCATCGTCTTCGTGACGCAGGGCTGTTTTTGGAGGCCAGAGACGCACAATATCCTCAAATCCCCCGCACAGCCGATATGAATGCCACCCCTGAGCAGCAAGACAGCATATTCGATAACTCTTCACTTGAAAAGTTTGACCGCCCATCAAAGACAACTCTTGATGAGATAATGCAAGCAACTAAGGCTGAGCACGATCTAGAGATAGAACAACTCAAAAGTGGCTTCGAAAAGCAGATCGCTGCTTTAGCATCAAGAATATCTGCACTAGCAAAGGAATGCGAGGCCCATCAATCTTGTCATGAAATACGACAGCAGTACCAAAATGAACTCACGAATCTTTCAGTTCAGCATGCGAACGAGATAGACATATTAACTCAATTGTACGAAGCTTCCGAAAGTAATCTCAAAACCAAAAGGTCAGAGTATGAAAGAATCATGATGGAGTTCCTAGCTCTACTAGGAGAGAGAGAAGACGAAATTGAGGCTGTAAACGATGTGGCTGACAAACGATTGAGGGCATTGCGTTATCACTTTGAAGTCCAAATTGACCACCTTAAGCCTTCTAAAATTTCCACCAAGGAACTAAATTGAAAACATAGAATAAGCCTCCATTGATTTTCACGTAATAGAACATTTCAAAGTAAAGCATCAAATGACTAACAACTTGCTGGTTACTGTTTCTCTGATTTCGCGAATGTTTCTTGACATCAATAGATAGTAAGTATTCATATCCACTCTCCCCAAACCCAACTCTCTCTCCCTCTCTCTCTCTCTCTCTCTCTCTCTCTTGGCGCCGAAGTATCTCAGTATGCACGATTTGTACTAGAGTTTCCCTTGATTCACATTGATGCACTTCACGACATCGGGCATACAAAAGCCGTGCAATGCACCTGTGGCAATATTACCTCCGAAGCCTCCCCAGAACGTTGTAGTCCCCATTGCTGCACTTTGGAGACTGGAGAACAGACTTCCGGCAGCTATTGGGCCCATTCCTGACTGCATAGTGGCAGCAATGGAGCCTACGAGAGTTTGTCAGGTCTGCCGTAAAATGAAGTTGACGATGCATTATGTTGGGATAAGGGGAGAGGCCATGGGTAGGGTTACCGGCTATGGGACCTGCAGCGCCAAATCCAATTGCACCCAGAATCAAAGGGCTTAGAACGCCGGCTAGCACAGGCATGGCAGCGATTTTAGATAGGCATGTGGCTATGGCGACTGGGTCACAGTCATTTTTGGTGTTTGCTCCTGGCTTTTCGCTCTCCTTCCACGGTTTTCCATATACCATGATGACAGTGTTTCAATGTAGATCTTTCCTATTGGGATGGAAAATTGTTTTCAAAGATGATGAGAGTATATTGCAATTGAATCTTTCTTGAAGGAGATGATGGACATGCTAGGCACTTCCAGCTCGTTAAATACGTGTTCCAGTAGCACAAGAGGTCTTGAATGAGTGTGATAAGGTCGCTGCATGATGTGAAGTAAGGAGGAGTCGGACTGCACCATTGCATCACTGATAGTGAATGGCATTTGGCTGCCTAATTTGTACAACAGCAGGTCAAGGCGCCGGTAACTATGCGTTTAATAGCACGGATTAGACAACATCATTGAACCAATTTCGAAAGCTTTAGAGCATATGACATCATTTCCAATCAAGTTTGCAATTCCCTCCGTCTTGTCCGATCATGGCTTGCCCACAGAGCCTCTTGTCTCCTTAGACTCTTTTGCTGTACAGTTCACTTTATTGTTTACAGATAAACATGGCGTATTTGCAAAGTAATTTCATGGGGTCAATGCCTCATGTTCATTGGCTTGAACTCGAAAGAACCCTGTCTATCAGCAACCGTCGTTTACATGATGAGTGAAAAAGAGCAGCACGTGCTGCCGCCGGCCACAACTAGATTCACTTCCGATCAATGAGTGATTGAAAGCGCAAGCCACACACCTATACCAAAAACCTATTTCCCCACTTCTCTTTTCATTCACAGCTTGCCATTCTGCTGAAACCGACGACGGAACCGTTTACCCACGCTCCCCCAAGGATACAATCATCAATCGCGTCCCCTGGCTGACCAAAATCCGCAATGGATCCTCGTCGAGCATCCTGGAACACGAGAGCAGCACCAGCGTTAGCTAGAGTGGATGCACGCGAATCTTCACATTCATTGCTCTCTCTAGCTCGCAACCAAGGTGCCAGAGCCCTCGTACACATGGCGAAACGATACGCCCTACCTGCTGCCGGAGCAACTCTAGCAGGCCCCTTGTTATCGACTCTTCTCCCTGGACCTGTTGGTTATATACTAAGTACGTCTGTATGGTATTGCCGATCTAAACGACGTGCACAAAGATGTTTTTTATATACTATGCTATTTACCTGACCACATTCATATACGTCCACATATAGACACACACACACAAAGCATAACAGACGCGAACACTGAACTGACTCGGAAGCAGTCCAACTCATGACCTCGCTGTCACACTTCCAACTCCAACAGCTCGCGACCGGTACACTGTACTCTGCGATAGATCCAAACAGCATCGCCGGACAGGTCGTGTCGATGTTGAAGTTCATGGCGCTGGGAGGTGCTTTCGGTACGTGACAACATCTTGCCATATATGTCCCAGCTGTCTGTAACCGCTTACAGTACGGGCAGTCATGCCCATGGAAGCATTCAAAGTCATCACACACACACAACTAATAAGAACTTACTGATCAACCCCCCAGGTCCGGCAGCATCAATGCTAGCACTTGGACCGGGCATTGCACCCCCGCTAGCTACATACGGCCTCTCTTCGCTGGCGAGCATTCTCCGTACAAATCACGTCGCGAGTTCCGTGCTGGGGCTTTCCTCCTCGCTTGTCCCCGCAGCACAGCTGCAACATCACAGCATGCGGCTACTTCGCGTGCGGGTGTGGGCGTATACGATCGGGAGTGCATGCATGTGGGTGCTCGGGACGAGGCCTGCAAGGGAACTGGAGGCGATGCTGGAGCGCGTGCTGCGGGACATATGGGCGCTTGAAGTCAGGGAGATGCTGCGGGACTGGTTGAGGGCTGTGTTGCAGAAGGTCTCGCGCTCGGTTGAAGGGTTCATGGCTGTCTGGCGAGAGCTGGAGAGAGCGTTAGGATGGGGGATGAATGCGGTGGCCGTGGTGGCGTTAGAGCAAGAAGTTTCTGTTGCAGAGTCTCGTGCTGCCGACTTGGACAACGTCAATGAGTGCCGTGCGGAATCCTCACAGCACGAAGACTTCACTTCTTCCACTCTCCCCTCTTCGGACTCCGGACCAGTGTCTGCGGACTGGGAAATGGTACCGGTAGCAGAGCCACTTCATGAGGGTTGGGACGCCGTAAGCTCAGCGGAATGTTTCCAACCCCAAGAGCAATGGGTGATTGTCCTTGAGCCGCCGCAGCAATGCTCCGTCGATCGAGAAGTCGATGAGCTAGAGAATTGTGTGTGGTCGTGATCAGCTGGCTGTCATATTGACAGGGTGTAGAAAGTGAATGCATGACCCTGAATAATGACCACAACGAATATCTACCCAATTGCTGATGGGCGACATATCGTGATGTCATACTGTAGTAGTATTCAGACCAGCGATTGTTAACGAAATGAGCGAATGTCGTTTCCTGTATTGACGCAAGACTGGATTAAGCCGACATGGTAGCTGGTTGCGTAAAGTTGTGCTGCGTCGGCATGAGGTCGAAATGGCAATGTCATGACGCTGGACCGGACCTGCAATGCAGTTATTGAGCCTTCACTGTGAAGCAAGCATGTCGACAATAACGATTGAACTTTTTGAATCTTTTGTGTGCCATTAGAGAAAGTCTGCGACCCTACCTGTGTGATCCTCCACAGCACCAGGGGCAAACCGGAAGAAACAAGGTCATCATGAGGACATGAATTGCATTTGTTGCCCTATCGCCAGATCCTGAGATCTGGACGGAGGGGTTCCGGGGGCTCGGAATGTAGAAAAAAAGTAGTTTTGTTATTTATTCCCATCATCCCCATTTTTCTCCCTGATTTCATTTGAGAACCCGAGAAAGAGAAAAAAAAAGCCGGTCGCCGTAATCTTCCCGCTTTAATGAACACCACAATGCGTCAGCAGTCATCCTCCCCTTTCAACTCGCGCGCAATCCTTAGCGAGTCCTTGCTTGCACCTTGGGTGCGGCACCCTTTGAACCCTGCTTGCTCTGGATCTTCTGGGCCTGGCCACGGGCACCGGCGGCGGCGTTCTTGGCCTTCTCAGCCTTCTTCTTGGACTCGGCGGCGGCCCTCTTCTCCTTGCCCTCCTTGATGGCTTGTGCGCGGGCGGCGGAGCGAGCCTCGGGACGCTGGCTGCGGCGCTCCTTGATCACATCAAGAGAAGCTCCGACGATGGCACGCTGGTGCTTGACGGTACGGCGAGTTCGCTTCTTGGCAATCTCCTGTAGTCGAGACAGTCAGCGACATACATGCAACAAAGTGGAAGGGTAGGTGAGGGTCGTAGTAGGCGGAAGGCGCGATGACATCGGGACTCATCGCACGCCCATATGACATGAACATTCATTCCGACGGACGCGCATGCATTGCCCAATGTCATTTCGCGATCCGCACAATCGCCCGGTCCCAACCCCAAAATATTTGCAATGTGCGATTTGGTTCCACTAACCTCAGAGATACCCTTCTTGTGCTGCCTTCGGAAGAGGACTGTCCACGCAATTCGGCGGGGGTTCTTGCGCTGGAGGAACAGACTCTCGCTCTTGCCGTTCTGGAAACGGAAGACCTTGCTGTCACCACGGACGTAGAGCTTGCCCTGTACATTATCCATCAGCAACAGTTCCCAATGTATCCCGCTTAGCCTCCCCTCGCTGTCGTTGGTCCATGTTCGGTGTTGGATGAAATCTCGACATGTCGTAGGGAGGCCATTGTGCGGAGGACGGTTTTCCACGCACCTTGCCCGGGTAGATCTTCTGACCGCTGAAGGAATCGTCGTAGGTACGCATGTTGGCGGTGGTCTTGCGGTACCTGTTGGGTTAGTAGTCGGGTTCGATTGTCGTGTCGTTGATTTTGACGTTCGTTGTGCACTCGGTTGTGGGAAGGTCGGTTAAAGGATTCGCCGAACCGATCGTTGTGGCTGGGTGGGGACTTGGGCTCCGGAGAACGACATCAAAGTGCACGTGATTGCACCAAACCGGAAAGGGAAAGACTGCACGTCACATCGCCACACTCAATCATTTGAAACTCATCAATTCAAAGAGTACAGATTCATCTCAAAGGAATGATTATGCTTTCGCATTCAATGGTCAATATTAGGACTTGAAACTACCATTCGTCTTGATGCAATGCAATACAAATTACCATTATCTTCCATTCTCACACCACTTCGAATTTCCCTGAACTCCATATACACCCTTACACTTCCTAGTGAAACAGTCCTTCTCTAAAGACAATGTACCGAATGGAAAGAGAAGAAATTAATTTTCTTAGGAACTTGTTGGTAGCAAGTAGCCTCTTTAAAAGGGGGACAAAAACTTTGAGCCCAAGGCAATACCCACAGAGCAAAGGCGAGCATGGAATTACTCCTTGCAAGGCCAAACAAGATGTACAAAATGCGAGCCTGAGGTCTTTAGCCCGAGCAACTGCACACGACTGTCAATGAGCCAAGAAACCCAAACGATGGCCTGTAAAGTGGTTCTCCAGCGTTCGAGAAAGAACATCAAGTGGTAGGACGTCCGTTAAGTGTTCCCGAATTGTTGCATGTATTGCATGCATGATTGCAACGAACGTAGTGTGGCCAGAGGCACCAGTAAGTAGACGATTATGCACTTGGTCTTGGACGGGCTGGGTTTAAGCCAGAACCTCGCACATTTGTGCCTTCCTGACTTCATCTTCAACAAGCATAGTTCGAGAGCGGCAAACGTCCTCGATAACATCGACCACCTTTCGGAAAGAAGATGCTGCGCCGCGTATCTGAGTAAATCGAGCCAAACAGAGGCTTGCGCGGCGACCCTGTTCCAGGACGACGAAGAGCTCAATAACGAAAGACACCGGTTTAATTCTAAGATCTGAGACACTCTTTGTTAGTTCACAAGGTCGCAAAGGCATTGATTTTGCATGATAGGTGTGGGTACTTACGATTATTTTTATCAATCCTGGCATTGATGGTGTTGGCCTGTCGGTCGAAGGTGACATCGCGTACGCCAAAACGTTGCCAGTCTCGAAGAAGCCGCACGAGATCGTTACGAACTTTGCCACGGCCAAGTTGGAAGCACAAGACTCCACTTGCGGGCTTGATGTGCAGAAATCTTGAGAGCCAGTTCATTTGATATTCTGGTGCACGATTGCGCGACGCCGCTGAACCGTCTTCGAGATCATAGTCGGAGAGAATTGAGGAAGTACTGAAATTGTCGGCTAGAATGCCAGTTAGCAATTGAGCCCAAGATATACTGATCGATAGGTATCATAGAAAGATACGCATTCAACGACCGAGTGCGAGTACTTACAACCCAATACCAAAGGTGCCTTGGCTTTGGGCTCCTTGGCCTTTTTGCCAAAGAGACCCAAGAATCCTTTCCGCTCCTTGCCAAACTCGTTCTTCGTAGGTTCCATTCCAGGTTGCCGGATTGCAAACTCACTACTAGTGCTTCCTCTTGTGTGTCGAGACTCAACATTGCGGATAGGACTGGCGGGCCTGTGCTTCTGAAGACGATCGTCGAGACCTTGCCATGCCTCCGGAATCTGCAGACAACCGACGTGTGGTTTGTTCTTCGTTTCTTCTTGAGCTTCCATGTTGCGCCGAAACCACAGGGACTTCTTCTTTTTCATCGCTGCGCCAGCCTTCGACGAATCTGTTGGCTGTGGGCTCGCAGTAGTGCGTTCGTCAAATTCGTCCAATGCAGACTTGTTATGTAGGCCTTGCGAAGATTGCACCGTTCGAGTGGTAGCAGGGTTCGACCAACCTGTGAGTCGATCGTTGGCGCTCTTTGAAAGCGTGCTGGCACCACTCCGCTTACGTATATTCAGGGGTGCAATTCGTGTAGGGGATTGCTCGACGACCCGTATAGTGGAAGGATGATCGGTCAATGCCCGGCGACCCTGCAGTTTTGGCCTGACTGGATCAGTAACAGCTCTATAGGGTGAGCTATAGGGCTCGTACTGATTATCTCCATCAGACTTGACCTCTTCGGAGATAGCTGGCAATAGACTGCTCTGCTCTGGAGACCTATTAGGCGCCGAGGAAGCACGTTGCGCAATATTGACCGTAGGATCCATAAGGATATCCAGTTTAGCGAGAATCTCATTGAAATGTGCTGTATTCTCGCCCCCTTGCGCTGCTCGAAAAGCAATGTCGGCTCGAGTTTCCGCCAGCTTACGGTGCACGTATGTATTTGGCGTCTCATTAGGAACTGGAGGAAGGGGTCGGCTTTGGGGGGTCGATTTAGCATTGGATGGGGTAATAAGCACACTACCAATGGAGTCCCCATTGGAGACTGAAGTTGGTGGGGTCATGTAGTCAGATGCATCCTTGGACGGATCTGTGTTCGAAGTCCGAATACTTTCACCGATCGAAGCGCGATTGAAAGCTTCCTCCATGACCTTTTCAAGCTCTGTGCTGACCTTTCTCGCTTCACTCTGTATGTATTTGCTGGGGCTCTCCGGTTTGCGAATCTTCAATCGAGCCACGGGTGGTTTGACTGGCGTTCTGGCCGAACCTTTGTTGGCGAGTGGCGATGGCAGAGGCGGGGGAGAGAGGGGTGACGGAGTGACGGAATCACGAGAACGCCTGTTGAGAAACTTGCGCTGCTCCGGCGTGTAGCGAGGACTCGAACTTCCAGTGCCCATTGTGCAGGCTGAGCTTCGTCGTAGATGCGAGAAACTAACACCACGCTTCCCGATACTGCCAGGGCGAACTAGAACAGGTGGACTGCTCGGCCAGTGCGAACTTGCCATGGATGAGCGCGATACGGACCTCCGTTTGACGCCAACTGACCGCTGTGAACGGGCTGAAGGACTGCTATATTTGGAGGAACCACGCGATGCCACAGAACTTTGGCGCTGGGAGTTGTTTCTAATAGCTTGAACACGTAGCGAGCTTCCCGTACGATGGCCCAAAGCCGTTGCTGGTCGTTGACGGCCTGTGCTGCCTGAGCCACGGTGGATGGTGACATTATGAGTAAGGCTTTGACCTGGTATGATTGGGTCTCTAGATGCTCGGAAAGGGTCATAACTGGCATCTGATGAGGGTGGTGGTTCGTAGAAGCTGTGTTTGGAATACAAATGTTCGTCGTTCAGGATTGAGAAACCAGACTGAGAATGCTTGTGCCATGAGGACGGGGCAGATTTGCGGCTTTGCGGGGATGACTTGGCGCAATGATGATGATCACTAGTAGAATATCCAACAACATCAGGGCCCGGAGAATAATCTTCCAAATAACTGTCACGAAACTTGAGCAGTGCCGAATAGAAGTATTTTTCGTGGTTGGCGCTATGATTTGGTCAGTAGAAGTTGGCTACAGCGGATCGGAAAGTGTACATATACTTACTCTTTGCTAAGCAGGCGTTGCACCAAAGTCTGTTCCTTCTCACTGTGCCAAAGCGTTCGAAGATATCGTAGAAGCTCGCGGTCGATTGTATTCCGCTCAAGCTTGGTCCAGTCCGATATCGAAGGAATTGGGCCCACCCAGTGGTCAACTGTCGCTTTATCGCCAACGAAGCCCAAGTGAACATCATATTTACTAAGGAAGGGGTGATTCCAAATGCCTTCGATGGAGATGCGTCGCTTCGGGTCCGGGATAAGGATCCGTCTAATCAAGTCTTGTGCCTCCTTTGACAACCCATTCGGCATCACATAATCGGCTAGAGCAATCGAACGGAAGAGATGCTTGAGATCGCAGTCTTGTCCAGAGTAATTGAAGGGGGGCGTTCCCGTAAGCATCACGTACAGAATAACACCACAGCTCCAGATGTCTGCTTTAGCGCCGTCATATGATGTTGTGCGAATAACTTCTGGTGCGGCGTAATGCGGGCTGCCGCATGGAGTTGTCAGCTTTTTACCAGCAGGCTGTAAGGCCGCCATGCCAAAGTCGACCAGCTTGATAGTTGCGGTTTCTCTATCCAGAAGAATATTCTCGGGCTTCAAGTCGCGATGGTGGATGTTCAGGCGATGGCAGTACATCAAAGCGGCAATGATCTGTCGGAACAAGTGAACGACGTCGACTTCTTGAAGTCTTCCTTGCTCGCCGATGTAGCCAAACAGTTCGCCGCCTTGGACATATTCCATGATCAAGTACCTACGAAAGTTAGAAAAAACGACCTAAGAGCTAAAACTCGAACTCACAACTCATTACGATTCTCCCAAACATCATGTAGGCGTACGATATTTGGATGGTCCAACAGCTTCATGATACAGATCTCGCGTTCCAGGCCAAAAGGAATGAGCTTGCCGGCAGCCAAGGTGGGATCGGTTTCCGCAGATGCGATCAAGTTCGCCAAACTCAATGCCCTGACTTTCTCCGCCGTAGCTTTCGAGATTATTTTGGCAGCGCCATACTCGCCCGTGCCCATATGTCTAACGATGCGAACCCTTGAGCATCCTCCGCGCCCTACAGTCTTGCCCAACTCCCAAGGTCCTATGCAGGTCTTGCGTCGACGGCTCGTACCTGACGCATTGGTGCTTGCGTTTGATATCTCAGAGTCACGCTTAGGGTTGTGTGGACGAGCGCCATCATTTATAACGGCGGAGAGACGTTTGTTTTCAGGTGACGGTTCCGGCGGGTGTCGTACTGCAAGACTGCCGTTAGGCTCGAGAGACTCGTTATGCGGAAGGCGGACAGGAGAGGACGTAGCGCTCCCTTCCAAACCGCCTTTCACACTGCGGCGTGCGTGCGAACTCTTGTCCTCATTAGCACGCGAGCTGGCATCTCCGAGTACTTGTCGACGTGTTGGAGGACGACCATGATATACATGATCCATTGTGTCGATGCGAGGATGCGGGAGGAAACCGCCAACCAAGCGAAGACACTTCCGCTAGAGGAATAAGATGCTGAAGCGATATGGAGCCCGAAAGACACGTCTTGCTTGGAGCGAGGGTCGTAGCTCTGGGCACCAAGGCGCGGTTCGTGGTTTGCTGTAGGGATCTCAGGTTAAGCAATCTCCATCGCCCCGTCGTGTGGTTTATTTACAGTGGACGGGAAGCTGAACGTTGATTGGAGATGCAAGTCATCAATGGTCAATGAGTGAAGGAAAGACGAAAGCCCCAAGCAATCGAAACGCAGTGTGCCAAAATTGGACCAAGATTTTGCTTCGTGTATTGCTCGCCGCGGTGAGGTGAGAAGTTTGAGAGTGGGCTAAGGATGATGGAGTGGCGGGCGCCGCGTCGTTGGTTTGTTGTTGGGGTAAAGTGCACGTCGACGCGGATGAAGCAAAACAAGAGCGGAAGGAGCACCACGACCACCACACTCAAGATGAAGAAAGTGATGATACCAATGAAGACAGGAAGTAATTGTCTCCAAGCTTGGGTGAGGTTTTGGGGCAATGTTCGCGCGATGGAGGAATGTGCCAAGAGCAAGGGTTGAGAGAGTGGTGTCTGTTATGCCAGAGGGAGGATGTTGGAATGAGTTGTCTAGCGAACTCAAAATGAATAAACAACATTGGAACGACCTGGAATACTGTACGTGAAAATGCCACTCATTAGCACCATGGATGTCACGGCACAACCCCCTGAATAAATGCATGCTTGTTATACTCAAACTATTACTACTGATGCTACGCTTTCTCAGTGTTGAAGGACCATTTCCCACGATACTTTGTTGTTGATACTGACAGTGATTACGGTGACAACAATGATGGCGCCCAACGGCAACATTCGCACTGCATCACGCATGCAAATTTGGCCATAGCTACAGATGAGACGACAACGAAGGGACATACGTGACAACAGACATGGAAAGCACAATTGCTACCTAATTAGAACGAACAGCCACGTGACGCAGATGAGAAACTGCAAACTGTCGAAAAGAGCCAGCGCGAATTCTTTGGATGCAATTGAATATCAAAAGCTACACCTGAGCTATTAGGTGCTCATGATGCTGTATCCTCAATGAGTGTTCAGTAGGAGCAGATGTTTGACAACACAGAGCAAGGTGAGGTTGAGGTTGAGGTTAGGTTGAGGTTGAGGTGAGGTTGGGAGGACTAGACGGAGAATTGACGTTCCTTCGGTCCGATCGGTCACGCAAGACCCGCAAGTAACCACCCAGCGAAACCTTAACGCATCTTCAACTCCATCCAGAACGCACCGCATATCAGTCTGCGCACGCATTCAAATCCGTTTGGAAGGGCCATTGTGATTCGACAAGAACAACGACTACATCACCAAGAAGGTCGTCTTGTGGTAGGTAGGTGGCAACAAATAATTGTGTCATAGCTCGATATCTGCTGGTCTCCATCTCCTATCGCTAGGTCCCAGTACTCAACATGGGCGCGCCGCAATGACACATCTTGCTTGAAAGCAAATAAAGAATGCGGGCGAAATCAAGAATCGCGGAATTACACTAAAGTTATCCTTCTTCCTTGATACATGAGCCCCCCCTTCCGAACCCCAGTTAAGATCTTATTTTCCCCAAGAGAGACGTAACCGAAAATATTCCCTGAAACCTCGCGGTCCCGACCTGACACGCAATGCATGAAAAAGAAAAACCCAAACGTGACCCCATAACCAACCATTGGGGAAAAAGAAAAAAAAGGAAATCGTCAACTAAGAGGTATCCGCTACATAAAAAGAAAACCCTATCGGGACAGTAAAGCGTTGAGATAAGGACACCCCCTGGTCCTTCGACTCCGGCCATAGGCCCCCTAATGGTTTATCAAGAAAGGAAAAAGAAACAGATTCAATAAACACAGCGCAGCATAATATGGTCAATCCGGAAACATTGTGGACAGAGAAGTGGCGCGGTCCTTTCAAAACGTATCCGAGAGGCTCGTTGACATGTCCACGTAAACGATAGTTAATACAAGGGAAGCGAATTAAAGGGCGTGTTGTGCAAACTGATCATTCATGAGTTGCACTATGCGTGGCTCGATATTATGGGTTTGCTCTCGAGAGCCTCGGCCTTGTGATCGGGGGAGTGGCTTTCGCGTTTTTCCTCATTGTTCGTTGCTTTTCCGCAGCCTTTCACGAGGATATGTCGCTGTTATCAGGTGTTAGTAATCGGCCAGTCACATAATCGGGATCTAACGTACCTTCAGGGCATCTTTACGGGAGAAACTCTTGTCGCAGTGGGTGCATGGGAACGGCTTGACTGCCAGATGGATGCGCTTATGTCGTTTGAGATCATGATTACGATTGAAACTCTGGGGGCATTGGTCGCACTTGAAAGGTCGGTCATTGGCGGCTTGTTGCTGTTGATGTGGGTGAGCTAGGAAATGGGGCATGCTTGCTGCGTGTCCACTATTGAATCCTGCCATCATCCCCGGGTGCATACCTCCGACCAGTGCGAGCTGGCCGTTGGGGTTTCCCATATTGGAATAGACGGGCGCGTGTGTGTGGGCATGCGTGTGCTGGGGGGGAGGCGGAAAGGCACCGTAAGGCCGAGTATACGCGTGAGGAGACTGTGCAGGCATGGATGGTATCGAAGACATCTGTCCTTGGGAAACGGCTGGAGACATCCTAGGCATTGGTCCTGCGCTGATCGGACTCTGCTGGGTAGGCGACGGTCCCGTCGAGTATGGAAATGTGGATTGCTGCGGAGTGCTTGCAGGCTGAGAGCCGTAGTAAGTCGGTGTTGGCGGAGGGCGTTGGAAAGCCTCTTGTGTATGGGCCGGAGATTGTTGCGGTGCTGAGCTCGATACTGGAGTCTGTGCACCCATCATATGGTGAGATTGCTGCTCTTGTGCAGTCATGGTTGTGAGATTTGAACCAGCTCCTAGTGGAGTAGATGCCGGGGCGAACGGTGGCAGCTGCTGGTTCACTTGATATGATGGTGGTGGGTTAAGCCCTGGAAGTAACAAGTAAGTACGCATCTTTTACCCGGTCCGGGCACAATAAAGAAACCAAAGAAACGTACCTCTAGTGTTGTATTGGTTTTGTTGCTGCGAAATCGCTCCATACCCATATTGTGCTGACCCCTGAGCAGGAGGAGAGTAAACATAGTTCCCGTATTGAGGCATCGCGGATGAGTGTGCTCCACTTGCTGAAACCCCTGACGAAGGGCTCAATACATCGCCTGGAATATTGTTCGGTGGTGTGAGTAGATTTCCAACACTTGCGATGGTTGTCGGAGCTTGTGATGATTGCGTTGCGCTGACACTGTGGAAGGACGAGTACTTGTGCATCGGTGGTGGCGGGAGCTCAAAGTTGCCCAGGTGTGCAGCGTGTGGCCTTCTCGTTGCAAAGCTGGCGGGGGCACCCATTGGGTCGGACCCAGGATGCATCGAAGCCGGATGAGCCACTGCTGCAGCCACGTTGGCGGTTGTGCTTGAGGCGGACCTGTGTGGTCCACCAACTGCAGATGGGAGAAAAGTCGGATCAGAGGGCAGCGGTGATGCTGCTTGGGGCGGGGAGAGTAGGAAGATGTACACTCCAACAGTAGTATCCTCGTAAGGAAGAGGAAAGGTCTACAAGAGATGGTGAATGGATCGGGTTTCCTAAGTGTGAGGATGTGGGAGGTAGAGGCGGTAGTCGAGAGGGACAAGATGCTGGTGAGTGAGATGCAGGTAACGAAGGGGAGAAGATCTAGTAAAAGGTCTCTTGCTCGCACAGACGCGCAAACAGTCTCGAAGCTCTTCGGCGGTGTTCCCAACCTAGTCTATCGTCGACCTGAAGAAGGCGAAGAGCGATTCCGAGACGTGCAAAGATTGCGATCGCGGGCGGTCCTGGAGATGGTACCTGCGCAGAATCTGGTGGACAGTGATACCGGTGGATGCACACTTCTCCGGATATCTTCTAGAAGGTCTCAGTTGCTTTGCAAGATTAGTGGTGCTCGCGCTCTGTGGCCGAGGAAGAAAGGGCGTACAGTGCAGCAAAAAGCAGATATCGGTGCAACAATGACTTCCTCTCGCCCGGATTCCTGGTTTCGTCGACGTAGTGCTACTAGGGGCGGTTGTACAGGCTGTAGGTCTGTCGATTTTGGGTCAAGAGGTTAATGCTTCCAGTGTGGGCGTACGCTGGAGGTTTTGTCGTTGGAAGATCACGCTGGTCCCCCCCAAGGATGGTGTTGGCTTGCGACTAGCTACGATCTGGAACCCAAATTGCTGGGTACGGAGTGGCCTTCCTGCTTGGGCGAGATGCAGGAATGAGATAGAGGATTTGGCAGGCCACGACAGCAGCGTTGCAAGATCTGGTGTTGCACGTTTTGGTGATGGCAGTGGCCGAATGCTTGGATATTCGATCGAGTACGTTGGTAGTAGCGTCGAATGGAACAGTCCCAGATAGCTTTCCCGAGCTCCAAATTCTCCAGTTCCCAGTGGTTCGAGGATATACACCGCACAGTACAAAACAGTAGAGTACAAACACAAGAGCGCAAGTAGGTAGATGAATTGGAGATCTGGTGGTCGTAGTGGTGGAGCCTGGTGGTGGATGATGGGAGTTTGAGGCGTGCGGGCAGCGGCGATCCCTACTTGGTGGACACAGTTCCTGGGCGCCCTAGAGAGAGCGATGGCGGTAGATGGCTGGAATCTGCTGGGCCAAAAAGGCTTTTGTCACCGTGAGCGAGTGGAGAGAGGTGGCCCTCACGTATATGTACGGCAGACTAGAGGGCGTCAGGGAGATGGGCGATGGGGTTCGCGTGGCTGTCTGGCGGGCTAGGGGCAGGTCCAGGGCATCCAGGGCCTCAACCAGGCGATAGGGTTCGTCCGAGCGTTTGGGGTGGGCGTCGGTGGGAGGATCTGGATCGGGATGGGATGTATTTGGGCTATTTAGGTCATTCGGGGAGCAGGTCATGGAGGGGGGTGGAGATTGAAGCTGGAACGACTAGAACGAGGATATGGCCTCAGGTGAGCGGGAAGAGAAGCACGCTATTTCACGATTTAACATTAGCACTTCGACGCAAGTAGGCATAGCAGACGAGGCACGGCAGAAGCAACGCGTGAATGAATAATAAAACCCAGCAGCACACCGTTCAGGTTCGCCCGGAGTGGACATGGGTGGTTCAATAATGGGGGCATTCGATTAGACGATTACAGCGTAGAACAACAATGCGCAACCGGGATGTGAGCACTGAGCACCCAGCACCGAGCATTCGAGCATTGAGCACCGGCCAACAGCGCGCCAGACCCTGTCGTTATTTTCTCTGTCGTCTCTTTTTCTTGTTCGACTCGTCTCGGCTGGCCCTTTGGTCGGAGTCGCTGGCGCTGGCTTGGTGCTTGCTGGCGTGCGGGACGGGCTTGGACCAGCATACCGGAGGAGGGGGGGGGAGGGGATAAGACGTATCTAGCCCTGTTGATGATGGCTGAAATGCTAGCACACGGTGCAGAACTGTACTGTCTGTGTGCAGTACAGTACAGTACTGAGCACTGAGTACAGTAGGTAGGTAGGTCATGATCCATCCATACCCACAGGCTACAGGCTGTACAACAATACAATAATAATTTACCGAAGCGCACCACCCACCTCCAGTATAATCAGCACGATGCATGTTCTACCTATCGCTTACACTGACCCGGCCAGTCTCAAAAGAGGAAAGACTTTTCCATTATTGATTGTACAGAGCACTACTGGTGTTGATATCATAATGTCGCCCGATGGATTGCCTACATGCTAGATACACTATAATTGAAAAGTTCACGACTTAGTTAATCATGAGGAGCCAAGGATGGATGAGGAACCAAGCAAAAAAATCAGGCAGAGAACAAGGGAACGAAAGGAACAGAGATAATGGGAGGATAGGTATGAAGAGAATTGCATCAAAGGGCCACCATCTACTCCGTATGGTGAAATCTCAAGTCTTTCTCTGTCCTATCAGGTCTCCCCAGGGCTCGACGGGGGATTCACCTCGCCGTCCACTTCTTTGACGAGGACAAGAAGAACAACAACACTTGGAGACTGGGAGTCTGGGACTGGACCGAACTGAGGGAAAGAGATGGCAAAGCAAGTAGGCTCTGGGGTAGCACGAGACGACGGCCAAGAGCGCCGGTGCGGCTCTGACCCAGGACCATGGTCATGACTAGGTACCTACTGGAAGGTAGAGATGAGACAAGAGAAAGACGAAAGACAAAAGTAGAAATGATTAGGACATGTTGTTAGTAATGCATTGATGTGATTATTCCTTTTTCTTTCTTCTTGTCCTTTCACCTCGTCAGCGAGATTTCTTTGGTTGCTTTTTCCGATATTCGCAAGGAGGAGGAGGAAGATCAAGGATGGTGGTCCCAGGATGGGGGATGAGCCAAAGGAATGAACGAGCGAGCGAGCGAATGAGCCTGCAAGCGATGAAGGAGAGGAGGGAGGGGAAGGGGGCCGGGATTGAAGGGATCGAATCAATAATAGTTAGTTAGGTAGGTAGGTTAGTTAGGATAGTTAAGTTGGGTAATTAGTTAGTAGCGTATATGTAGTGTGTATGTATGAACGGAGGAGTGATACTTTGTATGTGTGTGTCTGTCCTGTATTGTATGGACTCCGTACTGAGTCCTGACTGACTGACTGACTGACTGTAGCTATGAGTACATACACACACACACACACTGTACAGTAACTTACCTAGTAGTTGGTTGGTTAGCGCATCATATGGGATGGAAAGGAAAGGAAAAAGCTGGGGCCAAGACTCTGAACCAATCAAGTAAGCGATGAATCCATTAGACTGGCCAATGGGACCAATCCACCCATGCACGGACACGGTCTGGGCCTTGTCCTCTCCCTTCTCTTCCTCTTCCTCATCCTCATCCTGTTCATCCTCTTTCCTCTCCACCCTTCTCATTCCTTTTCCCTTCTCATTCCTTTTCCCTTCTCGGGCTCACTAACTATTACTCCGTACTGAGCTCTCTATCTCTCAATCTCTCTCTATCACTGTCTCTGATCTCTACTGTACACAGTATTCTCTTCTCTCTCATCTAATCTCTCATCTCATCTCATCCTCTGCCTACCGAGTACCCTGCAGTGCCCGAGTATCGTTATATAAGATTCTACACCTAAACCATACCTGCTTCTCACCAGATACCCCATATGGACCATATTACAAGATACCTGATCAGCACATATTATCTTTGACGAAACTCATAACTGTCACCGGCTATTACTTATCATCCCGGCCCAGCATAGTTACTGTGAATAACGACATTCAGTGCACTTGCTCTAAGGTATGCTAGCGGCCAACGAGCCATCAAGGAATATCTACAAGAACAAGAAAGAGATAGGAGACAAAAATAAAATACAACATGCGAGAGACGTGCAGCAAACGTGTGAAGCGAACCAGAGACACAGCGGGCCATCCAACCCGATCAACTGATAAATCACAAACTACTCCCTTTACAGTAACTCCTCAACTCACCTCAACAACGGCGCAATAACGAATAATGAAAAGAAAAGAAAAGAAAGTGAGAGACCGACTGTAATTGCCTACTGGAAGTACGCTGTACCCTGGCAGCCATCCTCGCCGTCCTGACCACCCTGACGGTAATCCTAGCAAGTCGGGGTAATCCTAGTCTCGCTGTCTCTTGTCCATCCTTTACATCCCTCATCCCTGTCACCCCAGTCCTTCTTGTTCTGTCCCATCCTCTTCGTTCCCCGTTCCCGTCCCCATTTCCTCCCCCATCCCGGTTCCGAAACCACAGTGTCTGTAGTTTATTTGCATCTCTCTACACGCTTCGCACTGGGAGCCGCCCGAACGTTGGTCTAATGCATTCTGCACCCATCACGTTCATCACGCTCATCACGTCGCAGCTAACGAGCGTCAAGACTCAGCGCGCGCGTTGAGATCGAGCAGGTCAGGTCCGCTGTTGGAACGAGCGAGCCTGGTCTGGCATGGCATGTCATGGCATGGCATCCCTACGGCCAATGCGGCGTTGGCGTCAAGTCTGGCTGACCGACAAGCCCAGCTCAGGTCGCCGGACGCTGGCGCTAGCCGAACCTCGAAAGGCTACGGCCACACCTGATTTGATTGATTGATCCATCTGTTGGCCCGCTGCCATGTTCGGCCTGCTGGCCTGATGGCCCTCTTGGTGAGCTCGCTCCAAGCGCCTTCAGCGGGAAGGGCTGCGATGCGAGTGCGAGAATGATGAGCTTGATCACAATCCGGGATAGCGTCAACAGTACTGCTGAGCACCCAGTCGCTAGCTGTTTACTGCTGCACGTCCAATATCCGTTTAGAGGATGTAGGGACCATGTCACCATGACCATCAATGAACATCATCATTGACCATGGGTTTCGTGCTGATCGAACATCATTTTAGTATGTATCTCCTTCGATTATCGATCACCGACTATCGACATGGATCCTGGCTTTCCGGTTGATTGGGTTCATCAACGCAAACTGCTAACCTGCCTGCATTATATTGCGGACGACACATGACTTGATAGATACAAAATTTGCATCTCGTCTATTGTCCCGAGTTCACTACACGAATGCAGCAAATGTACGATGTACATACATGTATGTGTGTACTCCTCTGCTCCTGGCCCCAATCACGAGGCTCCCTTGCTCGCCTATAAATAGCCATTCTCTTATATTGCCTACCTACGACATGGCTGGCCAGGGCAATAAGCAATGAGCCATTGACGACCCAACCCGACATCATTTCCCCAGCCCCAGTCGAACCTCCCATATGCAACACACAATATTGTCTTATTATCGATGTGTCGGACATGGATGAAAGCGTGCGGAATGTGCAGCCATCCTAACCTTCCCGCCGTGCACCGCGTCGCGCACAGGAAGTAGATCTCCACGTGGGAGTGCCGTCCAGTCGCCCAGTCATCCTGGGTAAGTAGATGCATGGCCCCCAAATGATGGATGCATAATGGTGCTGTAAACATGATGGATCTGCTTCCTTGGACTCCCGAAGATGGTACTACCATTCGGAAAGGCAGAAATTCTTTTGGCAGGTTTGAAGGCCGATGCCGGGGATGTGGGCAGGCTGGTCGAGGGTGAGGTTGTCGGAGGGGGGCACGAGGCACCCGTTGGCACTCGATGACAGCTGCGAGCTCCAAATGGATGACGCCGTTGCTAGGCACAGGCGTTGGCGAATGCAGAGATGCAGAGTGCAAACAAGCGAGAGTCGTGCACGTAGGCCGTCATCGGTTGCTCGCATTCTCGCACTTTGTACGGGCGGCGCATCACAATACCAAGGACGACTGCTGCTTGTATGATGTTCAGTATGTCACAAAAGTAGTTCCCGGTGGCCTGGTTTGGGCTCAAAGCTCACGCACTACAAGAGGCCGTGGAAAGGGCACTGGGGAGGAGCGACTCCACGGATGGTCGATCCAGCGCCTCGCCCAGCCGCCCGCTCCAAGGCGCCCCTTGCGAGAGAGCCATCGAGCTAGAGAGCCAGCCAGCGAGCGGACTTTGCCAGCGCCCTCGATTCGTTCTCCCAGCAGCCCTAGGCTGGTTAGGTAGAGTGGACTCTTGGTACTGTCTGAATGGGTGTCTTGGTTATCTGGAGACGCACGACGCACGACGCACGACGCATGCCACATCCCGCTCACTTGGGGCAGCGCTTTTCTAGATTTGGCATCGTGCAGTGTAGAGGTCACTGCCGCGAGTGCACGGCCAGCTGTGTTCTCGCGAGTCGCGACACCTCGAAAGCTATGGGTATCATACTTCAGACTCGAGAGAGGAGACTCAGAGGGGTCAAGGTTTGTTAGCCAAAGGTTTCGATGCTCACTTCGCGTCTTGCATTCTGGAATAGCGGCAGCAGCGTGGGAGCAGCCCTGTACTGTTTCTACACGTATCGCGGATGTACTCCGTACATAATTGAACGTGCGTATGTAATATGTAGTCGAACTCACTTACCATGCAAGCAGACGAATGGTGGATGCAAATCATTCAAGCACATTACCAGTCACCGGTTGTGGAGCGAAGGCGCCTGGCGAAACGTCTGACATAGCATGCACTCAGGACAAACTTACTGACAGCCAAAACGGCAGGGTTCTCGACGATAAGAGGTGTGTGTTGTGTGTACAACTGGGCACACGAGACCTAAGCACTGAGATGAAAGGAGCAGCGTGTCCCACGTCTCTGAAACTTCTGCGACAGTTTGTCTTGGTACTCAATCTACTCATCGTTATCATGACCATCACCTTTGATCATCTCTACCTAGGTAGTCTTCCTCGCGCAGATTACTCCATACAATTGAAACCCAGTGTACGGAGTAATCATCTGCATTTACCAGCACGTTGGGGGGGTAAGTTGACCCAACCCTAGACTGTGCCACCCAATGGGAAGGCTGCCTTAGCGAGCCGTCGACCAGATTGTCGATTGTCTCCTCTCCTCTCCTCTCCTCTGCCTCTTCCTCCTCCACTCCTTGTATTCTTTCTTTCCGGGTGGATTATCCCATTTTTATTACACGTGTGATCAACCACACTACCGCTACCGTGCATAATCCATGTGCCGTCTGGATGATTTCCAGCTATCTACGGAGTACATACTTGCAAGTTACTGTGCCCAGATTTCTGCACTGTGTACGCAGTATGCAGGACGTGCCAATCAATCCCTCAACTTCCGATATTTCATTCTTGTTTCGTCATATCATTCGTTCATCCGTTCCAAGTCTTGGGTACTTACCGTACCATGTCTCGATCACCGTACGTATGATTGTCCCGCCAAACACCGTCTGGTACAACAAGTACCGTTTTAGACCGACCGTCTCCCGTTGGCCGGCAACAGATCTGTGGTACCATCGTCTCGGCCATCGGCGTATCGCGAGCTCTTGTTGTGCAAAGTCTGGTCGGGCTACGTCGATCAATTGGAAGTACAGATCCGACAAGCAGACAGACGGAAGACAGGAAAACGGCCGTTCGAAGAGGGGGAGTGGATTTTGGTTGGATCAACAAACGGCCCATATGCCAGTTTGGTACATACTGATAGTACACAGGGACATATCGTTGAGACAGCAATAATGCACATGTTTTCTTTGTTGAACTTGAACGCTCTGCCTAATTTCATTGACTTCATTATCACCCGGTCGGCTGGGAAGGGGGGTTTCGCTGGTTCGCCACCCCTGCATTTTGCTTTTTTTACAATATTGCTCCTAGGCGATGATGAGCAAGCATCCTTTCTATCGGAATCTCCCAGGCCAGTGTTGTTGTTTTACTTGATGATCTTGCTTATTTCAACATCGACCATTGCGTTCCCGCACCCGCGCATGCTCCGGACGTACAGCAGACTGTGTACAACGGTACTATATTTCCATGCACGCTGTACGGAGTACAGCACCTATAGTAAAGGCAAAGGAGATTAACAACACGCACACTCAGAGTCGAATTCAAGCACACAGAGAGTACGGAGTAAGGTACGTTGCGTAAAATAAATAAATCACGCACATATACAAATCTCATCCAAGGAAGACCTGACGATCAATCGTCTATCTACTGTTACTCGGTATCTCGTATACCCTCCTAGGCCTCCTTACCCCGCGCTCTCTATCTTCCGTCATCAACCTGCCCAGAAATTGAATTCCATCCCCTCGCACTCGTTTGTCTTATTAACGAGAGTCGAGTCTCATAACTCGACCAATCCCATCCGTCGAACACGCGAGCTTCAATGTGCTAGAGACTGTAGCGACTTTCAAGCTGGAGCTCTTCCGTCAAGAGCTAGCCAGTCATGGAGAAAGCCGGTCACCCTCTAATTCGTGATTGAGACTCAGCCGTGATGATTCTATTCTCATCATCGTGATCATTCCGTGTCTATCGCTTCTGCACACTCTCTTCGGCCATTATTATTGTTCCTTTTTCTCTCTTTATCGTATCGTGTCGTGTCGCGTCGATCATTCAAGTGATCTCCCCCACTTTCGATCAACCATCCTTCCTCTCAATCATCGACTACACCCGCCCCATGGACAACTAGTCCAATTCAATGAAACCTACTTTGTAAGTGCGTTGTACTGTCCCCATACTGTATTGCACTGTATCACCCTGAGAATGAGATATTGTCATGAAAGTGTCCTTAATTTAGGAAGCGTCTGTTGCTCTTCCTTTCTCGGCGTGCCCGCGGGCCCACGCCATTTCATTCGTCTGTCGTCCCATGTCACACCGCCGACTGCACGACTTACCTAAAGTCAATTGACACGGGACCGACTGACTAGCAACGTCCTGGTGGTTTGGAAGGGTGAAGGGCGAAGAGGGGAAAGGACTGTTAGTGAGGAGTAGTTGCACTACCGCTACTCTCAACCAAGCCTTCCCTCATCCGCGGCCCCCCTGATGTCAAAATTCCTCGAGAGATCGGAGGATGGGTGCAATCATGATCCTCAAGCCGACCAAGCCCCCCGACCCGTCATGTTGGGACTCATCAACCACGACGCACCCGCACCGCAATAACAGGGCCAGCACCAGCACAAGCCCAAACCCAAGCACAAGCACAAGCACCAGCACCAGCACAGGCTATGCGCAGGCTTCCCTCCCTCCCCCCGTCCCTCCCCCAGTGTCCCCAGCAGCCGTAAGAGGCGGCGGCGGAGGCGGCGGCGGCCACGTTGTGAGCAAGCATCGACCGAAGTACTGGAAGGGGAGAATGCGACAACACGCAAGGGAAATCCCCATTATGCTTTCTCTAACAAGCCTCGCACAAGACTTGACCCAACTCCTCAAGTACGTACACTTAGACAACACATCATCAGACATACAGTTGTAATCACAACACATCGCACTCCTCTCGAGCATCACTCCCCAGACAAAGGCCAGAACCAACGCCTGGCCCGTCCTTTGTGTGCGCTCATCAACCCCCTAGGTATGGCATTTGCCGCATATCACAATTCAGCTTCCCGTCAAAGACCACCTTCGTTTCGAAGCGACCCTGCAGGCTAGGTAGGGAATTTCTGCACTACGAATAAGTTGCTGTAAATTTAAATGAACAGCTATGCACCCCACGGCCCTGGGCCATGCGAACTTTATCTCGGATGGGCCTTTCTCTACTCTTTTCACACCCGTAACCTGCAGGCCTGCATCAACTATAACAGGCATCTTCTGCGGCTCGCCATCAAATCAATAGTCAGGCTCAATCTTAATTGCGACAGGGATCCCACATCGCTAAACCCTGCTGCGTGCTGAAAGCGCCTGTCTTGCGTCAAGCACGTTTGGGCTGTCGTTGCTGTGTGCTCCACGGAGTAGACTACTGACACAGTACCGGTAGGTATTGAAGGTTGACCTATTTCCATTACCCACACACCACAATTAGTTACCTGCTAGGGGGATGGCATCAACCATTGCTCCTTGCCCATCTGCATCTGACACGAGAGCAAGTGTTCTCAACAATGGTCTCAACCTTGACCCTCGCTTATCGTTTAGAGTCTCGCCCTTCCTCAACCTCCCTCACCGGCACCACAGACCAAGAACGCGACCAGCCTAGGTCCATTTCGGGCCGTGGAATCCCTTTTGCTATGTTTCCCTCTTCACACTCACTGCCATCCGTTCATCCAGGTATCTTCTTCGGGGCAGAGTTTTCACCAGAGGCCTTCTTCACACCGAAGCAGCACCGTAGGCGAAAACTCTGTCAAGTCAGGGAGCGTACACGACTTATGGCTTCTATTACATGACATGGCTGATGTTTACGGAGACGCGAATCTGTACCTGCGCCAGCCTGCACAGTTGACCTTTTAGAGATACGAGTTCTAAACGCAGTCATCGAAGTTGACAGCCGCCAGGCCAATCCACCTCCGCAATCCCAAGGTTTGCCGTTGTTGATCATCGCTCATCTCCCTTCGGGGGGGCGTGTCGTTCATTGCCTCAAGGGGGTTGAGCCGTAGCTTTTCGTGCCCGCTAGGTAGGTCCACACACTAATCATCAGCCGCCCGCATCTTGCCGGTCTGGATTGATGCAGATCCGGTTCCACCTTGCGAAGCACAGCTGTCGACCTCTTTTTTTCAAGAGTTCAACTCTGCTGCTGTGGGGCCAGCTAAATTCAGCACACCATGTGCACATCGCATCGCATCGGCTCTAATTTCCTCTGCGCAGCTACAGACTGTACGCTTGTGACTGTTCGAACGGCCGGAAGATTCTTGTCGTGGAACTTGGCCAGGCCGGGTTGTGCTAGCTCTTTGCTTCTTCCCTACGATGATCGTGCTGTGGCGTACGTGCTGTGGAGATGTATTCCTTCCGACGAAATGCGCAAAGACATCAGTCTATCCACTACTGATGCTGCATCTTCGATTGATAGCCCCTTTAGTGACATGTTCGCTTTCCTCGCATGGAATGCTTATTGTGTTGCCAATCGCTCGAGCCGCTGGGGTGAAAGGCTGCCGTACAGGAATAGTCAACCTCAAATGATATGCATCAAATGGCACCATCAATTGGCACTCCTCCTCAGCATCCTCGCGCGTAGCACCTAACACGAGTCCACCATTTTCACATCGAAGACACTCGTCCCTGCCCAAACATTCTATCTGAAAAGATCTCAATATCACCTGCGAGCTTTCACGGCATGCGCATATCATGGGGGGGGATTTCCCGGCGTTGGGACCGTGTGCGACGAGTACTGCAGCCCAATCTCTGTGTGACTTGCCACATTTCACTTAGATGTGTCGCGACTTGATTGCTTTTTAAAGTGGACTGTGAGAGCTTCTCCCCTTCTTCCACAAGGTCTACATATTGGATTTTGTTTTCTTTCCAGGGTGCTTTCATTGATCTATGAAGACCAAAGTCGTCGGTTGAGCTACTGGGCGACTCGAACAGATGACCCAATTAGGAAGTCAGTCGAAGTAGCCAATCACAGTGCGACTATCGGTGCTGAAGAGCGAATCTCGCTCAAGCGTACTCGCTATGAGTAGCTCGTAACAATTACAGTGACCTGCTACCCATACTTTGGATGACTGTCTGCAAGGTATGAGTTTCAGCTTCTTGTTGTCGCTGTTGTCGATGATTATGATGATGATGTCGTTAGATGCGTCCAACTCCTTTGTTACGCAGACCCAGTAACCCGTTTCTCACAGAGATGGACGGGCTCGTCGTGCTTACGGTGGCTTACGGGTTCCACGTGCATGCCTTGGATTAGGTACACATCAGCATTTCTTTATGTGTGGGTCAAGGTACGAGTAGGCAGGTCTGTACAGTATGTGCTTGCATATGGCAGTCGGGCCCAAACAATATTTTGATGCCCGTCTGACATGATACTATTCTTTGAAGCGAAAAGAAAAAAAAAAGAAAACAAAGCACAGAATGAGAGACAAAAAAGCCTGGGCGAGGTTCCAACAGCAGCACTTCCGAGATTCCTTCCAACCTTTACTGTCATCCATGTATTGCTTTGCTTACTTTTTAGGATTCTGACTGCGCATGACTGATTAGATCCTGATCAAGACTTCCAACATCTCATCCCTGCAGGGAAGAAGCTTGATGTACAAAGTTCCTACTACCGGCACTTTCCAGTGAAATAGATGAGGCTCAGCAGATGCACGTTGACAAATATTTCACCTCTAGTTGACATTTGAGTGGAGTTGGGTGAGCTCTATGGAGGATCAGTCTCACACAACAAGCGCTTGTAGCTACACTTACTTCTCCATCTACACACTAGCAATGATCCATTCATACTACCATTCATCCATCCTTGAATCACCTCATCCTCAGTGTAGAAATGGGAAAGCTTCTATCAACCCGCAAGACTAGGCCTCGACATTATGCACTCGGTGAATAACCCCAGGATTTGACTCTGAAATGGCCCTTCTCCTTACAGCGCTGCTGACCTGACAATCCAACTCAGGACCAGTGCCTCTACTGCATCAGTAGTACAATCCTTCTGCCTGTCTACTTACCTTCGGACATCATGCACGTCAACCCGGGGCGACGAGCGAGCATGCATCACACGTGTTCGCCCAAGCAAAGAGAACCCCAAGCATGCCAGGCAACTTTACGCCCGAGAGCAACTCATCTAAATCACCGACGGGCTAAACACCACCACATCGAACAATAGCAACAGTAGCAGCAAAAAACAACACAAACAACAATTCACACATCCCCTGATCCGTCCTACCCATTTCTTTCAAGCAGAGCCGCACGCTTGCAAGCTTACACCCACCAGGCGCACTTGTCATAAACCGATTCATCGAATCCCTTCCAACATTAAGCGCCGAACCACACACCCACTCCAAATGCTAACTACCACATTACATACATGTCTTTCCTCTACCCGCCATCCACTTGCCGACATTTCCACCAACCTTTCCTCTCCTCCACGTCGTTATACACTTGCTCCCTGTTATTCCCATCCAACAGCCTTGTAAGGAGGATACGAAGAAGAATAGACACTCAAGCGCCGGGCATCTAACACTAGCTTCAGTGTAGCCGCCTTGAGGCCTCCTCCCTTACGCACACTCACTTCCTCGCGATGTTTTCATATCCAGTAGTTTAGACGCGGGGAGAGAATAGCGTAGAATAGAGTAGATAGAACTGGATTGACTTTCGGCCCCCATACCGAACCATTCCATCAATTAAAGAAAAGTAGAGCAGAGCAAAGGTAAGGCAGAGAAGAGAAGTGGAATTCAGCCTTGTATCACCCAGCAAGCTACCCAACCCACACGGCGACACAAAGCCTGAGTGGAGGTGTGTTGACGGGAACAACAGGAGTGAGAGAGGAAGGATTCAGCGAGGCACGGCTGAGTACTCTTCGATACAGTTGGAGGGTACACGACTGCGGCAAACTTAGGAAATAGGAAGATGCATGTTTCTTTCTCTCTCCTGTCTTTGTCCGTCTTTCGTGGCGTTCCGTTGTCTTTTTCCCTTCTTTCTTTCTGCCTTTCGTTTAGAGGCTGGGAGAAGATATTCGTAAAGGTGAGACCTGTGAAGGAATCAAGGCCGAGGTGTGTGTATTCCCATGAACAAGGGATTTTTTCCGTTGGATTGATTGATCCCGGTACTTTTTCGTGTGCTTTGTGTCTTTCTTTTTTCCTTTCATTTCCTATCATACGACCTCATTGCTTGTTCCTCCCCTGTACGATGGACGGTGTCATCAGGGAATTGATCTTGAACTTGGGCTTCAGCTTTGTTTGCTCTCCCATGGTTTGTTTGTTGGTTAGTTGAATAAAAAAACAGAATGAGAAGTCTATGCAGTCACTTGCAACTGTATGTCCTGGTAACCGTACTCCACAAATCCGAACATGACATTATTTCGATTCAGGAGTGAGGCAAAGGAGGGTACAATTGTCAGTTTACTAAAGCTGACAATTACTCCCTTCTGCTTTTAAGTCTCTATATCTAGTCCCTTCCATATTAACGTACTATTCTCACCTCTCGTTACGTGAGTTATCACCAGAACGGGATATGGAGAAAATATGCCATCGGAGGAGTACCTCCTTTATGGTCAGATCTTCCTGCCACTCTGCTCGTATGCCCACCAGGATCATGAGTTCCTCAGTGAATAACAAGAGTTCGTTCTAAAAATAATCTTTTCTTATAAAACGAATTGGTTTCTTTGCGTCGTAAGGGAGGAGTGTGTTGAATGAGGAAACTCCAAATTTCAACTATATCAGCCATAGGTCTCGAACATTATTCGAGACCATCACTCCCACTATGTAAATGACCTTTACGCATATTCGATGATTTTCTGTTGGTTATCTGGAGTATTGCATGTATTTTACTTTTTGATCATGTAAATGTGGTAAGTTTGAACGTGATAGATGATCAATCCACCCCGGATTAAAAATTCTCCAAAGTATCAATAACTTTAGAGCATATGCATTGGTGTGATAGATGGAATAAAGGAGGTTCGAGTAAGATTTCTATTTGGTCCTATCGATTACTATGTTGGAACCTGCTTTGGGAGACTTGTTACTTACGTATCTGTAAGTATCGAGATTTTTGTCATTCCTAAATTGATCTCTTATGACATATTACTATATTAGACATACAGTCCTCGACATTCTTTGATATTCTCTACAGGATAGTGATTTAAGGCAGCGGTATGGGTGTTTGATCTCATGAATAAAGCTATAGTGCTAACTTGCCCTTGGAAAGTATACATAAAATCATCCTAGCTTCGACTTCACAGCTTTCGAGGAGAAGGTATGTATACAGCCCATGTAACTCCTGAATGAACTCGGGCAAAATTATCATTGTATTTCCAGCTACTTCTATTTCGACAGTACCGAACGAAAACTCATTTCGCTATTTCCGTTCTTTGCCTATAACTATCTATCCTCAATTTCACGCCGGACTAGACACTGCTACAGTATTTGTCATTTCAAAGACATTTTTGTCTCGATTGATAGATGCTTGCTCCATTCTTTGAGACATTCATCCATATCCGATGCTACGAATAGGGGCAATGACTAATCGACATCGGTACGAATCTTCTCCTTACTAGAGTTGCTAATTACCTAGGTAGTTCGTGCTCAAAGTTTTGCCACTGATATTGCAAATCTTCAATGAAACATGTGCTCACGATACTTATTGTTTTTGACGTACTCAAGTCCCGATTAGGAACAGGACTGGTGACTAGCATAGTGACACTCTATAGTCTCCAGCCTATTGGGAGTAACCCACCCTCGCCGCCTCAGTCGTCCCAGGCGAAAGGACAATGGAGCCGCGTCCCAACCACAAGGACTCAGTCATGCAACCGCGTCCCGACTCGACTGAGGCGACCGCATGGCGACACAAGGGGGCCCACTGAGACACGAATCGGAGAGCCCGGCTCCCTTCGTTGCACATGTCTGTGCAACGAAACCGGACCTCCTCAGGGCTCCTTTGGTATGATCTTACATTTGCCATACACGATCTTTTCGTACTTCCTAGGTACAGGATCGGTGGGGGTGTCACGCTAGAATCGGTGAGACCGCCCCGGGAATATACCTATGGGATGAAATTCCCCATTGGAGACAATGGCCGTATTCGGCAAGAGTGGGACAGAGTTGCGCAATGGGGAAACATGTTCGAGTATGAGTGATTACTGTGATACGAGATCGTCGTCGCACGAGTTGATACATATGCGATATTGATGATTCTGAGCAGGGCCTAGCACTTGAGAGACGAGAAGTTCGAGTCAGTGATCGGTTTCGCGGTCCGGTAAAAATAGAATCTGGTACAATGATCAAGTATCACTTCAAGACTTGTCTTGCATATGGCTTTTCTTTCTCGCGGATAATACTGAATTCGCTGATATTCTGGTTTGTAGAGAACTAGTGTCGTCGGAAACATTTTGGGGATAATCGGAATAGGTTCGGAGAGATACGTAAGGCAGCAGCCTTACTTTTACTCGATCTACAGCCGCAGAACACACAATGTATTCGTACATTTTCTTTTGATTCATTAGAGTTAAATTACATCTCGAAAGGCACGCTAGCGCCTCATAGGCCTGAATCGAAAAGGGTCACCAAAAGCCAAAAGAAGAGCTAGGATCGAATAGAAGCGACACTGACTCTCGTCTGCGGTACTTTGCCACAGTGACCATTCGTCCAACCTATCTCAACCATGAGCGACAACAAGTTCTCTGGCACATTGCCAGACGAGAATTCCTCGGAGGCCGAGACATACGATGCTGTCTGTCACTGCGGAACGGTCGAATACTCGGTGACGCTTACGCCTCCTCTACCTAAACAGAAGGTCGTATCGTGTAATTGCTCCATCTGTTCGCGAAACGGCTACTTGCTCGTGTATCCGCTACGAGCACAGTTCAATCTGAAGAGCGGCGACGCCGCTCTTAAGACGTACTCCTTTGGGAAAATGAGGAATCATCACAAGTTCTGCGGTCGATGTGGGAGCAGCGTCTTCTTCGACCCCAGGCTTATCGAACTGGGGGATGGATCACCGGATCTGTTAGGAGTTAATGTAAGCCATGAAAATGGAACTGACTGAATTAAGTTCTAACTGAAGCAAATAGGTCCGCATGTTCAAGAATGTTAAACTGGACGAGCTGGAGATTGTGCAATACGACGGGAAGAACCAAATGCCTGACGTAAGCAACGTATCTCATCTACAATGAAAACAATCCACCATATCCAGTAAACTCTCTGTAGCCTTATTTCTGTAATTATTATCTGTAAATTTGCGATAGGTTTAACTTCTATCAGGAGGTTGACATCCATTTTATGCCCTCGTGCCAAGACCTCGGGATTCACAAAGTGGGATACGCCGATCAAGCTTCAACCTCTACTTGCATATGACGATAGCTTGTCCGATATCCAGCATTGCGCTGCTAGACGAGATGCTGCTTCCATGATGCGTCCTTGCTCCTTTACTGCTCCGCGAGCATTGCGCTTGCCAGCGACAGCAGCGCAATCTCTCTGCCGACCTCGAACCCTCCAGCGCGCCTCCCGTCGCAATGTCTCCGCCTGCACCAAACGTCACACTCCCGCTCAATCGCGAATGAGATTATCTGCCGTTCCCATACGATATCTTTGGTACATTCTATGCGGTGGAATTGGTGCTGGCATGGGAATATCCGTCAATACCTTGGTAGCATCGCGTTTGTCTCCACCCACGCCCGGATCTTCAGAAGACCAGCACGCCCTCGAGCAGCTCGCACAAGGATGGGACAAGCTCGATGCAATCGTATCTTTGCGATCGAAGGGTTATAATCTGCATTCAGACACATCATTGAGCGGATCCGGTCCAGGGAAAGGCGGTTGGCTGGAATTAGACCTCAGAAGACACATAGCCGAGGACACCAACGTCGCAGAGAAACCTACGCGGACGCTGACAGAAGATACGCTGACTGGCATTCGAGGGCTGGGGATACAACGGGCGTTCTGGAATTCCGAGACTCGAGAGATTGTAGCAGTCGTTTGGATTGGCACCATGCTATCAGGCTGGCCGGGCATAGCTCATGGGGGCGTGATCGCCACTATATTCGAGGATGTGATGTCTAGAATGATGGCAGGGCCTCATGGATCTGTAGGTATGTATCAAATCTATCTTTCTATACCGAACTCCCACTGATGCCCAATTCACTAGATTCGGTCTCCACACCAAGTTCAATGAGCGTGGACTATCTGCGCCCTACATTCAGTGGAAACACTTTCATCCTCCGCGCCTCTTTCTCTAAGCCAGCCCTCTCAGAAGAAGCAAGACCCCGCGAGCCTGAACCCAAATCCTGGCTTCCCTCCTGGAAAGACTTCACGAAGAAGCCCTCGGGTGCATCGACTGTGGAGATCAACGGCACACTTGAAGATCTAGATGGCAAGGTCAAAGTCAGGGCCAAATGCGCTTGGCCGGCCTCTGCAGTTGTAAATAGAGGATGATCATCGTTTTACCATGTAAGTAGCAGTTGAAGTGTGCAATCGTGAGTGATTCCCCTTTAGACATAGAAGTATCAGATATAATACCCTATCAACGTAAATGGAATACGTTCTTTAAGATATATTACTTGCACCGCTGATCAGTCACATTCGAGAATTGTAGCGCTAATTGACGGTGATGATCTGCCGGGTTTTGGACATTAGAACATAATCCTCACGACGTGTACGAATTGCACTCCACAGTCCGCGAGCACGCCAATGCATATTGTCGATAGCACATATCGATCACGATGACCATGGCATTGACCTAGTTTCCCCAGCCCCAAGTCACATATCCCCCCCAGTGACAATCATAGATCTGATCGGAATGGGGAGTGCCGTAGCCTGGTGCTAAAAACCTGCGGGAGCGGGATGACGGCAGAGGCGTCGATACAGTATTCACCACGAATTCATCGTCAATCGTCAACAAATTGCGATACTTTGCCAATCTCACTTTCACACGTGGTGAGGGAGTATATCGGTAGTGTTGTGTGGCAGCTGAGCACATAAAACACTCTCTCGCAAAGGTACTCGATGCGCGAATTGGCCGAAGAGAAAAATTAGTCTACCGTGGTCGACATTACCATTGGCTACCTTGCATAAGGCACATATTTGACTCGTCCGTCCCAGAGCGGGAATTGATGCTTGCTGAGTATGGCGATTTACGGAGTACTTGGTTTAGGGTTGGCGAGGGGGCTGGCGATAAGCTCGCGCGGCTGGGCTGGAAACAAGCGGAGTGTGATCGCTTCGCTGCAGGTAGATGACAATATTATATCGTGAAGTCAGACCAGACACCAAGAGAAATTCGCCGACTGGGCAATAATCGGATGCCTGACGGGCAAAGAAGTTGGCAGTGATCCGGATATGTCCGGCCGGCGAGTGTCTGAGGTGGGAAATAAAATGTACTGAGATTGACTGATATGCTGGAATCTGGGTTGATGCAGTTGGCTGCGACGCCGTGGTCGATAGACTGTGGTATTGTACGCTTGGAGCTCTATCTGTGATAGAGCGATGAACCCATACTTTGATGATTCCAAGAGGCCCCAAGCAAGAAGTAGGCGCAGCATTGCGTGGCCCAAATATTGCCAACCTCCCTATATTCAGTTCATGAACACATTCTCTTGTCCTCAACGGTTGCTGCTAGCCGGATGCTGAGAGGGCGTTTTGGCAGGATTACAACATGATGAGTATGTGGTCTGGGGAGATCGGCTATGTGCCTGTGAATGCTCATGATCCCGGCGTGCGATCAATCCAAATGTGGGCATTCGATTCCCCAGTAAGTGATGCGCCATGACGATCGCCACGAGCTAGCACCTGGCATGGTGCAGCAAGCGGCAGTGAGGCTTGAAGAAAGCCTGGAAATGGAAATACCTAACTATGCAAGATGCATGCAGATTGGATTTTGAAGATAACACTTCTATGAAAACGGATTGTAAAAGTAACAAAGCGATTGAATGGTGTCTTGATGATGGTTGTGGTTGTTGCTGCGTACATAGCATAGGCCAACCTCGCTTGAGAGCAGGGAGAAATCCTGGCCCATAAGAAGGATATCGGAAGGGAAGTGGATACCATGGAGGCCATGCCATGCCTTTTTCGAACCAATACCTTCCGTCCAAAGCATCAATGAAGAAATGTCTCCACGGAAGACTGAGGATGTTGTAGCCTTCCCCATCGAATCAACTGTCACCGCCCATCTGCTGCATCATCAGCCGCTAGCGCAGCGGCGCCAAAATGCTCCTTCGAGTCCAATACTCTAGGTACTCTTGGTCTTTCTGTGCAAACCCATAATTAACCCCATAGCCTGCCATCATGGTTCTTCTTGAACCGAATCTCTCGCTCTGGACTTCGTTGTGCAAGGCTGTCACTTTTCGTTCGTCCCTGGACCATATCCATTCGTTCCGCTCCGCCCTTTATCAACAAGAACCTTCTCTAGCCCGGCCATTCAATCGTTACAAAAACATTGGCAATACGAGCGGCACTACCGATTGGCACTACCACTTACTCTTGAGGGAACTGGAGTCTTAACAACTAAAAGAACTTTCGTTCTTCTCTATTCTGATCTTACGCCAGGACGGTACCGCAACATCTATGCCTTCTTGATCGCAAGCCACCAGGTCCCTTCGCCGTTATCGACCCTTTACTGATTATCCCTTCATCCCTCCCGGAATATCCAAACGGACCCAGTTACCCTTTGGCGTGACCAGTGTATGCCAACTCGAGCTGGTCGCTCATAGGTCGTCTTGGCATATAAATCAGGAGGCTGGTCAACCTCAGACTACTGAAAGCCCACCATACCGAATCGACTATCGCGAGCACACAAATAATCAGTCATTCCGGACTTGCCCACTCACTATGGCGCCCACGGTGTCTCCTCGGCTCCGGCAATTGGCTTTTCCCATCCTCTTGCTCTTGCTCTCATTCATAGGAACAGTATATGCAGAAAATCCAGAGGGCTTCGTTACGGCTACCGTTGATGGCGAGAGAGTCCTTGTCAAAGATGATAGACGGCCTTCCATCTACACAGGAGACTATGCCAGCTGTATGAGCGGGGGCAGCTTCGAAGTGACGAGGTTCGATGCCGCCTATTATAAAGATAACATGACGGTCATGTTTCATCTCGGCGGTTCGTCGAAACTGAATAATGAGTCTATTATGAGTATAGTGAGCCGAAGTTTTCCAGATGATGCGTTACTAAATAGTAGACAGTGTTCATTGGCGTATACGCGTACGGGGAGAGCCGGTTCGACCTGACGTTCAACCCATGCAGTGCCAATATCTACAGGTATGATATCTCTTCTCAACGTCCAATGTACATATCTTGTTCTAACAAATAGAAGTGCTTGCCCGGTAATGAATGATATCCCAATCGAAGCGCAGGGTATAATTCCGATTAGTGAAGCGGATGCCTCTGTAATTCCTGAGATTGCACTGAGTATCCCTGACTTTGAAGGTGAGGCAGTATTGAGGATCTTTGCCAATTCTACACAGGAGGAGATTGGATGTTACACCGCGGTTCTCAGAAACGGAAACACCTTTTCTCACCCAGAAGCGGTGGGACCGGTGCTCGGAGTGTTCACTTTCATTGCAGTGATATCGTCTTTCGCTACGGCCATCTACGGCGACAGCGTGCCGGAGATGCGGAAGCATTATGCACACTCACTGTCCGTTTTGGTTGTGTTCGCTGTATGGCATCACATCTTCTTCAGTGGTGCTTTGTCGGTTAGCTGGCCCAGTGTACTTGTTGCTTTTTGGAACAATTACGCATGGGCAGGAGGTATGATCTATATCGACAGCATGCAGAGCACCATCGCCAGATTCATCGGTTCAAACAAAGGCAATACCATGGCCGTTAGTGCAGCTGGTCAGAATATCGATCTTGGGCAAGGAATAGACATCAAAAAGATCTATTGGAAGCGATCGGCCCTGTCTAAACCCCTCAACATACCTGGACTTTATAGGCGAAGCAAGTATAACACTGTAGCTCGACGTTTTGAGCAGGCCCTGGCGGCGCGAGACGCTGCGAATGTTTCAAGCTCTTCAAGTCCATTTTCCTGGTACGGCAATCCAGCTCGAGAGGGACTTCCTCTCCCGGGTAACTATTCGGGATTCGCTGGCACTCTCGCTCAACAGGACATCCCCGCTTCAAATGCGTTCATGACCGGCTTCCTTTGGTTCCTCGTTCTCCTGGCTGCCGTGGTATTCTCCGTTGTTGCCTTTAAGTTCCTCCTCGAGGCTTTGATTAAGATTAAAGGAATCCGCCGCGATCGACTGGTCTACTTCAGAACCCACTGGCTCGGATACACGGCGCTGGCCGCTTTGCGAACTCTCTTCATTGTTTTTTTCACTATAATGTTTCTTTGCCTTTTTCAATTTACCTACCTCGATACAACTGGCCCAGTCGCAATCGCAGCTGTGGTGTTCTTGGTCATGCTCTTTGGGCTTGGGGGCCTCGCAGGCTACGCTTGTTTTCACCGAATCAAAGTAGGGCGTTATGTCTCTGAGCCAGATCGCATAAACGTGGAAAAACGAAAGATCCTTAAAGGTATCCCTTGGTACGGATTCTCCCGAGCCAGCAAGCATCATCGATCGGAAAGCGGAACATACATTGGTTCGATGCCATGGTGGACGATCCACCCAGCTTCAGACGCCGAGAAATCCGTCCACGACGATGAAGACTTCACGAAGAGATTCGGCTGGCTAGCTTCTCGATTCCGCCGGACTCGCTGGTGGTTCTTCGTCGTGTGGCTCGTCTACGAGTTCATTCGTGCCTGCTTCCTCGCTGGTGCCTCGGGCAACGCAATGATCCAAGTCTTTGGTCTCCTTGCTGTGGAGTTCATTGCGTTTGTTACAATCGTCATCATGCGACCGTTCGAGGGTATGCGCTTGAACATCCTCGTAGTTTACTGCCTCGGATTCAGTAAGGTGGCTACTGTCGCGTTGTCGGCAACCTTCGACACTCGTTTCAATCTGCCTCGGATCCCCGCCACGGCTATCGGAATCGTCATCATTGTCATACAAGGGATACTCACGGTCGTCACGATGATTGCCATCTTCGTCGGTGCTATTTCGAGTTGGATGTCCGTTAAACGGGATCGCGATAGCGAGACGTTTAGGCCGAGGAAATGGAAGGGGATGCGAGAGAAGTATTTCAGATCTATGGACACGAAAGCGCTGGATGTCCCGCCGCCGCCACCCCCTCCGCCTGCGATTCCAGAACCGCCTAGGGACCCGTACTTCAATGTCAACTCTTTCAGGCGCATGGCTAAGATCGAGGATGAAGATGCGGAGTTCAAGATGGAGATCCAGGGAGGCGACCCAAATGCATCTACGATGTCTTTCTCTACCGAGCAGTACGGTGTTGGCGAGAAACATTCCAGTCCTAGTAGAGCGGCTAGCATCAGGTCGCAAGTGTCATACACGAGCTTGCCCGCCGGGGCTCGTGTCCATCGTGCCAGTTGGAGTTCTCGGGATTTCAATGAGCACTTCGGGCACGAGCGAAAACATACGAGGGGTAACTCGATGAATTCGATGTTCGATGGCGAAACCCGTGCCACCAGCAAGAAGCTTCCAATTACCAACACTCGCGCGGTAGGAAGCGACGATAGTATAGCTTGTGTGTCGAGTAGTCCTTCCAGCGAGGCCACGACTCCTGAGAATCATCCCGTTTCCAACATTCCTAGCCCGCCCTCTAGACCTAGAGGCAGGACCAGTCTGCACTCTCCGAGACCACAACTGCAGACGCTAGTCAGCGAAAATGAAATTCCAAGCCTTGCGAGCACCCGCAACGCAAGGGATGCGACGGGTACTAATCGAGCCTAACAACGACAACTACAGAGTAGTTTGTCCAAGTTTCGATGGAACCAAATTTTGCAATCTCTTTCTGGCATTCTTTGTATCCAATAGTGAAGCATTTTCATTTTACGGATATATTTCTGCATTAGCGCCTGCTTTCATATTCTGTACATAGGCATACACGCATCACGATTCTACGAGTAGGAAGGTATCAACCGGCGTTGTGGAATTCAGTGTATCTGAACTAAAAGGGTTCAACGTGTACGGAGCTCATCAGGTACATGAGGATATTTTGATTATCGGATGTAAATGTTCTGCATCGAATCGACGGACGTACGACGTAGGAGTAGGATAATTGACGATTGATTGAATTTTTTTACCAAATGGCAGCATATGCTCGTAATGATTGCTGTTCAGCCGCATTGCATCGGAAGATTGACGTCATACCTTTGTGTCGTGTCAGATGACCTATTTTTATCAGAGCCTCCCCGAAAACGAAGGAAAAATACGGCACGAGCTGTCAACGGCGGTCGAGCCAAAGGCCGCCCGTTGATAGACCCAACATGGCACTTCCTACGGGAGCACAATTATTGAGAATCCCATGGGACGCTCTAGAAACCTAGCGAAATGCGTGTTGTCTCACATTCCACCATGTTCCTTGTTTTTGGATGCACCCTTGTCGAACAGCATCATTGCTTGTGGCGTCAGACCACCGCACTGGCCGCCACGTACCGTAATCTCGGAAAAGGACAGAACAGATTTCAGAGTACGATGTGTGAAAACGCGAAGGAAGGACGGATGAGTTGATGAACTACGTCAGTACTCCGTAATTCCAGAGAGTCTCGTACGGAGTATCGGAGTACATGAAATGAACAAAGATGAACAAACCAGCGAGCTACGAGTAGTATAGGGTCGTGTTGATCAGTCCTTTCAAACACCGCCGGTGATGCATCTATTGTGGAAGAACTTCGCGCAGGTGTGAGTGCAAGACAGACTCATTCGTCTGATAAGGGTGGATAGCAGTTCTTGGGACGCGCAGTCAGCGACATTACATGTCCGCGGTGGAGTGGTGTTGAAGGTCGCGATCGCAAGGGTGCCGTGAGACTAACTCGAATGGAGGACATGGAAATTCAATGACATCGAAATTCATCAAAGCATCTCGATCGTAAGGGAAGTTTTGCAATAGGGATATTGAGGTATGGGTGCTGATATCTTCTGCATTGGGCGCATGGTGGTGGGGGGAGGATGGGAAAGGATGGGAGAGAAAGGCAGAAGAGAGGTTGGGATGGGATGGAAATGACGACAGCGGTGGAATTTAAGCATGTTGCGCATAACTCTCAAAAAGGCTAGGCGCCACGACGGAAGAAGTTCACCAGCGAATCAGAGGAAGGGATGGAGGATGTGTAGAGCCGGATTGGGATATGCAGGGACGATCGCTGCTCTTTGTAGCGCGTTCGGGGGTTATGCACGCCTATGCCATGACAGCCATACGAGTAGTTAGCAACCAGAAGAGCAGGTTTTTTGTAAAAGTCGACGGCACTGTGAACTGTGAACTGTGGATGGGGAGTCCCATTTTGCGGGTATCGTGACCTGACCAAGCTTTTTCCTCTCGCTCAAACCTGCATGGGTGGTGATTAAGATGGATCTGGGGCGTCTATGTCATTTGCGGACGGGATATGATTTGTGTCACACAAGAAGGTGTGACCTCCTCCTTCACACCAGACTGACGTCACGCTAAATAGAAGGAGGGAGTGAGAGACACAACTGTTTATAAGGATGGAATGCTCTGTCCTTCACCGTCCCTGACAACACAACAATTACAACAACCACATCCACAACCTACAAACCAGCTCACAAAACCACTCGATCGTCTTCAACGGTCTCAATAAAATCCCACACTTTAACAAACAACCACTTCGACTACTGCAAAAATGGGTGCCGTCGTATCTTGCGTACGTATTAGTCCAGCCTTACCCTTACGCTACAAATCTAAGCGAACCTCTTTACTAACGACCTTTTAGATTCAATCCATCTTCCGCACCATCGGAAACTGCCTCATGGCCATCGTGCATGCCATCGGAGCTGCTTGCACCGCTGTCATCAACGCCATCGTCGCGCTCTTCGACATCGTCATCTCTTGCTTGACTTGCGGACGCGGTGGAAGCAGGCGACGAGGCATGAAGACTCGTACCCGTCATACTACTAGTAGAGTCTAGTAGATGCTCTGCAACACACCTAATGCTAAGCTTAGTGTTGCAGGGCATGGACGAAGGCACGTTGTCGTCCTATGATGGGGAGATCAATCTGAAGACGGCTCGACGGACGATCGAACACCTTCCCTTCACGACACAACCTTTTACGCTTGTTCCTCCTTTATTTCCTTTGTTATCATGCTGCGATTACCCCCTCTTGCGAAGATCTTGCGAGCGTTTTCCAAACCTGTACGATGTTTCCTATAATACGTTTTACGGAGGACGGGGGCTGCATTCTTCACGGCCGGACTGTATAGATACCCTGATTCCAAACACCAATGAATGGATTTAATCTCTAAACTTTGATATCTGACCATTGGTTCTATGTGAAATGATCATTGTATAAACGTTCTATTCTTGTGCTCGCTCACCAAAGGACAGAAATGGCTAGCTTGCGAGCGATGGGATTGGCGGGGTACAACCGTCTGTGCACCTCCATTATCGGAGCGACGCACCCCTGCACGAACTAAATTTTGACGAAGTGACTGATAGTTGGACTCAGACCTCACAGTCACATCCAATCCAACCCCACCTAATACACAAACAATATACACAATATGGCGTCCGAGAAGAAAGTCGCAGATAACATGCTTTGGGGAGGTCGATTCACCCGTAAGCCACCCTAATTGATTCCAATTGTGCCCTCAAATCATGGTGATCTAACCTCCCAGCATAGAGGGCCTTGACCCGGTGATGGAACAGTACAATGCTTCTCTACCCTACGATCGTCGTTTCTACACCCAAGATATTGCTGGGTCAATTGCCTTCGCCCGTGCGAATATGAACAATGGCATTCTCACTGCCGACGAGTTCGCCGCAATCGAGAAGGGTCTCGGAGAGGTCAAGAAAGAGTGGGCCAATAACACCTTTGAGGTCAAGGCCAACGACGAGGACATTCACACTGCCAACGAGAGACGATTGGGCGAGATCATCGGCAAGGACATTGCTGGAAAGCTGCACACCGGAAGGTCTAGGAACGACCAGGTCGCTACTGATATGCGATTGTGGTTGAGGGATGAGCTCCGGAAGATTGAGAAGATCTTGGAGGATTTCGTCAAGGTTAACATCGCTCGGGCGGAGAACGAGATCGACGTTCTGGTAGGTCAACACAGGATGGAGCAGAACAGGAGATCGTGCTGACAAGGATGAAAGATTCCAGGATACACACATTTGCAGAAAGCACAGCCGGTTCGATGGTCACACTGGGTTCTCTCGCACGCAACTGCCTTCGCCTCCGAGCTTGAGCGCCTCCGGGAGGTCATCAAGCGGGTCAATCGTTCACCACTCGGCTGCGGTGCACTCGCCGGTAACCCTTTCAACATCGACCGCGAAGCCATGGCCAAAGAACTCGGTTTTGAGGGACTCCTCTACAACTCTCTTAACGCTGTCGGTGACCGCGACTTCGTCTTTGAGACTCTCCAATGGGGATCCAGCTTCATGCTGAAAATCTCCCGCTGGGCGGAAGACCTGATCATCTACTCCTCTCTCGAGTTCGGTTTCGTGCGATTGGCAGACGCCTACTCCACCGGCTCATCCCTCATGCCGCAGAAGAAGAACTCAGACTCGCTGGAGCTCCTCCGTGGAAAGTCCGGCCGAGCATTCGGACAAATGGCAGGCCTTTTCTGCACCATCAAGGGTCTCCCGACGACCTACAACAAGGATCTCCAGGAGTCCGTCGAGCCCCTGATCGATCACATCAAGACGGTCAGCGACTCGATCCTCATCGCCACGGGCGTCCTCTCCACTCTCACCATCTTCCCGGAGAAGATGCACGCCGCGCTCACCCCGGAGATGCTCGCAACCGAGTTCGCAGACTACCTCGTCAGGAAGGGCGTCCCCTTCCGCGAGGGCCACCATATCTCCGGCCGCGTCGTCGCGCTCGCAGAAAGCGAGGGGGTGCCTATGGACAAGCTCAGCCTAGAGCAACTGAAGGGTATCGATGCCCGTCTCGGTGACGATGTCGTAGAGTGTCTTGATTACGAGAGGGCTGTTGAGTTGAAGAGCGCCATTGGCGGCACTAGCAAGAGCGCGGTCAGGGAGCAGATCGTCATCTTGAAGAAGACCCTTGAATCTAACTAAAGTGATCTGTTTCGCTCATGTTCACGAATTGATACGAGTTATTCACCTGGGGTGTTTGTTGGCTAGGGACAATGTTCGGTGTCGGGTTGCACAATGTACACACAAGCAACGTTATTAGATTCTCAAACTTGTGGAATTTAACTATAGGAAGAAAAAAGGAATAAGAGAATATGGATACCCCTACACATGGAATGTTCCTCCAGCGTTCCCAAATTGCTGCAAGACACGAATGCATGCGTGCCTCCATCTTCTCTAAAGGATGATCTTGCGGGCAGAAATAACATTGTTTATGTGACAGGTCTAGGTACCAACGTTCATTTGTTGATCAGGTTAACAATGATAATGCAACAAAAGTTCACAATGCAAGATACATTCACTCTTAACAAGGCAGGCCCCAATCACCATAAAACGCAAAGATACTGGCCATTTTCTGTTTTCCCTCGATTCGAACGGAAGGATTCCCTACATCAACATATAGCATTTGAGATTGCCCTACATCATGGTGGCCGCCATCCAAAGCAAATTTCTAACCGGACTCATTGTCCGTAAGGACTACGAGTACAAAAGAAAGCTCGGGTCAGGTGCCGATGGAGTCGTCAAGCACTACACCCACAAACGATTGCCAAACACCACAATAGCAGTCAAGACGCCTAGTGAAAGGGGCCGAATTCCGATGCAGATGGAGCTTTCAATAATGCGGAAAATAGGCAAGTCGCCATACATAGTCGAAATGCTAGGGTACGACGAAAACTGGGGTCCCGCTATCTTCTACGAGTACTGTGCACTTGGAGATGCATTTTCATACCCACAGCAGCTTCGCCAGTTATATGGAGTGGTACCGGAGGAGACGATCTGGAAGTTCTTCTCCGACGTCGCGAAGGGGCTGGACTACCTTCACAACGCCCTCGGTGATAGTATGGTCCACGGGGACCTCAAGTGCGAAAACGTGCTCGTGTCGTACCCGTGGGCAATGCCGCCCAACCTACCGGTCCTGCCGACCTTCAAGATCGCGGATTTGTCACGCACGGCGGCCCAGTCTGGAAAATCAGGGGCGCCGCTTGTGTTCCACGGGACGTACGAGTACGGTCCACCTCATTCGGAGCGAGCGAAAGGGGCCACGCCTGCGACAGATGTATGGTGTTTGGGTGCGTCCATCCAGTCCTTTGCTCTTGGACGGGCGGCTCGTTTGAGCAGGGCTAGATTCTTGAAACATTTGCAGCTTACTTGTGGTAGAGAGAACGCCCCCAAGCCTTACCAACTCGACGAAGAGAAGTGGAGAGCTCGCATACCTGTGATCTGTCGACCGCTCAACGCTTCTATCAAGGAACAGGTAGAGGATTTCGATGTGCCCATGGCAAGCGCGTTTAAGTACAGTGATTCGTTGAACCGGTGGTACTCCAGATGTATGGACCAATGCACCCCGACCCGGATTTCGAGTCGTGACCTTAAGAAGTGGATGACTCCCGTGGCAGAACAACAGATCAGGGTCCTCCAAGCCAAGCGCAAGTTAATCAATGCAGAATTGGCAGCCGCAAAGGCACAGGCAAAGGCACAGCGAAAGACTACCCATGAGCAAGGAAAGAACGATGAAGTGGCAGATTGTAAGCCTTTGATGCATAAGCCTTCGAAGGCAGCCACGGCACCAGTCAAGGAACCTGTCAAGGAACCAGTTAAGGAACCAGTCGTGCCAGTCAAGGAACCAGTCAAGGATATTGAAGCTGCCCGTCCACCACGGGAGCCTGTGCAGCAGCAGCAGCAGCGGCAGCGTCCGCACATGCCAGTCATGGGCCCACAAACCAACAATGCCGCTATTCATGGGCAGCAAACGAAGATCGCGACGGGTATAGAGCGGAAGCAATTGCCAATGGCTGCCATAGTCCAATGACTGTACCTGGTTGCCGTAATCATCCAAAAATTAGCAATTCTGATCTCATCATCATTCGTAGCCACGATATTTTCGTATGTCGAAACATGAACAATGGAGTTATTTGGTTACCTAGGTAGTTAATTGAACTTTCAAATACTTGTAGTTTACGAGCCCTCTCGCGTGACGAGCCGTGCCCTGACTCCTGTGCCTGCATGTGCATGCATGTATGTCTCTGCATAGATGGACTGATCCATTCTAATCTTATCATATCAGATGATCAGTCCCCACGTCTCTCTCTTCCCTTGATCGTTTCGATATTAACTTTGCGCCAGTTGCGCACGAGTTTTGTGGGTCGGACAGTCTGGTTTGGGGGTTCGTGCCGAGTCAAGTAGGTTGCTACATGCAGCAAATGTTGGGCAGATATTCAATGAAAGACTCCACCTATTATCAATTTTTTTTGGGTGATGCCGTCCATCTCTTCATGCCTGCCTTTGGACCCCATTATTCGTCTCGGTCATATCGCAGTATTCGTCGGTTTGAGCTCGAATACGCCGAAGAGGACGGTCGGACTACAATTCCGAACAGCGCAGTGTCGTTCTTCTCTCGGTCGCCATCTCGCCACACTCGGATTTAACAGTAAAAGGCACTAGAATCTTACTCTTTGTAATCCCAAGGCAACAGTATTTCTCAAATAACATATAACGTAGGTGGCATACGAGCCGTGGGGATGGACGAGCCGTGGGTCGTGCCAAGCCCCCACCAAAATCGTAACAAGTTTACGACAAAACACGACTTTTATTGTAAATCGCTACAAATTACTACAAATCGTAGTACTACAAATTAATCGCTACAGTCTCCTGCGTCCTTCTTGCACGTGCGTGAGTTGTGGCCAGTCTCTCCACACGTTTTACAGTGCCTTTTGCCTTTAGTGCTCTCATCTGCCTCCTCCCCATCACCACCCTTCTTCCTCTTGTTACTCTTCTCAACCTCTCTTAAAAGGTTCAAGCGCTGGCCTTCTTCTACAGTAAGTGTCCCTTGACGCTGCAATCGCTTCCTTTTATGAGATCTACGACGATTTGCAGCCTCATTTGCAGCCTGAAG